CTTAAAAAAACCAAGAAACACTGATTTTTTCATTTTCGTTAAATAGTGACAGCTTAATAGCCGTAGTCTAATAGTCTGTAGGTCTTGCTATTTGACAAGGTGGTTGTTCATGTCAAATTGTATCAGTTTGTTTAACATTGCTTAACTTGATCTCTGTTCAATGTCACACAAATGAAATTTGTTAAGATAAAGACATTTTTGTGCCAGTTTCACAATTTGAACATTTAGTTAGCAGCTTTATACAAATCTTTTGATGAAGGTCAATAAAGTGACCTTATTAAATATATTATGTACAGTAATAGTGACGGTTTTTGCATTTGTCAGTTCCGATCCATAATTTGTGGCACTTTGAGAAGTTAATAAGAGATAGAACAGTTGCGTTTTAGTATAGCAGAACTGCTTAAGTGATTGTTTGTTTGAACTTGAGTGATGCATGGACTGGGTTAGTGTGATCTTGATGATGAACTTGGCTCAAGAAATACAAAATGCACGCAACATGTGCACACATTCTAATGGGTCGCTTGCCCGCTGGACAGACACAGTAGTAATCATTGACAGGGTCATCGTGATCATTTCTGTCAAACTCAATCCAAACATTGTTTTTTGACTGTGATTTGTGCCTTCAATAGATTTGGCCTCGGAGAAGATTTTCATCATGTGATAGACCCAAACTTTAAAGTCTCCAGCAGGAGTCAGATGCTCATTAATATATCTGGATTCGGCTTTCAACTGGTGTGGTCCGCAGGTTACTGTTTCTAAATAATCCATATCCAACACTGGAAACTCTATTGAACAGGCATCAAGTTTCACCCAGTTGGCCTTGTTGCGCATAGAAAGGTCAGATTCATCTGCAACCCTTGAGGCCAAGGTGTTGGGCAGAGACAAACGGGATTGCATTCGCTCAGCAAGGCGACGGTCCCTCATGTCCTTCTCTGGTGTAGACACATAAATTGGTCCACGTACAGCATTTAAGGAAGCAGTAGCTACTTCAACCAGTTCCTCTTTGACACTAAGGAAGTAGTTTGGGCTGAGTTGTTCTCTGAACAGTTTCCACTGTTTCAGTCGACCATGGTAGCTCTCCACAACCCATCTTGACTTAGTACATTGGCGGACCTCGTTGGCAGTAAGCGTATCATGCTGTGTCTGACCTGACAGAAGATAGGAAGGCATGTACACAGAAAACCCTGAACCTCGCAGCAGCTCCAACACATCCCTAAACCCCCGGTCAGCAATCACATTGTCATCTTCACTGAGCCACAAGGTCAGGTTCTCAACTGTTCCAAGTTTTTTTGTCAAGATATTTGCATAATTGTCATTGCCATAAAATGACCCAATAGTGTCTAGTACATAACCATTTGGAAAGACAATGCTCATGAATTTAATATAGTTGCGCTTCTTTTGCCCACAGTATGAGGATCTTTGAAAGGGGTGATCAGCACTTTTATGGACATAGATACATAGGTACCATCAAGGATTATCGTAGAAACATCTTGTAAAGGCAGTGTTGTGGCACTCGTCCTCGCGAGTAATGTGTCTTGGACAAAGGAAAAGGGGCACAATGGTCTGGCTCAAGACTTTTAAGACACTTTGAAATGCGCGAGATAAATACTGTTTTTGTCAGACCACACAAGACACCAAGTTGAGACCATGAAATATTGGTCTTCAGTTTAATCCAGAAAAGAAACAAAGTATAGAATGTAGAGGAACATGGTCCTCTATAGATGTGTGATGAGCAAATGCTATGGATTTGCTGCATTTGTTCAAACGTGTAACCAGTCCATGCTTTGAATTGTTCATTTCTAAGATGGTCTACATCCATGCCTGTGTTGGTTGGAGTACAAGCAGAAAGGATATGGCTTAGTTCAAGCAAGAAGGTTATTGATAACCTGATTAGCTCTTTCTTGAAGATGAAAAGCTAACGGTTCCCTTGTTTGCAGATCTAGTGGAACGGAGGATTCATAAAGACGGGCATCAGGGGGACACCATAGAAAATCGAAAAATATCAAGTTTGTCCTGGCACGCTGTGTTATAGTCCATAGCTCAGTGACCTCTTTTCTACATATGAAATTATGTGAAATGCCACCATAAAATAATATCTCAACAGAGATTAGTGGTAGCTGGTTGAATGAAATGAAATCATCTGGAGTGCTCATACCAGAAGGTTCATACAGACTGCAATGGCCTTTGCTTGAGGTACCGCTCGTAGCACTTTCCACAAAATATGCGTTCTTCTGGTATGCTAATGATCTCGGCAGTCAGCAGCTGGTGCAGCCAGTTATACTGAGGTGTCTTACTTGAATTCGGGCTCCTTGAGATAAATAGTTCAACCTGGTTTTGCTGTCACGACCTATGCACACGTCTGACATGATTATTATTAAACTTGATGGGAGATTTGTAGTAATTTAAATTTAATACAGAATGTCTGAAATAAGTGTAACTTTGTCTATGTAATTGTCTATAGATACTTAGCAAAATGGTATAAATACTTTATACTAATACCTTTATATGTTTCAGGAAATTAACATACTTGCACATTAATGTGTCAGACATATCATTTCTGGCCTCATTTATTAATTATTAATTAGAATATCTAACTGATTTATATCCATTATTGTTATGTTTACTGATAAACGAAGAAAAGTGGAATGACGATAACATGTGATCAGTAATACTGATTATTTCATCATTGTTACGTTTTTATAATATATACTAAACTGTCAGTTGTTGATTAGAGGATAGTTTTCTAGTGCAGAAAACACCATGTTAAGTTATATCTACTGAATATGATTTTAAAATAAATGCAAAATACTTTATGTGCTTTGGTACTACACAAAACTGGAAAATATAGCAGTATTTGGCACAAAAAACAACGAAAATTAAATCTTCATGATTATGGCAAATTATGCAATAAGCATGTTTAAATTGCTAAAAATATATTTTACCGGTTTTGAAATCACTAGAAATTTATCCAATAGACAGTATATATAAGTAGAAAGTTATTAAAGAAGTATGAAATATAGACTGAGATTGCAGCTATACAAAATGAACTTGACAAACTTTGATATATTCTTTATTTTGTGAAAATTTTGCATTTTTTTTTTTTACTTATGAGTAATTAAAGTTTTTAATATACTTACATTTTTTATGCCAATATAACATATGTGATATCAAAATATTATGTACTTTAGCTTGGTATATAAATATTTTCATCTAAAGTTCTCATGTAGCAAGTATTTGTCATTATGTTAGGGTACCTTTGTCACTCAACCTGGTGTTATACAAGGAGGTCCAGTGTGACTATAAGTAGTTATAATGACTAATCATTTATGCGGTTGTAGGTTATTTTCATGAATCTACATATGGCGAAAAAATATTAGAAATCTATGTGGGGGCCAAATGTTGACCCCACCTTTCTCTGAAAATCAACATCAACTCTGAATATTTGCTTTGTGTTCATGAAGAACAAACAGCTATTACAAGATATGTGCTTTTTATATTCTGTATAATATTATATTCTTTATATATTCTGTATAATATATAACTGTAGGTAACGGTTATGATAAATGATATCCCATCACAATGTACCGGGAACTGTAGCTACGAGTGGTTACCCAGCAGAACACCTGTCGTTACCAACGTAACCCGTACACAAGGTAAAGAAATACAGGATACTTAACGCCATTATTGTCAGACAAGTATCTGACCAACAATGGATCCTCATTTTGTCTTGTCCTGTTTCTTTTTCGTGAATGCCGAACTATATGAACTTTAATTACTCGCTTTAACACTACTGTAGAATGTATAAACATCAAAGAGACTTTCATATTAGCTGCAATTTTTAAAAGGAGATTGTACAAAAGATACAAGAAAATAATACCTTTGAATACAAATTTACTGTGAAGCAGTTCATATAAAATTTGTCTCGATGCCCTTTTGAGGTTTATACATAATAACGTTATTCAATCCTTTTATTCATATTTAGAATTGTTTAAAACCGTTTTTCGTAAGTTCTCTACAAAACGGGACTTCTGCAAGTCTATCACAGAACTTGATGAAAAATATATGTATACCTTCCCACTTCTACTCTATGATCTTTTTTAAATCTTACATCTGAAACAAAAAATAATTCAAGACAGGGAATTCATTCATTTTTAATAAATCCGATCAGTCTTGCAAGAGGAAATAGTCTCATGCTCGGTAGAGCAACAAACGGTAACGTTGAAAAATGCAGAAATCCAGCCATATTTCTTGCAAAAAGGGGAGGTAATCTAAATTAGTAGGATGACTCTTACGCTATGTGGACAGTCCCTTGAAAAAAAATCCTCTTACTATCTTGGCAGGTATATTGAGTCTTATATATATATTTGTTATTGACTTGGTTAAAATGCGGTCTATTGTCGTCGAAAATATGGCGTAAGAATGACACTGAGGGATATTATGCTTGGCATGCTGGTGTATAGTCATCATAAAATTCTTATATCATATAATGCTATATACACAGTTAGAGGGATACATTACATTACCTTCTCTATAAAGTCCTTATAAACACATTGATAATATGTAATGCAATTTGTAAGATACACGCTATAATTTTATCTTTTTGTTACATTATATATACGGTCTAAGTGGAAATAGCCCGACAATTCTTATTTTTTTTTTAATATTTTAGTGATTTTCTTGATTAGTTTGATATATTAGTCCTGGTAGGTTCACTCTTATATTGGGGAATTCAACAAGAATATAAATGAAGAATAGGTGCAGCTGATATCTATGTACAAGGGTTCAATACCTTACATACAAGGCTTCCACCAATACCCTTGTAACTATTAATTGTTACCGACTGTCCACTTACTACGATACGCATTGTTGATACTGGATCAGTATAACTTTATATTGTTACAGAGACACCACATACCGCTATATATATAACTGGTGCTGGATTCAGCGACATTCCCAATAACAATGATGTAACGGTAGGAGGAGTTGAATGTTCCGTTACCATGGCTACTTCCTCTTCGATCACGTGTGAAGTCGACACAATACCGAGTGGTGAACACACTGTTAACGTAAAGGTCGATGGCAGCGGAATTGCAAAGACCGAAGGCAGTAACATTTCTATTGTCTTCAGCTCAGAAATCAATGGCATTAGCCCAACTAGCAGTGGACTAGGAGGTAGTTAGCATAACTTTTAACTGGTAGTGTACGAAGGAGGTAGTTAGCATAACCGGTCACTAGTACTGGACGAAGGAGGTAGTTAGCATAACCGGTCACTAGTACTGGACGAAGGAGGTAGTAAGCAAAATTGTTTAGTAATAGTGGAGCAAGTGGTTGTTGGCATAACTGTAAACAAGTAGTGAATTACGATGTAATACGCATAACTAAGAGATAAGGCAGTTAGCATAAATATTAACTAGAAATTGACCAAGAAGAATTAGTTTAATTCTCAAAATGTGGTTATATAAAAACAATTTGAAGTACAATATTTATGCTAATCACTCTGCAACTCTGAACGTAAACGACTAAGTATGTTGTATGTTACAGGTTCTGTGAATCTAACCATCACAGGAAGTGGGTTTAGTCAGAATTCATCCGTAACTGTTGGATCAGAGACATGTGACTTACTGTCTGTCACAACAACTAGAATCATCTGTATGTTACCAACAATGGTAATATTCTACTACATATACTATTGTCTTAAATTAATGTTTTGTTATAGATAACCATATCAAGGAATATTTCTTTCAGGTTTACATATTAGGGCAATAGTGCGCTGTCACTACACTCGGTGCGGATTTACGGTTGAGTTTGAGGTAACGGGGCAATATTTGAAAAGTACAAGAAACCGTACTTTAAAAACACTTGTGTTTGTGTTTTTTGACCCCTGAATGATTTGTATGTGTTTTACCATTGGTTGTTTTGTTTCATCATTCGAAATAGAGTTATAGCGAAACTACTGCTTAGTTCATATAGAAAAGTTGTAGTAACTTTAAGCCTTTTTGTATATTTTATATAGAAAATCAGTCACAGAAATATCTTTTTAAACCGTCATTACTAAATAAAAAAAAAACCGATGTTAATGTAACAGTCTGAAGATCGATTGAATAAAAGGCTGTCATGAATGAAAACTGCGAAAGTATCACATCGCTTCACCGAAACGAAAACCAACACAATACCAACATGTCAGAATAATCATATTGCCAAAGAAAAATAGTAAATTTAAAAAAATATATATATATACAAAGAAACATTTACATGCAGACTTAGGAAAAAGTACAGTGATAATATGACCAGGTGTTCCGGAAGTGTAAGTGTCTTCTGCTACATCGGCGACACCCACTATGTAAACATTTAATGTTACATGTCTCAAATGGGAACATGATACTCAACAATGAAAAGAAAAGACAAACTAACGAGCATCAAAATCGTATGAAGAAGAAATAGATCATAATATGAAAGCACATTTTGAACACATTTCGAAATCTTGTTTTCTTAATTGTCGTTGTTGATTAGTATAAGGTTTGGAGACATTGTTTTTTTTAATTATAAATTCATAATACAAATAGTATGCTTGTAAGCTCAATGTTATCTTTTTTAGAATGTTGCGGGTGCAGTATCGATAATAATAGAACACAGTGGAGAGCTACCAATAACAGGAGACCTACAGTTTTATTACAACGAGTCCATGACACCTAGGGTAACTAGCATATCACCAATATCAACCGGAGTATCAGGTAATGAATACCGTGGATGGTTGTAATAGTATACCTCTACCAGCTTAAATTGTAATCCAATCAGAAAATCACATTATCTATAAGGTTACATATGAAATATCTGTACAGGTGGAGAGAAAACACATCACTAGGAAATGATATTGCTTTCTACTTACCTTTGTGTGCTTTGTATAATATAATCTTTCCATATTTTCCTACTGTTTGTAATGTCACGATATCAAATTATATTTAGATGTGTAGACTTTTTCCAGTATATACTATAGTTTCAAACACCGAAGAAAAGAGAGAAATACATCGTTACAAATCATACATAAGTCTAGAATAAAACGTTATTCCTTGAATATTGAGCCAACCGATAATATTTCGATTTTTATATCATTGTATGCTTTTATTCGTCCAGGTGGAGACAAGCTCGTTCTGACAGGTGATGGATTTGAAGCAGATACCAACTTGACTTTACTGGTTGGTAAAGCGGAAGTCTTCATTACATTCTATAACAATAGCTATGTAATAGCAGAGTTACCTCCCTGTTCTCCGGGAACTCATCATGTACGACTAATACCTGGAACCAATGGAGCCGCATTGACCTCGTACGTGTTCCTGTTTTATCATTTGGCGACACTCGAATGCGAGTTTGTGTTGTTCACACTCACACAAAAACTAATTGCAAAATTTAATCCACAAAATACAACAATCGCTCGCTTCCTGAATCTTCCCGTTGTGATATCCTTTGATTTTGATAATCTTGTCGTGCTATGGGGTTAAAGACTTGATATGGTCAAATCTACGATTTGTTCCCTTTTACGTCTTATCCAGAAGATCTTTTTATTTTTATCAATACGGAAATAGCCATTCATGTTGACTTATGCTTTCATGTGTGAAAGATCATGATTACCATCAGGAATATTCAGGCCCAAATCCAAGTATATTGAATATCACTTGTAACGAATGCAAAAATTAGAAAATGTTGTTCCCTACACAAAATTTGTATGCATGGTTTCGTCTCTTTATTTGGCAATATCCTGAAACATCAATCGAAAATTTAGATTCATTGGATTGCTATGCTACTATCTAATATGAGATTCTTTCCAGTATCAACGAACTTCCAACAATCACTTGTAACTTTGAAGTAACTGATGTACGTCCACTCAGTGGCTCGTTATTTGGCGGCAGTAGTCTAACTTTATCGGGGAGGCATTTCTCACCAAATATTGAAGTTAAGATTGGAAGTCATGATTGTGACGTCAAGTCGACAACAGATAATGAAGTCATTTGCTCCATCAGTAGAACACGAACCATACACAGAGTGGACAACTTGGGAATCCATCCAGGTCTGATACTTTCTCTCTATCTTGATCAGTGTATGTTTCCTTTTCTCAAGTTACCATTTCTATCCAAGTTGTGTGTCTTTGAGTCTTTCATACATCGCCTAGTTATAATCTGTAGTATATATATCATAACATGTTTCTTCTTCGAAAAGATTTCGGGATGTACTACCAATGGAGTCCCAAATATGTGAAGATCCTTGTCGGCGATATCGTACGCTGGGAGTGGGATTTTCCGTTCTACATCACGACGATGAAACCACGGATAGAGGAGACGTTCAACATGACGGCAAAGTACGGCAAACCGGGTGGATTCTCGAGTGGTGCATTTGGAACGTCTACTGGTACAAATAAACATTATCATTGTTGTTATCAATCTTAACATTGAGTAAGCCACCTGCTACGTTTAGTTTAACAGTGATAGAAAAAATGAGATCACTGTTATTAAGTAATGCTTTACACTATAACATTTTAACCATGGAATGTTAAATATACCATTCATGTTATCAAGTCCGACGTACCAAAATTAAACGTGATACCCATTATACGAAGTTTGAATCGTTTTGTACTTGTATTTAGGAAAATCATAGGCTGATTAAATTGATTATTCTTCCTCCATTCCAGGAATTTATTTCCATGAATTCAGTAAGGCCGGCACATTTTATTACTGGAGTGGTGTAATTGATGAGTACGGCACCACGTGGTTTCATGGTTCTGTAGAGGTTGTAGAACGAGCCTCTTTTCTGGCCGACATCATTGTAACAATAGGCGAATTCGAGGCCACGTATAACACAACCAACATTGACCAAACTGTTTCACCAACAGGTTTGTATCATTTCTTTTCTGATATTACTACATAAGTTAGACAGGAAAACGACACATGCACAGAAAGATATATTTGTTCATACTTTCACATTAAACGGTTGTGATATAGAATACTATATGATATTTGAGCTTTGCTTCCATTAAACTCAAAACGAGGAAAACTTGTTACTTTTTAGAACAGATTTAGCTTTAAAAGAGTGATTTTTTTCATTTCTCTTTTTAGTAATACAGAGTCGTCCGACAGGTTATGATTTTGAAATATCCTCACCTTTGCATGGTAGCACGACACCTGTCTCAAATATCTTGACAATGGGTTTACTAGTTTTAGTCGAAAACGCTTTGTTTTTAACGTTAGGCCAAGAAACTAGGTTAAAATAAGAACTCTTTCAGTTATGAAACCTATGTACAGATTTCAACCACGTAGATTCATGACTAAATGATAATAACCAAAATTGTAAAACAGTTGGATCAGTTGCATAAAAGAGCATTTCGTGTGAAAATATCATATCGATGAAATATGTCTGGTTAAAGAAAGAGACACAGGGAGAGGTCTTTCCTTGTTTGTCTCATAATGGATCACCAAGCATGAATGATTGCCAGCAAACTCCAGGAGATTACTATATTCTGTTCAATTACAGTAACATATCAGCTTACACGGGAAAAAGATATAGCAAGTGTAAAATATCTAGTCAAAGCTATAGATTAAAAAGGAAATTGAGGTGCTGAAATTTATGATTATTACAGACTTAGTAGTTGTGTGTTGTTTCGTTTACAGCTTTACATCCATCTTTTGTTGGTGCTAATGCAATAGTATTGATTAGCAGTTAAGAATTTAAGATAATGATATTAATTAAACATATAATGCAACTGTTTCAGGAGAAAAGGTTTCCACTTGGATTCCTCAGTTACGTTTTATGAATTCTTTTTATATTCCACAGCTAATACTTCTTTCTCGAATGAAACGACTGCAAGATACAACTGTTCGGATCCTTACCCGTTCGATTCAGCAAACACCTCCATGTTTCGATTCGCATTCTGGACATGCCGAACACCGCTGGTTAACGAAGTAAGTCGACAAAATGGAACCACTGACGATGATATCGTTATATCTGGTGATGGATTTTCTCCCATAAGTTGTGCTAACGACGTAACCTTCGGTGATTATCTGTGTGAACCAGTCTTCAGTTCGGTTTCCTCTGTCACCTGTAAAATTGCCTCTAGCAACAAACCACAAGTCGGAAGACCTCAGTATCTCGAAGTTCTAGTAAGAAATGTAGGTTATGCTTACTTGAACATTGCATCAGATTTACTTAAAACATTCACATTATTTCCGGTTGTTCGATCACTTGCTCCGATAAATGGATCTCTTGGCGGCCATTTAAAGCTTACATTAACAGGAACAGGATTTGCAGACGGGAACCTTGATAACGTGAATGATATCACCATTGGTGGCTACCAATGTCACCTATTATCATCTTCATATACGGAAGTCGTTTGCTTAACACCAAGTTTAACTACTGGACAGCGTGAAGTTGTAGTCATGATTCCAACAGCCGGTAACTTTCTAGTCCCTGCAAAATGTATACCGTCATGTACTTTTGTGTACGACGACTCCGTTACACCAACAGTGACTGGTATCAGTCCAGTGTCTATAACAGGGCAGAAATCTACGCAAGTTACCATTTCTGGAACCGGTTTTGGTAATGATCAGCAAAATATAGAAGTAAGCATGACGTCATCCGAAGTTCACAAATGCCACGTCTCAAATGTTTCTGACTCCTTGATCATTTGTTCCGTAACTAATTTACCAGTGGGGTCTAATAAAGCCGTTGTTGACGTGAACGGTAAAGGAAGGGCTATTCATTCCATCGGGGATGTATCTCTGATCAGTGAAGCAACAATAACAGATATATTCCCAACGCGAGGAAGCATCTACGGAGGTACTGACGTCATCGTCAACGGAAATGGATTTCTTTCTGATGTAACAGTTCAAATAAATGGAGATTCATGCAAAGTGAAAAACAGAACATTACAATCGATCATTTTTGAAACACCTGCCCAACTCACCGGAGTAAAAACTCTGGATATTAGATCTAACGGTGTTTTGTATCTTGAGCAAAACTTTACGTTTACAGACGAGGCAACTCCTAAGATAACTTCTGTGCATCCCTCTTCTGGTATAAATGGACAGAATATCACCATTAGAGGCTACAGTCTTGTAACAATGTTAAATGATACAAGTGTTTTTGTAGGGAACGCTGAATGCCTTGTTTCAGCTGTAAGAGACACGAAAATAAACTGCACTGTAGGTAATCATCGTGCTGGATCATACAACATATATGTCAATGTACAGGATTTGGGCGATTCCAACGGGGATATTACTTTTACGTTCAACATGACGGTTGAGTCGATTTCACCGAACGTAGGTAAGAATATGGTTTTCTTGTTAAAGTTGTAGAATATATATTATAAAACATCCTTATAATCTTGTGAGTAATATTTCTTCCTTCGGTATTAGCAAACAATTATACCAATTACACGTTTTCCAAGGTTAATATCACACCATGATTTACGTTATCCAGACACCAACACGTATAATTTATCTTCTAATGCTGCGATAAGATTTACTAGTATAAAAAAAGCGATGGTATTGGTAGCGGAAAGGGTCAATATTAGCAAAAAATGTCATACTTAAAGCTTCATTTTGCAATAACAATTGCGTTTTACCTTATTAGACATCGGTGTTTGTTTACAATGTGGTGACCATGATTTTGAAAAGGAGGATCCCTGGAAGTCATGATTTTTAATAAATATATAGAGAGCAGCTAGCTATTACTCGTTACCAATACACAATTTATAAAGCATACAGAAATGCTAGACGCAAGAATTTCTGTTTTGTTACTCATGTAAGTACTTACTGGCGTTTGACAGTTGCCTAAAGTCGTCACCAGGAAGTTTAGCTGGAGTTGTGACAATTCAAAATAACCTTTTTCATATATTTCAGTTGCAGACATGTGCTATGCTTATCTTTTTCATGTAGTTCTTGAGATAAGACAATTGATCAATCCTTTAGTTTTTTAGCTGGAAACAAGACTTTAGATAATTAAAAATATCATTGACAGCTTTCCACCAGGCTGTATGATAAGCATGATGATTTCAAATTCCTTATTGTGAAATTTCCAATTCTGGATAGCATATAAAAAAATATGGCGTTAAAAAGTCGCAGTTGGTTCGATATTCAACAGCCTATTTTAAAAATCAGAATTTTCATGCAAGTTGACGTTCAACTGACGACAGACTCAAAAACAAAAATTCAAAAATGCAGGTAGATGACAACTGGTAAGGTTTCGTTGAGAAATATTCTATTTCTTTATGCGATATGAAACTGGACTTTGATGCGTGTTTGTTCCGTTGTTGTATACCTTATTTTCTTCTGAGATAGTGATATTGCTTACTTGAATTGGCCAAGAACGATAAGGCGGGTGTCGTCGATGAAGCAGAGAAAGCAGGTCATGTTTATTCTTCAGGAATATTTGTTCTTATTCTCCTTGTACTTTTTTTCAAGAGTATCCGTATAAATCCTTTCTTTCGTTTAAATTTTGTCCTTGTTTTATTGAATTTAAGTTTGTTTTGATTATGATTAAGTTCACATGTTGATATTTTCTTTTTGCAGGAAGTGTAGCCGGAGACCAGACTGTCACTATATTTGGTACCGGGTTTGATGTTGATATGGTAGTTACTATCTGTGGTCGAGTGTGTAACATCTCAAAAGACCTCCGAGCAAATTCAACACATTACTTCTGTAAAACGCCTACCTCATCAGGTAGTACAGACGGTCCACTCCGGTAGTGTATGCCAGTGATCTATACTGGTGGCCTATGTTTTACCATTATTTATCAATATTAGAATATTCATCCAATCAGATACCTTTAAATAATAGTTATTATAAATACAACTATCATTTTTTTCTTGTTCAGTATTCAGATGAAACAAGCACGTCCTTAAGAAGCAGAAGCAGTCAATTTCCATTTCAACTTGACATCCTTAATTTCATGTTCAGTCCCTTGTATACTTCTACATGTAGCGTTAGAGAGTATGACTTTTATACTTAACGGTTAATAATTGTAATTCTATAATTGAAAATGTAATAATAAACATGTTCTTTTTAAGGTTCCGTATCTACTAACTGTAGCGTCGAAGTAACAGTAAACAGTGTTACTGATACTATTTTGGATGCTTATATGTATGATGTTTCTATCACTCCGCTGATTGATGACGTCACGCCTAAACGTGGCGGTACTGAGGGGGGAACCCAAATCACTATATCCGGATCAAATTTCGGGTAATGTATTATTGTAAATCTATTTCTGGTGTAAACCCAATGTCCTGAATGAAGTGAAATGACAAAATTAATATAGTTTTGCCCTCTACTTGACAGTATTTGAACTCTCTATTATTTTTTTCACCAGATCACAAGTTTCAACGGTTGGCTGCGAGTCATCAGTGACGATTGCTGGAACTTTGTGTAACATCACATCTTGGACAAGCTCACAAGTATTGTGTGTAACGGAGGCTCATTCACGGTCGGAAAGAAGCGTTGTCAGGATTGAAACAGGATGTGGTGGTAAAGCGCAGCAGGTAATGAGCTATTCTAACAGACCGCCGTAGTTATCATAATGATCGTACCTGATGCATATTTTCTTCATTCATCTTACAATATTTGTCAAAAATGGTCTTTTTGATTTGTTCAGTACAATGCGGAATTCCACTTTGTGGATGTATGGTCCTCTGTTTATTCCTGGGGAGGAGAGTCTCTTGGTCTTCCCACAGATGGGGACATCGTGGTTATTCAAACCGGCCAGACCATCGTACTGGATACCAATACACCGGTGCTTAAAATGCTCCTGATACAAGGTAAGACATAGTGTACTGTTATATTAACGTAAAGCTGAGGTTTCTTTATTTTCATTTCTTGTAAGTGATAACCCAATCCAGACTGCAATAGTTCTGTCAAGAGGGCATTGACCGACACGACCTCAGATCAGGATCCAGTTTGTTTGGTTCGGTGCTTCCTACCCTTGGCAGTTTTTGCTCCCTGGAAGCAGAGGACCTATCTTTACACTCGTGATTATATCTTTGAGGAGGATACTGATTGTTGTAGATGGCATCGACAGGCATTCCGTATGTTGAGTAATGAGGTAGTTACCAACCACTTCAAAGAAACTGAAAATGAACATGTTGTTCACTTAACCTACCGAACCCAGCAAACAAACAGAATACACAAGAAGGAGATGAGCATTTATAACTGTTTCACTATTTCAGGAGGTGAGCTGCTATTTGATGAAGTAGATGTGGAACTCCAAGCAGAAAACATCTTGATTACAGATGGAGGCTTGCTACAGGTAGAGCAATTTAGTGATGTTACTACATGTTTGTTATTGCACATAGCAGAATAACACAGGAATCATTATTTTCAAATTAAGGTACATTCTACTCTTCGACAATAATGTAATTTTCTTTTTTTTATCACTGAATTACGGTATCATGGCATATCGCCAAGTTATAGATATCGTGAGATACACGTGTAATGATACTTGTGTGAAAACGGACCGTTCGAATAGAAATAACCTGTCTTATCCGGAAATTAATTCGTTTGTTTTCGCTTATTGATCAAAAACATATAACCTTAAACTTATAACTATTTGAATTGGAATTCATTTAACTAATAGTTTGATATTTCATTCGCTTGAATGCCCCATGATATATCTAATTATTGAACTATCTTATTTCGTTATGCTCTGACATTTATGATAATAATAAGAATGATAAATGATAATAATTATAAATAATAAAAGACTTTATTTAAGATTGACGACACTTTGACTTTACAATACTCTTTTCACACGTGGTTGACATCAGATATGTACAATATTTACAATAAGTAACATTACAGTATCATATACTAAAGAAAACATTTAATTAAAATCAGTGAAAAGATGTGTTATGAATGAGTATAAAAATGTGACACACACAGTGGGGATTAAGAGTTACATAAAATACAATAAAGAGATACATTTACGATGAAACGATCTTCTGAAACTTCCAGACAGTGGAATTTTATGTTTGAAAGTTGGACGTTTTTCATTCAACTTTAAAATCATTCACATTTTGGCATTGCCTGATATTTTCTGGTAAACGATTCCAGAGTATGTACAAATGAATTTCGGAACTTTTTTGTTTAATGTTTAGGGATGGCATATTCCCCTGCAATAGATGATCTGGCCTGTCTATCGTGAAAATTGGATACAAACCATAATTTTTTATAAGGTTCTATTAGAATATTGTGGGCAACAAGGTCAAATGCTTTTCTAAATTCAATGTACATCACACCAGTTAGATTTCCTTTATCCATCTCTTCATATCATCTATATACATTTTGGTTAAAGACTAAGCGACAACATCAGCTGTAATTTCTATGTAAGACCCTCTATTTATCCCATAATTTGCAAGCGCATTCCTGTTTCTGATAAGGTTAAAAAACATCTGGTCCCAAGCACACGTGGTATGACACTATTCACAATAAGGTAGCGTCATCAGATAATGTAGCGTAACCATGTCGCAAATTGATAACGTCATCAATTTTGATGCATATTTCATGAAATATTAATGATGGCACAACGTTTCCGAACGACAAACCATGTGCTTACGTGTTTTTTCTTATATACGTGGGAATGATAATAAAACACGAGTCGGTTGCGTTGACAAATATCTCATTCCACGTGTCTGGCTGACCAGCTCTCGGCAAGCATCACACTGATCAGCCAAACTCTTACATGTTATGTCAGCACGAGATCATATTTGAAATGGAAGTGTTATAGAAAAGTTTAGTCTTTGGTGTTTTCCTTTTCACTAAATGAGATTTTATCGATACCTTATTTGATGAAGGTTGGAAGCGAGGAAGTACCATTCCAGCACAAGGCAATGATAACGTTACATGGTCATCTCAGATCAAAGGAGCTGCCAATATACGGGACAAAATCACTTGCTGTCCGGGAAGGGACACTCGACTTGCATGGTAATAACATATACGTTATTACAGAGTAACTATTTACTGCGAGAATTAAGTCGGATTTAAAATATGAAAATAAGCTCATGTCGAATGCAAATTCATCTGAAAGACGTTGTAAAGAGAGCCAACTCGAACATCTAGATATTGTCGTGTATTTGATATCTTAATGGTATTGCAAAATATTTAGTTTGAACTATGTTTTGAGTTTTGAAATTTTAGGCAAAATATCATGAATCATTTATTTTAGGTACGTTTGTTCCAATCACCTGGACGAAGTTGGCACAATCTGCGGCCATTGGGGATACACATATAATACTGCAGCACCAAGTCACGTGGAGGGTAGGCGACGATATCGTCATATCAACAACAAGCGGTATGGAATCCCAGTACGAAAGCGAGGTCGTCACCATAGCATCTATTGCTCCGGACAACGTGACCATTACTTTGAGTAGTCCACTACGTAACACACATTTAGGAATTTCCCAAACCTTGGCTGGTTGGGAACTTCCGTTCTGTGCAGAAGTCGGCCTTCTGACACGGAATGTCGTTCTGAGAGGGTTTCTTGATTCGCAGTGGACAGACTCCATCACAGCATGTCCTGATGGTTATGATCCAGGTACCACTGTGTATGATCAACAGAGGTCTCTTACAGCCATATTAATTCATTATGTAGATACAATCTAACAGTGACACACACATGTACTTCATGTTCTTGTGAAACTCAGAATTATAAAATCTATTGTTCAAATTTTCACTTAGTTTTAATTTGAGTTTGGATCATGATGATGTTGATGATGATGTTGACCTGTAGCTATTTTCTTGTTTTTTTTTTTTTTCCACTCAAAAGTTACAACACGTCACCGTTTGTATAGGTAAATCTGATTGAGCATGTAAATGGCATCAGCTTTACAAGTGATCTTTGAAATAACAAACTTTCGAAAGGAAAATTAGTACCTGATGTTTTACTTATGAACCGGTACATGATAAATCATATCTGATATAATAACAGGTCCTATCATCATTACATGACTAAAGTCGTATTTGGCTCGTATAACAGATAATCTTTGTTGGGACTCGATATTGCTCAAGAGTTACTACGTTTTATCATGATTTGAAGTAGACAGCACGATTGGTACAAATAAGCAAGTGATAAAAGAATAATGAGTTTCATATAGAATGGAACTGTAAACATGATCACGGTACTATATTGGTAAAATATTGTTTTTTAGGTTACTTCACAATCCAGACGTGTTTCCAAGGCCGCTATGGAAACGAGTTCGAGACAGATCAGTTTGGAGCTCATGTGGTCATTCACAAAATTGATCCAACGAAACCAATGACGACAAGTCGCATCGAGTATGTGCAGTTCTCAAACGTCGGACAAGCTCTCCGTCTTGGTCGCCATCCTATAAACTTTCAAGTAACCGGTGATATGTCCAAATCATATGTCCGTGGTTGCGCCATACACAACTCGTTTAATCGAGCTATCAACATTCGTGACACACACAACCTTCTTGTTGAACATAATGTGTTCTACAACATCGATGGCACGGCTGTAAATCTGGAAGATGGAACGGAGACAGGAAATGTATTCCAATACAACCTTGGCATATTGACGAAAGGAAGTTCACAGTTAATAAACGACGACATCTATCCAGCAACATTCTTGATCACAAATCCTAACAATACACTGCGGCATAACATTGCAGCCGGTGGGACACATTTTGGATACTGGTTTAATCTAGAAACCGACGCGAGCTCTGCTGTGACTGGTGTCTATAAACCTCAGTATACTCCACTTATGGAATTCTATAATAATACAGCACATTCCCTAGGATGGTACGGTGTATATATCAATCCAAAATATACTCCGCGTATAATGTATTCATTCACCTCCTATTCTAGTTCTAGAAAATCAGCAGTGTTGGAGTATATATATGTTTGGAACTGTCGCAAGGGGGTTGAGGTAGAAGATATGGGAACCGTACATATCAAAAATCTTATTGCTGTTAGTAATAGGTTAGCTGGATACGAGGGTAGAACTATATCAGAGGGTAGTTATGATACTGACGATGGACCGACAATCAAGCATTCGCTTGTAGCTGGCCATGTCCCCGCTTTTCCGTCACAAGGATGTACAAATGGAGGAGTTGTCGCCCCCTACAAGTTTGGATTCACCATACATAATGTAAGTTTTGTCAACTTTGACAAACCTACCTGTTCAGCTCTAGCCGTTACAAGGATCCCCGACCGATGTGATTCTCTTTGTGGTGGGTACATGTACAGAACACTCAACCTGACATTTATCAATACTGATAACCGCGTAAAGAATGACTGGGTATGGGAGTCAGTATACGAAGATATGGACGGCTCTCTTTGTGGTTCTGCAATCTGTCATGTCGTACCATGCACTGAAACATTACCTACAGTTTGTAGCGTCTTACCCCAGAACTCTACAAGTGTCTCAATGTGTGTATGTCCGTCAGAAGTTAAACTTTTCCGTTTTGCAATGAATTATTACAATTATGGAAGGTATATGAGCACATACTCTTTTTCTGGATGGCCTATATTCATCACAAATAAGTACGGAACAACACAGCATCCGTATCGAAATAATGCTATAGATCCGATCCGCGGCTGGATGACAAATTTTGTATCTGGTGAATCATACGAATGGAAGTTTAACTTTAGCCATTCGACCAATGTCAGCTACGATGGTTATTTCTATAGAATGCAGGTAGGTAATCATATGAGTGGGCCAATCGTCTTGATATTTTATCTATCTCCTAGTTAACATATGGTTGATAACAGTGTAACGTAAATTTGATATGGATATACATCTTCACATTTTCAAATCCTCGTAAAGGTGGGTTTGTCGCTGTACATTATAATACAAAATTATTTCACGTTTGTTCTTAATCATAAGTAATCACAAGCTGTTTTTCCTTTAGGAAATAAAATTGAGGTCGTAAGGAGTAAACTACATTGTAGTGAAGTGTACAGTACAGTTTACAGGAATCTGATTTAAGTAAATTAGATAGATATAGCATGTACTGGAGAATTTGAATACTCTTGTTCCGAAACTTAAGTATCAATGTCGCATACGGAGAAACAGTATTTGTCGCCTTTTTGCGTTTTCCTTGACGAGGTACACGCGTTTGATACGCTGCTAAATATACATTTGTATTACAAGCGTTTGAAACACTGCCAATAATTAAAATATGTTTTTTAATGAAGCAACCGGCAGTATATGAGGAACAATAACCTGCATTAGTATCAGAACTGATAAATGTATTTATTGTTTTCGATTTTACAATATTTCTGTAAAAAGTTATTACATTTTTATTTGATTTAGTATGGTGATTATGTCCTAATAAGCCAGCCTCTGCCAGGAGAACCGGACAGATTTAAGATAGATGGGTCTAATCTTATCCCTGCAACAAACGGCACCCTGGATCCAAAGATACATTATCACGGAGACTGGCAGTACAACGAAACTTCTGGCATGATCACGTACTTAGGTAGAAGTCTATGTGATTCACTTAGCGAAACAATTTTAGAGGTTATCTTAGATCAAGTCAACTTTGACCAATAAACTGGTTGATGTTTATGTTCTACTTGGTTATGTCTTTAGAATGTGAAAGATAAACCGGTATACATTTGCATAACAATGTACATTAAAACCATGACATTTAAACATTTTCTGAAGTCTACTTAAAATGTTCGTGAGTATATAATTTTCGTGCTTGTAAGTCCATGTCAACCTTTCGATGGTGAAAACGTTACTGTAGATATCTCATGTGAAGTTACATTTCATTTAACTAGTTTGCATCTAATCACGAAAAATCACATGAATGTTTCGTGTAAATGAATAATTTAAACCGGTTAGTTAGTTTATGTGAGGAATAGGTTGCTGTCATTCAAAATTAATTCATATCTTTGTACCTTCATGTTACAAAACTGTCTAACCGTGACGCTTATTTAGTATGTAACTTACAAGTTTGACAATTACATAACAAATATGACATACATGTGTGAAATCAATCTATACAGCATTGAGTAATATAATTTTATTCAATATTTAAAACAGAATAAAACATAACCACGAGAACGTGAAGTAAATTTACTGTTGTATTTTTAGTATCATACCGGCATCGTAACTACAATGAAGAAAGAGATTATGGTCCCCGGGATGTTACTGTCAGATTGCGAGTGGAAAAGTGTTTCTTTAAAGGATGTGTCACACCCCCTCCACAACCGGAACCAGAGACACCAAACTATAGTTACTGGTCCTCATCTTCATCATGGCCGAACAACACTCTCCCAGCAAACAATGATGATGTTATAATTATGACAGGTAAAATAAACATATCACTTTTGGATTGTTCCCAATGTAATGATTCCCTTTTCCTCTATATATTATCCTCTTCCCCTAACGTTCCTGATATTAAACAAAATCAAATTCATTTCTAACGACCTAATTATAACTACATATGATTTATATCGTTTTGAGTAACAGTTTCCATGTAAATCCTTAATACCCAATCATTTGTATACTCATAACTTTATATACGTAGGATAACTTTTATATTATTTTGCAATATTATTCAGTTTCAAACGATAACATAAAGAAATCAAATTCCTTGACATCTTGCTTTGATTGAACAGTGTAATATTATAACTTTCTCTTTAACCACTTTCAATCTATATAAGGAAACAACAAGAAAACACCAACAGCTTAACATAATCATTATTCAAACTAAAATTTAATCAAACTAGGTCAAATTATAAACAAAAGAAAGATATACGCGCAGACTCCTGATAAACTACCAGGATAATAATGTGTTCCGGAAGAGTAGGTACGTGATGTCACGTTCTCTAATGAGCTAAAGGTGTACAATAATGGAACCAACAGGCAGACTAACGAGCATCAAACACGTCAAGCTTCATTTAGTACAAAAAAAATAAATAGAATATTTCTCAATGAGATCACTATGACGACCGTAAAACTTCCTCATGATTTTCATCAAACTGCATCTTTTGCACCCTTATGTAAACAAATCATTCATAAAAATCTATGTCTAACAGTGTTTGTATCTGGATACAAATTGAAAACAAGGCTGTCGTTTAAAACAACAAATAACATAAACAGATGTCAACAAAAGCTTAATTCAAAGTTAAATTCGATAGAAAATATCAACAAAAGAAAGATTCACTTTGAGACTCCTGAAAATAGTAGAATAAGACCAGGCTTCCCTGGACAGTAAGCGTATTCTGCCAAGTTTAATGTCACATTTCCCAAATGAGAGCAATTAACAAAATGTGATGATTATAGCGACCGTGAAAGTGTCTTCCCCGTGCTTATACAAGGCTCAACATATTCTCAAGATGTTAGAGTATATGGAGCTGACACCTACGATAAATTTGGATGTGATGATAAAATTCCGTGTTTCTTAATAATTCATTTTTCCAAAAGGGATATACATAATGTAAAACTTCTCACACAGAAGTAAATTTTCTGTTCATTATAAACTCCAGTAATGGCAAGTTTGATTAATGAGTTTGTTTATAAGTCGAGATATCAAAATCATTACTACAGATAAGTGGATGCTAGCTGATACAGTGATACCGCGGCTTAACAAACTTGTTATATACGGAGTGTTGGAGTTCCACCACGGTCCGGTAAACGGGTCCTTCAGAAACTTTACCGTAAGTGCGACAGACATCATCATCATTGGTGGAAGACTTCTAATTGGTTCAGTAAGCGAACCTTTCCTTGGCAACATTGACATCGTCCTTCGGGGTCATCGTCCCGATCACTCGAACACAGAGGAGTATCTGCCGTCCTCACATATACCTGTCAACTCTAAAACATTAGGTAAACATGATTACATTCAATACTCATTTCTTTTACTGTCACAAATGAAAGACAAAAGCGGTTTGCTTCTGTAAAGTATGTTAAGACAGTGGCTGATAATGTCGTCAAACTGAAACAGACAGTGAAAAGGCGTGTAACGAATGATTACTCAATCTACATAACGATTCCATACATTTGTATAGTTTGTATATAGCTTCGATATCAAGAAGTTTTTTTGCTTGATTTGCTTTAACTTTATGCATTAAGGCGTATATGGAGGACTTTCCCTTTATGGGAAGGAAGTCGGGATCGCCTGGACAAAATTGTTCAGAACAGCGAACCCTGGGGATACTTCCATTACTCTAGCTGTTAACGTCACCTGGAGAGTTGGGGAGGACATCGCCATCGCCACCACCAGTTACGATATTTCTGAGACGGAAACTTTCAGAATCACTGATGTGTCCGCTGATGGATTCACACTCCGGCTCAACGACTCGTTACAATACAGGCATATCGGTACGTAAACAAGTAAATATCGCTAAAGATTCATCAGATTACTATTTTGTAAATCATAGTTATGTCCTGTATGTATACATAACATATTAAATTCTTGGCAAGAGCGTTCGTTTTCCGATATTCAAAATATTCATTTGTCCAAGTGACTGAGATTCTATCCTAATGTTTAAGATTTACCAGTTTATTAGTGTGTAGTTTGCAGGCATGTCCTGTGGTCCCCACATTTTTTGTGAGAGCCTTATTTTGTTTGTTTGTTCTAGCGTTGTTGTTTGTGTGGCTGATATTTAAATCATCAGACGATGTTTTAGTAAACCAGTACTGCTATTGTTTATATACTAATTTCCAAATAGCTTCAAATGATAAAGTAGGAGGTATGTTTGTCTGTGTCACAGTACATGACGAAACGATAAGCGGTCGACGAATAGTTTTGGCGGCGGAGGTAGGCCTTCTCACCAGGAATATCCGGATAATCGGCGAAAATGAGGACGAAATGTATAGAGATCGGTATGGAGGACGAGTGTTTGTGGGTTCGACCGTGTTCAACAATACGTTTTATCAAGGTCAGTTAACACTTTCGTATAGTTTTCATTTGTGATTTACTCTTACAGATTTTTTATTATAAAATAGCTTCCATGTTCGGCTAGCTGTACAGCAACACAATCAAACATTATGATGTTTTATTGTAGAAGGATAGGAGAAACAATGGATTCGAATTGTGAATTGTCTAGGACCTTTACAACAGTTATTAAACACGTTACGTTAATCATTCTAGTTGACTCGGACATGATTGATGTTCCAACTTTTGTTTTTTCATAATTAAAGTCTCTCTATATTCCAAAATTCCAAAAAATCAAATTCACATTACAGATATTGATTTTGGTTTGTTTGTATACGATTTAACAGACGGGTGTATTTTGTCAGCGACGTGCGCATGCGTTGTTGTGTGCGTACGTGGCCACGAGATTTCCGGAATACATCGCCTTGGTTAATAGAGCATACGAAGAAGGTTATTCCGTTCTAAAATGAAATCAATGCAACCTGTAATTGGTCTTGAACATTCGCCGTAAATACTGAATATATGATTTCCAATGTGGAAATCTCTCTTTCGAAATATGATATACGGCCACTAAAATGACTTCTATTTTGACTTTTCGACATAGGCGAATGATACTTAACGTTATATATTATTTGAACTTCCTAAAATATTTTCTTTCAGGATATGCGAGTTTCAGAAACGTCGAGTTTTACCATACCGGTCAGGAATATCCCTATACCAGTACACCGTTCTCACTGGCGTACTGGAACTCTGGCACTGTTACAGAACACACACCATCATCTGTTATTAGTTGTGCTTTCCATCATGGCTTTTCTTCAGCTATAGGATTGTACAATGCCAATGATATGGTACTGAAAGATAACGTCATTCACCATTCTGTCAACACAGGTATGTTTCCGTGCATTTTCTCCTTATAATGAATTATAGATGGTTGTAGTTTGAAATGTTATCCTTTAATTGTGGTCTGTTAGTAAACTGGCCACACACAATTGTTTTTCTGTAGTCTGCTTCCTGTCTAGGTAAAGCACAGTCCTTCTTGTGTTAATCCTTACAGCTTTGTGAAAGGCGTTACGTACAACCTACACAAACAAGAAGCTTAATATAACGAAATCATGATGTTTTTACCCCATACCGTAAAGGGTGTATATTTTCGAAAGTAGAAGAGCGTGATAAATGTTCCTGATAAGAATTGTTACTGTCTGAGTCGGGAGGGCCGGGGTTCTATCTCTTCTATAAAAGTTAGTTGTTTCAGTGATTGCTGTGTTGATCTGAACACATTTCGGCTCGTAGTTTTGTCTTTAAATAGGAACCTCTTCCGGCAAGTGCCTGGCATCTAAAACGAACATTATTTATGCAGCCTTTTTCGGTTTACATTTGGGATAACTTTGCTGTAGTTTAACATATTAGGTTATCGCTATACTTATCTTGCATAAGTATATTTGTATCCTTTTGATATCTTCACATTTTTTCATGTTACTATCGTTTTAGCGATCGAGACACTTTCTTTAAACACTTCCATTCAGAGGAATCTCATCGTACTAGTCATGGGTGGCAGTTCTTATACAGGAGCCATCAGTGGCATGGCGTCTCGTGAGTTAAGCCTTGTGAATAACACAGTCAGTGGTACCTATGGCGTGGCTTTTCACGTTCCTGGAGTGGAATGTGGGGCAAGCTCTGGCCCAACTGGAAATGAAGCTCACAGTTCATCGATAGGGTTGGCTGTTTATCCTGGGGACACCGTCCAAGGCTCGTGTTATCAAATATCACATTATTTAATCTGGAAGTGTAATGACATAGGGCTGTATTACAATAACAGGCTGTCCGTAGTTCTAACCGATAACATATTGGCAGATAACACTCTTGGAATACATAACCAAGTTATAGGACCGAGTGCTGTTGGTCATTTATATTCACCAAAATCCTGTACCGTTAAGGACAGTCTCATCATCGGAACAACATCGTCCTACAACTGTACAACAGATCAGACTATATCTACAGGTATAAGTAGTCAGGTCATCGGGGGTCGAGTTGGTATAACATTTACTTCCTTCATGCAAGGGAGCAATGAAGCACCGTACTCCGACCTGATCGGGATTAGAAGTTATCCGGCAATCATGGGAGTAACGAACGTTCAGGGTATGTAATACATCGATATGGTTATTCAATAATCTAGTAACACATGTTATATCTTAGCTACACCCTCGCTGTAACAAAATTTGATAAATCTAACATTACCAGACAACGTCCAACAAAATTCCATTGTTGACATAAAATTGTTCTACAAATGTTTTCAACGTAATTATAAATATCGGATATTACCTGATTATACGACTGGCATTCTCTAATTGGTGAAATGCAGAGCAGTCCCATAGCCTGTATATCTCTTGTGATTGATGACCGAGGAAATTTAAGTCCGTATAAACTATGATATTATTTATATGTAATCACCTTTTGTGTTTTAGAACTGAAGGAGTTTATGTTTAACGGTTCATGTAGTTTGTTCACTGCATCAGCTTTAATTCAACTTAAATGTCAAGTTAGACTAACACGCCATTCGGAAGCTACAACTCTGGTTAAGAACAGCTTACAGACTGCTTGAATTCCTTATCTATCTGCAATCTACGGCAATCTAAACGACGTTTAGGCTATATACACATGTTAATTATTCACATGTAATTTACATTCGATTTTCTTATATTGTTTTAGGTGTAACATTTGCACATTTTAAAAGCGTTTGCGGGTCGAAAGATGTTATGCTGACAACCAATAAAGGAAATGATGACGGACAACACCCCTTGGTTATCAAGGAAGTCACAAAATTTGACTCGGAAAATGATACTTATTTCTTCATCCATCGACCAAATATCGAGTAAGTTAAATCACATGGTATATAATTTTGAATCGTTACAGTACAGGATTTTAGAGGAATATCTATGAAGAAACTCAGATTGATGTGTTCTAATGTACGTCCTACACGGGAGCACGAGAGAGGCTACAATCTATCGTCAGAAAAAATTACATTGTTTTAGATATGTATACACCCTCTTTATGATTTTTTTTATACATATATTTTGTTGTAAACCTTTAATCTTTGATTATCAAAAAATCGTACTGCAATCATTTACTAATTAATTATAAATCATTGCGTCTATATACATCTCATAAACAGAAAAATTAATCCAAATGCCTGTGTCGATATGGATTGCGACGGACTGAAGAAGGCGTTAATACACGACAAAGATGGATCCCTCCTGGAATCAGAGGGCTATGTCCTGTCCCAGTCAGAATGGCAATGGAACGGTGACCCGAAAAGGGGTCTAGGAGACTACAGAATACCGAAAGAGATGTTGACAAGCCTAACTGGAGAACGCATCAATGTTAGCAGTATCGCACCTTATAAAGGTAAACACGGATAAACATGCTTACCCGAATAAATTCATTACCTAATAAGATATTGACGGAGGTATGGAGTGAAATTGGAATGTATATACAAATGTTCATGTAGATGTCGACGGAGGTATGGACGGACATGTATGCGCGTGTAAAATCAGTACTTAGATATTAGTGGAACTATATCAACAGAAAGTGCTGGCTACATAGTGACCGATTTGAAATACTACATTGATAATAAGAATACCGGAGATTTTATTACAATATATTTAATAGAGATATAAACATGAAACTGTATTGAGCCATTCTATTTCCTCTTGATCTACATCAGTTTTATGCGAACCAAAAGAGAGAGTATATAGTTGCCTCTTTGTCCATCCGTCTGTTTGTCCGTTAGTCTGTCATCCTTTTGTTCGGAGAATACCACGAAAACTATAAGAGGTATCGACATAAAAATTTCCATGTAAGTAGTTAATATCAACAAGGAGAACTACAGTGTACAAGAACCAATCACTCTCTGTTACATAATTTAGGAGTTATTGCCCTTTGTTATTTTCCAACTTAACTTTTGGCCGGAGCATTACACTAAAACTATAAAAAGTATCAACATGAACCTTCATAGGGAGATAGATCTCAGCAAGTGCAGTGCACAAGAATCATATCTCTCTTGTTGCCGTTTGTTATTTTTCATACTTAAATTTTGTCCCATTCGGGAAGCAGAACCCGTTTCTGATGGCACTTGTTTTAAATAAATCTGCAACATATGTATGTTTGTGGGGATTCTTTGTGGACATCAAATCAATAATACCGATTTACTTTTAATACAGGAATAATACGAGACGACCAATGTCGATACCGACCAGCATGGCAGGCGTACGAGTGTCATAGTCTGGACTACAAAATGCTGATAATAGAGAGTCTGGACGCGGATACGGAGACTCGGCGTCTGTCACCTGTCGCTGTTCTCGGAGATGGATATCTTGATCTCATTAATGGCCCCCAGGACCATGGTAGTTGTAGTTACGGCAGATGTCGCCTCTCCACCTTTATGTCTATCGTAGCTACAGGTTTGTATGTTTTAGTTATGGTTTGTGACAGCCATGTCTTACATTACAGTTACTTTGTTTAGCTGTCACAATTATGTCAATATTCAGCGACGTTGTACTATGTCACATTTCGTCAATATTGAACAAATAATCACAATAAATCTGAGTATTGTTATCTTAGACAAGTTCCTGTATATCCTCTTGTTCTCTTGGTTATTTGTTTCCGATTTCGCATGAAAGTAGGAGATGGTGCAAATTTCGTCTCGTCATAAACGCTTTTCATATACATTTATCCTTGTCAAGGGTCTATCACATGATAACACATCATTCCAATAAACACTATTTAACATACGATAACTATTCATTATGTACATCTATCGACATTCTCCGTTACGTTATTTGTGTTTCAAACTCTAAAATTCAGTATGAAAAACAAAGACGGATTCAGTATAGTACAACATATTAACTTAAGTTTAAAACATCTCTTAATAATATTCAGATTCTCCCTCGGGAAGATCTTTCTTTAAAAGTAACAAATAATTTGTGTAATGTATGTCATGTTTGTTTATCTACAGCGTAGTACATGTAATGCTAGAGTTTGTAATCTATGTCATTGAGAAAAGAAATCTTGTCTTTATTTAGGGAAAGATTACCTCCTTTATTTCACTGCCACCAGTCCACAGACGATGCAATTCTTCCTCTTAAATTCCAACGATGACCACGTTGTCACACTGGGTATATGGTACTCTCAGTCCAACCGCCGAGATGTGTATGTTAAAGATGAACTAGTCCTGGCAAAAAATGCAAGGATGGTTAATGGGAAGTACGTTGTAGATCCGCCATTGTATCCGGGAGAATTTATTCCTGACGCAAACTCGACTGACATCACGGGAACAAACTTCTTTGACAGAGATTCAAATATCCTGTATGTGCTAGTTAGGGGAAGTACTCCAGTTAAGATCGTAACAAATCCATCATTTATAGTGTCGTTTCAAATACCCGCTTTAACGCCGGAGGAGTTTTACGGGGAGGCTTTGGTACATAACTTAGCCTTGTTCTTTGATGTGCCTGCGGAGAAGATCCGAATAGTAAACGTCGTCCGTGAGTCGAGGAGGAAGAGACGAGATGTTGATGATAATGATGATCACGTCGTCCGAGAGTCGAGGAGGAAGAGACGAGATGTTGATGATAATGATGATCACGTCGTCCGAGAGTCGAGGAGGAAGAGACGAGATGTTGATGATAATGATGATCACGTCGTCCGAGAGTCGAGGAGGAAAAGACGAGATGTTGATGATGATAATGATGATGATGATCACGTCGTTAATGAGTCAAGGAGGAAGAGACGAGATGTTGATGATAATGATGATGATGATCACGTCGTTAATGAGTCAAGGAGGAAGAGACGAGATCTCGGTGATGACGACATAAAAATTGAATTTGAAATAAGTGATCCGCCAACTGCAAGTAAGAAAAATTGAAGAGAGTTTTCCTCACCAATATCTGTATAATATCGTTTAATTTTAAACTTGTTTTACAGTATTGTAAACATTTAAATTAACCCGAACAGATTGACGTTTCTTATAATATCTAACCTGTGATGTCACCATGTGTTAATGATGATGACTATGTCATTGCTTTGTTTATTTTCACACTTTTTCAGTGACTTCCGTGTGTATTTGGCTTTTTACATTTTGTCCCTATTTCATCTTTAACAACTTAAAATATGATTTTATTGATATATCGCACAATTGTTATATACTTACATTACAAATATACTTTGGTGTTCTGTCATGTTTTTAAGATAGCAATGTTACGGTAAACGAGTCCATGACAACGGACGCCTTGCTGAACTTGTCTTCTAAGTTCATCAACGAAGTACAAGGAGGAGGCGATATAAGCGAGGTACTTAATGTATCTGTGAGAGGTATAGCTGTGAGTGAACCTCTCCTGGAGGCCGACTCCTACACTATAGGGGATTCGGGCGGCTACCTGACAATACCAAAGAGTATTAATATTACCATACAGCCGGCTCCATCATATGAAACAGTAGAATTTCCTACACAACCATGTCTGAAAGTTTTCGATGAACAGGTAAGTTACGTTCCATTTATAGATTTATCGTCAATATTACATTGAAATAAAGGAATATATCATTATTGCAGTGATAAAAAAGAGATCTTATAACATCATAAGTGCTAATGACATCACGTTTTTAAATATAATTTTGTATATATATATATATATAGTTTTGGTCAATCAGAGAGGTGTTTTCTAGTCACCGCATTGAAATTTGCCGATGTTCCTATTAAGACGCAAATAATGCGAAGGTTCAATAAGATATTTTTACATCAAATTCAAACATAAGGATGTACTCCCCTTACAAGTAAAAAATATCCAGAATTAAGCTTTTTTATGATGATGATAATTTTTGAAAGTTTGGATTATAGAAAGTAGATTAAAAGTAAAATAAATCAAGAAGCTACTACCTTACTTTTATCCGGTTCAGGCGTCTGAATATGTGTAAAAATCATTCTATTTTTACGTATCATTCTTATTTTTTCCTGAATAACAGACATTCCCTCTCATTTTCGTGGCACCCTTTTTTTAGTTACAGTTTCGGTTTTCATTACAAGGTAAGGGATACTTGGATATAAAGAACAAAATTAGCGATAAGGCTAAGGTTTCATTTGATTTAACGAGCTTTTGCGCCCAGAAATGAAAATGTTCCAAAACGACTTAAATTCCTTATTTTACCACCTTCTAGTAGTAAACTGTTTAAAAACTTTATATTTGGATAGAGAAATTTTCGAGGATACTTTCCAAACTCTGAAATCAAGCTGAAATATTTGTTTTCGGGCCCTAAAATTCTGAATAGTGGTCCACCAAGTCGGAATTAACAAATTTGAAATCTGAGAATTGCAGTAATAATTCATGCAAAATTTAGTTGAAAGCTACCCAGATTTTCAGAGTTTTACTTAAGAGAAGTTCCTTAGCAGCCAGGGAATGTGGAAATTGTTGACACTTTAATCAAATAACATCATCAACTACGCCAACAAAAAAGTAGTCCAAAACCCATTTTTTCAAAACATCAGAAAAAGTCGTCCTTAAGATGTTTATATGTACACTGTAGATAACAAAGTGTATCGGAACACAGAAACTTCAAGCTATTATGCTGGAACTAATTTTATATTGAATTATGTCATTCTTCCGGTCAATCGTCAAAGGAGTTCATCCTTAAAATATTCCAATATGACATTGTACCATTCCACCGTGCAGGATTGATTTGTGCCAAATCATACTCAGTTGGTCTATGTTTTGATGTGTGATGTAATGTGTTATAGACATAGTAAGAGTGGAATACACTTGATATTACAGGACCAGCCAATGACAAAGTTAGGCAGTATTGGTGATCACTGGCGAGTAACAGCCTATCTTATACCAGGAGGGAACTCCTCCGCCCAGTTACATGGTACTACAACTGTGGATATCGTTAACGGATGGGCTAATTTTACCGACCTCAGTATCTCTCACTACGGTATCGACTACATACTTCTCTTTAACAAAACTTATCCAGATAATGAAAAGTATTTCTCTGCGCAATCAGAAAGATTTTCTGTGTCGAGATTGGAAGTCGACATGAAGATTGATATTTCTAGTGAAGCAATTGTTACGCACAATACTACCGAAATAAGGATATCACTGATAAATAACATCAGCAGAAATCCACTCCGGGATGTATCATGGAGGGTATGTATTGGTAGACGGAGAAGTCGGGTACATTACAGACGAACAGCTACCTGATGTATAATTGCTTAATTGGCTATATCTATATAATTCTAAATTCCTATCGAAGATGTTATTCACTTTTGAATCTTTTGTACTATCTTTTTGTGTCCATGCAGCGCTAAGCACTGTAGAAGTAATGAGAACCAAAGAATAACACTACTATATATACACCTTTTGTATAACCATCAAAGCAATTCAGGTAAAACGCATTTAATCTAACATGGTAGGATCATATTATCAAATTTTGTATTGTATGTTCCTTGTAAGGCTGCTGTAAAATATAAATTAGATATGTGTTCGTGTATATGCGTGTTTTGTAAAGACTTCATATTCGAGGTTTTGGTGTAACCTGTATGTCACCTTTACTTAATTCGATTAGAGACACGTTTCAGAATGAGCACACGCACTTTTGAATCATTCAATATTGATCTCTTCGAAAAATTTATTGAATTTTGGCGATGAGTAACTCCCCATCTGATTTATGATGATTATTTTTAGCCAATATGTTTTTGTTTCGCCTCCTCACTGATATATCCTACAAATATGAAATAGGTATGTGATGCAGTTGAATTCAAATGTTCTATTCACCTGTGTATGTTTGTACAATTTCTAACTACAGGGTCACATTTGGATGGCAACAGCCAAGCTCCTCAATGAATCAGAATCTACTGGAAATATGTCGGGAACACGCCAGATAATGTTTGATTCCGACACTGGCGAAGCAGTGTTCGATTCTCTGACATTCGATCAGATTGGCTTTTATTTTCTGACATTTCAAGTAATTTCCACGCCAGAGGAGTATAATTTCTACGGAAAGGTCCTGGTTCAAGTACTGAACGAAAAACAGTTCTCATTGCTAAAAGACAACACGACGGTGGTTACCAATGTCTCCTTAAGGTTTCAAGACAATTACCAGCAGATTGTAGGAGATGAAGAGGATAGCTTTGGAGCTATGATTGCTAATATATTGGTACAACAAAATTCAGACGTACTGTTTAACTCAGTATCAGTATCAGAAGGTAATGGACCATAAACCAAATCTCTTAAACCTGAAAAATTGAAAAATTAATGGCATGAATTTTGTGGAAACCATTCAATTGAATTCGTATTTCGGAAAATCGGAAAACAAAATATCAATAAATGTGCTCAAAATATGTCCAAAATAAATATCGAAACTTGCTTTGATAATGTGTTGATATATCTCCCTTTCTTAATTTTAAAGGAAGCATCGTATTTGGAATTGTGATACAAAGTCAACTTGATCAAATCAACCAAACCGTAGAATCTATTGGGGAATTAGTGCGATCTGAAAGCTTCATTTTCAACGGCGTTCCTCTGCAAAGTCCACAGCTTAAAGTGAACGGAATAGATCAATATTTATTGGTATGTATGATAAGATACAAAGAAATTCTATCTTACTTATGTGCCACTCTCTTCTAACATAGTTTTCATACGTGACTGAATTAATCTTATCATGATAGGTCACTTAAACCTTATTAAGGTCACCAATTTCACTTTCGGATAATTGATAATCTCTTTTAAAGAACAAAAATCCGAAATCGAGGACACGACAGACTTTAGTTTACAAAGTCTTTTTACGAAAATATCCCGCCAAGCTTTATAATTGAGCCCATTTTCCATTTCTTGACAGTAAACTGCCTGCTTCCCAGCTTATGGCGTTAATAGGTAGTACGTGGTACGATACTCAATAGTTTGTTGCAAAAGTCCTCATTTTTCTGCAACACAGTATGCTTACAATATAGTTTCATGATCATACGTATGCTTTATGATCATACGTGAGGTATATATGATGCTTGTTACTATATTGTTATTGTTATTACAAGCATCATTCCGGAACACCTGGTCTTATTCTCCTTCTATTTTTTTCCGAAACAATTTTTTTCTTGTGTTTTCATTTTTTGCTCCTGTTCCATCGATTACATTTACCGAAACAATGCATATTCTTGTTTTCTGTATAAATTCTACATCGACCTAAATTGATCGGTCATTTCAATATGGCAGCACAACAAAGTTGGCTTCAGTTAGAAACTCTTACAAGGCGCTGATACGGACATACCGCAGACTCCCCAATCACACACAGTCAACACGTGTACTCGCCTCGCATCCATCGAAAGACTGTCCTTCAAAGATCAAATCTGTTGATAGGACATAAAACAATATAAATCAAATACAATCTTTGATGTAAATGCAAGTGCGCTCTAGAATCATTGAGTGTGATTGTAGTTCAGTGTGTCAGAGTACATATCTTAGTCAGTAAATTAAGACTGATAACTTTGATAACACATTGTCCACAGTCTCGTATCTATTGATTCCAAACTGTGTTTTCATCGCGGTTTCAGACAGTACTTTCTGACATGTTCAGAGATTCACTCGAGTGCCCCTGTCCAATAAACCAACCTATGAACATTGGTAGTTTAAGCTGTGCTGTATATAATGCATAATTATAATTTTCTTGTAGGACACGACAACGATCGCTGTTAGTACATCAACGACCGAAACTATTACATTGATGGACACCACAACACCGACCGAATTTAAAACTCCGACGGAAACTTCAATACCGACAGAAACTACAACACCGACAGAAACTACAACAATGTTGGAAACTACAACACTGACCGAAACTACAACATCGACAGAAACTGCACCAGCGACGGAAACAACAACACCGACAGAAACTACAACAATGTTAGAAACTACAACAACGGCCGAAACTACAACATCGACAGAGACTACAACAATGTTGGAAACTACAACACCAACAGAAACTACAACAACGGCCGAAAGTACAACACCGACAGAAACTACAACAACGGCCGAAACTACAACACCGACAGAAACTTCAACATCGACAGAAACTACAACAGCGACAGAAACTACAACAATGTTGGAAACTACAACACCGACAGAAACTACAACAATGTTAGAAACTACAACACCGACAGAAACTACAACAACGACAGAAACTACAACAACGACGACAAATACAACTCCGACAAAAATGACGACAATGACACGGGCAGCCACGTCATTATTGACTTACCCAACAACAACGGAAACATCAACACCAATTGATATTCCAACTACAACAACTGGGACGATTTCACCAACTATCGACACCACAACACCATCTTCTGACACTACAATGTCAAATCCACCGACCACCGGAATGTCCTTTACTTCACTCATTTTGATTGTAAGCATTCCTGCAGCATTGCTTCTGGGAGCTATTGCACTGTTTGTTACCATTAAATGCTGCAAGATGCGAACTCAGGATGGAAGAGGTTAGTTTATATCGAATCTTTGGACACAAAATGAATTTTATACGAAAAACGTATTAATATGATTTCAAGAAAATCTATTAAATGTATTTTTGTTAATCTACTGCTAGTTAAAAACACTTTGCTTCACGTTGTATGTACAGTGTATTTTTACTGCTGTGTGGGAAGTAACAACCAGCAATGGTTGTATATGGACGGATGTACAGCGTAGCATTATCATTGCGGCCGATATAAACATTTTTCAATGATCACATTTTGAAATTTTCTCGAATAGCGTCCGTTATCGCTGAACCCCTTCTACATTTGATGAGAATCTTCCTGAAATCATAATACGCCATTTAACTCTGTCAGGGATAAACTTTCCATCTGTCAGTAATATTTATGCGTTTTACATCAAATCTCGCGTGAATAATTCAAGTGTGTTATTATCTCTGTGTAATTTGCACATTCCTAAATATCAACATTGCGATGCATGGAATCTTAATAAATGACTCCAAATGCATTACATCTGTGTGTGCGAAAACCTATTTAAATGACGACTACAACATCAGTATCATGTAATAATGGTTAAGAATTGAACTTTAATCCTGTTGAATGATTAATTATGATATGGAAGTTATACAACTGCTTTATAACTAACCCATGTTTAGTGAACAAAATACGATCCTGCTGAAGTTAGAGAGTAATTTTAATCTAAAACTTTATATTTTTTATGTTTACAGAGCAACTGGCCAGGAAATCTTCATCCGTACCTTCTGAAGATGTTTACACAGGTGGATATGAAACAAGGAGAGACGAACACCACTACCAGTCTCCGCTTTCTATCACAAATAATATGAAACCACATCACCCAGAGTTGCCACGTATACAGAGTAACTCAATCCTCAGATCAGTCACTCCCTGGACAACACACTCAGGTTCCACTTACAAGGGTAGTGATGACAGGCAATTCTCTCCGAGATTTTATACCGGAAGGGAACAATACTGAATCAGTCGATATTGACTACACATGTATATATAACGGAACAGTAGAATTATGGGATTGTATTCCGTGTTAATCTTTTTCAATAGGCAATTGATCTTTTGAGTTAATAATTCTTACGAAAACTACTAGTACTGAAACTTCATGATGTTAAATATCATTTGTGGGTTACATTAAGAGCTTCCGCGAAATCAACGGAAACAAAACCTGTAAATTGATAATTAAAGATAACATAATCTCTTGTTTAATATCTTATGGAAGATATTTAATTTCAGTTTAATATCATAATTGTATATTTCAGGTGTATGAAACAGTTTCTTTTTTCATGAGCGTGACTAGATGAAAAGAAACTTCGACCAAGTTATCATTAGACATCAAACTCTGTTTTATTTTGTGATGTACGTGATATAGGTCATGTATTGCAATATGATATAATGCACCACTCGAAATGGATTCAGTTAAAAATCTGAATGTTTAGAAATGACTGGTATAATTTCCGTTTAGTTAGTGAGTTGTTATATATCTATTTAACGGTTTTTTACGTCCACTATTATGACCTTTCAGCTGACTCTTCAGCAGATGTCGTCTACCATAATGTCGTGTTGTAAAAAAAAAAAGAGATAAATACGTCGGATTCTATATCGGCTCTAATCGTGATAAGCCTGGAAGTTACCTGTGTTGTAGAACGGACACCTGTTATTTGTCCATTTCTTTATACATAATTAAACGTCAACTTTACTCACATTTTAATACGTATGTAAACCACGATAAGATTCTCAAGACAAGTATTGATCATAATACGAAAAGATGACATGATACTCCAAGGTAATCCCCGTAAAGATGACTTCCTCAAAGTTCATATCTCTGTTTGTAAGCATTATTTCATCATATGCACTTCTAAAAATTGCTTATTTTTTTTCACTTTACTAATAGTCTTTTTAATATGATACTTAATGCAGAAAATACTAATCTTATTTATAGCGATTAATAATTGTATTCCAGACTTGTGTCAGATATTTCTGTCTTAAATAGATTGTGATTAAAAATTAAAAATTCTTTTTCTCTTCGTCTACAATATCGATATTCACAGCTTCTTGTCTGCTTGTTCTAATCCTTAAAACCGGAATAAAATGTCTTTCTTTCATACAGCGAATTGTTTTTATTTCATTCCAATCAACCGATTCCTGCTATAGATTGTGATAGGATGTCAAATCATATCTCCACAATACTCATATTGACAACAATAACTGTAAACAACCCTAATTTAATATAGACAAAATACCTGAGACTCAATGTCACTTGTGTTTTAAATGTTACCGTCATTCTACAAAATGACGATATTCTGTGCGTGCTTATCTAGATGTTAAAGTTTATTTGTCGGTTTTCCTCAGTCGCCTCCTATGTTTCAAGCCCTCAACATCACTGATAAGTCCTTGAAGGACGGAAAAACAGTAGCATATACTTTGATTCTAAATTACATTAATATATCTAATTTTACATTTGTATTAAAAGGCGCTGTTCACTTGTGTTTTTAACGAAACTTTAAAACTGATATTTTTAAAGTTAATTAGAATACGTTGTTGTTGACCCGTATGTGTGGTACGACGCTCCCTATCCGTGACGACTTGTGTTTCTCGGGAATCTGACAAAACGAGCCTGTCTGTGTTGTCTTAGTTGTCTCATTGAACGAGACACTTTGCCCTAATTGTTCTGGTTGGCATGCGGCGGACTACCCATATGTTGTTCTATGAGGTAGCCATCAGCTATTACAAGAAGATCCCGCCTCAAAATGACCCTGGCAATTCAAAGTGATCGATGTCAGTTGTGAGCCTTGATCAGGTTTGGAGCACGTCAAAAGATCAAAGTCCACTAAACACAAAGCAGGCTTGTTATGGTAACACTCACATCATGTATGATATAGTTAGAAGGTGTGTCCTGTGACATGTGATGGACGACTTGTGGTATGGCATTTTTTTAGATATGTTTTGTTGAGTTCGAATCTTTCTGTTGGTAGTATGATGATCTAGCTATTCTTTGTTGTTTTCTAATAATAATAACAATAACAAGCGCAGTAATAGCGCCAACAACAACAACCGCGGTAACTGCGGCAACAACAACAAGCGCAGTAATAGCGCCAACAACAAGCGCAGTAACAGCGCCAACAACAACAACCGCAGTAATAGCGCCAACAAAAACCGCAGTAAGAGCGCCAATAACAACCGCAGTAACATCGCCAACAACAACCACAATGACAGCGCCAACAACAACCGCAGTAACAGCGCCAACAACAACCGCAGTAATAGCGCCAACAACAACAACCACAGTAACAGCGGCAACAACAATAAAAACCACAGTAACAGCGGCAACAACAATAACAACCGCAGTAATAGCGGCAACAACAACCGCAGTAATAGCGCCAACAACAACCGCAGTAAGAGCGCCAATAACAACCGCAGTAACAGCGCCAACAACAAGCGCAGCAGTAACAGCGCCAACAACAACAAACGCAGCAATAGCGCAAACAACAACAACAACCGCAGTAATAGCGCCAACAACAACCGCAGTAATAGCGCCAACAACAACAACCGCAGTAATAGCGCCAACAACAACAACCACAGTAACAGCGGCAACAACAATAAAAACCGCAGTAACAGCGGCAACAACAATAACAACCGCAGTAACAGCGGCAACAACAAATACCGCAGTAACAGCGACAACAACAACCGCAGTAATAGCGCCAACAACAAATACCGCAGTAACAGCGGCAGTAACAACCGCAGTAACAGCGCCAACAACAACAACCGCAGTAACATCGGCAACAACAACCGCAGTAACAGCGCAAAACAACAAGCGCAGCAGTAACAGCGCCAACAACAACAACCGCAGTAACATCGGCAACAACAACCACAGTAACAGCGCAAAACAACAACCGCATTAGTAGCGCCAACAACAACAACCACAGTAACAGCGCCAACAACAACCACAGTAACAGCGCCAACAACAACCACAGTAACAGCGCCAACAACAGCCGCAGTAATAGCGCCAACAACAACAACCACAGTAACAGCGGCAACAACAATAAAAACCGCAGTAACAGCGGCAACAACAATAACAACCGCAGTAACAGCGCCAACAACAACCGCAGTAACAGCGCCAACAACAAATACCGCAGTAACAGCGACAACAACAACCGCAGTAATAGCGCCAACAACAACCGCAGTAACAGCGCAAAACAACAACCGCATTAGTAGCGCCAACAACAACAACCACAGTAACAGCGCCAACAACAACCACAATGACAGCGCCAACAACAACCACAGTAACAGCGCCAACAACAACCACAGTAACAGCGGCAACAACAACAACCACAGTAACAGCGCCAACAACAACCACAGTAACAGCGCCAACAACAACAACCACAGTAACAGCGCCAACAACAACCACAGTAACAGCGCCAACAACAACCACAGTAACAAACAGCGGCAACAACACCACCAGCAGCACCAAGAATATATGAACTGAAAGAGATACAAAACTGAAGTTATGATTACGGAGTTAAAATAGATTCTATTGTCCGTGTTATCATATACGACTAAGGTAAGGGTAACTCTCACGGCACGATTCCGGCCAATAATACCTGGAAAACTTTACAAAGTAGATTTCTTCAATTGGCACAATAAGTTAGGACTTGCCTTCACCTAGCAGATAAAACACAGCATGATTACGCTATATATACATGTCTTTATATGCTTTATAAATAAATCTATTATTGTTGTTTATTTATTTACACACTTTCACCCTGACTGTATTTCTCAAGCATCACAACTTTTTTCCCTAATTAAATCTCATTATCAAGTTTACTTTGTAAATAAAGAATCGGTTGAAAAGTAATGTAAACAATTATATTGAATTCGTCACAAACACCTTGGTTGGACCGTTCTCTATATAGGTAAGTCTGCCTTTAATTACGGGTGGTGGTGGTCCGGTAACACCGACCTCTGACACGGCCTAGGCGATAATCCTTTCATCCGATTTACAACTTTAATTACACGAACTTTCATTGTGAAATCATATCGTTAATCCGTTAGACGTGTTGATATAAATGGTATATGAAGGTAAATGGTTCCATGTCTATAGGAAACATGGCCTCTCTGTTTTCTCTGATCCGGACAGGGTTCGTGATAATACTGTCCTATGGTAAGTACATTATTTTATCTGTTCCATCTTCAACCATTAATTTAAACAATAGATTCATGGGTTAGTCCAGTCTGAAGGAGGATGGTTAGAAAAGGATTATATTTTTTCTGGAATATCTCAAAAACAATCAAGATACATGTGTAAATACTTTTTGGCCAAAATGAAAACTTCTGTCCCTACAACTACAAATCCTCTACAACACAGAGTACACGTATAAAGCTTGCATTGTCACTTAGATAGTCACAGTGCTTGTCTAACCGTACATTACATGCACAGGTATGTAGTACCACGGGCAGACTATCAAATTCTAACCTAGCCTGCTAATTTGTATATGTGAGAATTATTTTGAAGACAGGAAAAATCTTTTTATTATCCTCATACAATGACATTTTTAACATGCAACATCCTAGATATATAAAAAGGACATGGTTTCGATTTGTTAATCACGTTGTAGGGACACTCTTAACAATTCTGTGGGCATGTCTCCACAATTACGGTCACTTAAATGGCGCGAAAAGCCAAGAAGAATGTTTTTATTAAATGTCCCCACAAACTTATTACTCTTTGATCATATTTCTGCCTTCTCTCCTCCTCGTAACTGTATGGGAACAATATCTTCATTCTGTAAGGACATTGCTTTGATGTCCTCGCACCAGAAGAGATAAACAAAGATATTCTATCACATGAAACCTGACCGAGATTTATTCAATATTCAGGAGTGAATAAGTTGGGTTTAGGTATGGTATACACGAGCCGCCATCTTATCTATGATACAGCTGTCGGAAATGTCCCCAGAATGTCGGAGTGAAACTCATGTTTCCACAGATACAGTAAAATCAGACGAGGAGAGATACTCGTGAAATGGATAAATAATGACCCTACTTAAAAATTATCAATTCATAAAACACTTTCCAGATTGATTTTTATGTCTAGGTGTAACAGATGCTGCTCGTAAGACAGTGAAGTTTTATATCACAGTTGGAACCGAAAAACAATATTTGACATCCCCGAACTATCCACAACCATACCGAAAGTAAGTATCATAACTCTACACTAAATCTTCATCAATTGGAGGAAACAGTGTACTGACGTATGATTGGTGTTATTACAGTGTACTGACGTATGATTCGTTTTATTACAGTGTACTGACGTATGATTCGTGTTATTACAGTGTACTGACGTATGATTCGTGTTATTACAGTGTACTGACGTATGATTCGTGTTATTACAGTGTACTGACGTATGATTCGTGTTATTACAGTGTACTGACGTATGATTCGTGTTATTACAGTGTACTGACGTATGATTCGTGTTATTACAGTGTACTGACGTATGATTCGTTTTATTACAGTGTACTGACGTATGATTCGTTTTATTACAGTGTACTGACGTATGATTCGTGTTATTACAGTGTACTGACGTATGATTCGTGTTATTACAGTGTACTGACGTAGGATTCGTGTTATTACAGTGTACCGACGTATGATTCGTGTTATTACAGTGTACCGACGTATGATTCGTGTTATTACAGTGTACTGACGTATGATTCGTGTTATTACAGTGTACTGACGTATGATTCGTGTTATTACAGTGTACTTACGTATGATTCGTGTTATTACAGTGTACTGACGTATGATTCGTGTTATTACAGTGTACTGACGTATGATTCGTGTTATTACAGTGTACTGATGTATGATTCGTGTTATTACAGTGTACTGACGTATGATTCGTGTTATTACAGTGTACTGACGTATAATTCGTGTTATTACAGTGTACTGACGTATGATTCGTGTTATTACAGTGTACTGACGTATGATTCGTGTTATTACAGTGTACTGACGTATGATTCGTGTTATTACAGTGTACTGACGTATGATTCGTGTTATTACAGTGTACTGACGTATGATTCGTGTTATTACAGTGTACTGACGTATGATTCGTGTTATTGCATTGTACTGATGTATGATTCGTGTTATTACAGTGTACTGACGTATGATTCGTGTTATTACAGTGTACTGACGTATGATTCGTGTTATTACAGTGTACTGACGTATGATTCGTGTTATTGCATTGTACTGATGTATGATTCGTGTTATTACAGTGTACTGACGTATGATTCGTGTTATTACAGTGTACTGACGTATGATTCGTGTTATTACAGTGTACTGACGTATGATTCGTGTTATTACAGTGTACTGACGTATGATTCGTGTTATTGCATTGTACTGATGTATGATTCGTGTTATTACAGTGTACTGACGTATGATTCGTGTTATTACAGTGTACTGACGTATGATTCGTGTTATTGCATTGTACTGATGTATGATTCGTGTTATTACAGTGTACTGACGTATGATTCGTGTTATTACAGTGTATCGACGTATGATTCGTGTTATTACAGTGTACTGACGTATGATTCGTGTTATTGCAGTGTACTGACGTATGATTCGTGTTATTACAGTGTACTGACGTATGATTCGTGTTATTACAGTGTACTGACGTATGAATGGTACCTTACTGCTAACTCCTCTATACCTTACGGAGTTATAAAATTCAAGGTACTTGACTCTCGGATCCGGGATGCAACGCCTTGTTACGAGGAAGCCGTCGTTATCTACAACGGTAAAATATCTCGGTTCAACTAGAAAGCCTTGTCAAACCAGGTTGATTTTTCTTTTCCTCTCATATTGTATTTTGAAGTGCCGAGATTGCAATGATATGTCTGGGTAAGACAACTTACCCAAATTGCTCTAAAAGACATGTGACGGGCCTCTCGTATATAGTTCAGTAAGGTATTCACCAGCAACTATTAGGAGACCTGACTAAAAATAACAGGGACTGTTCACGGAACAATAAACTCAGCAAACAAACAAGGCTCAGTAAGTCATTGTCAATATCCTACTTATATCTTGAACTCATCTTACATATACCGAGGCTATACTCATTGTCTATGACTTATGAAAAAAAATCGCACGTTTACGGATCACAAAAAATAAAGATAATGTTACATTTTTTTCTGAAATTATGATTTTCTATGTTATAATATTCATTGACAAGCTACCTGTTACAGGTCCGAACGAGTGGTCACCTGAGTTAGCATCCTGGTGTGGATACAAGTTCCCTTCCAAGGTTCTCACTACTGTCAAGCAGACATCTCACGTGGTGTTCACGTCTAGCGCTCAACATCATTCCAATCCTGGCTTTAGGATAGAATACTGGGCAACTTCCAAACGTAAGTAACTGTGCGAGTCGTCACGTGGTGTTTACACCTAGCGCTAAGGTAGCAGGAAACAGTTAATTTGAATTTTTTGCAATTATTGGTCATGTTTGAGATATATGGGTATAGCAGTTTGGTTATGAAGAATACATCATTATATGTATATATATTTATAAACTACATAACAATTACATTAATAGTAGAGAGTTAAACTGGTGTTAATCAAATATTTTCTGATTTCTGACATGTGATTGTCAATGGTTACCAACTGAAAAAATGCAAAAGTACTGCTAATTCCAGCCTAACACTACACTTTTATAGAAGAAGTTTATTTCTAAACACCTTTCTTAAAATCGACAACACTGTCATAGTAACAAAGTACTTACATTTCTGCAAATTCTAACTTGGATTCCTTCATAACATGACCACATGTAAACACTATGAAATTTTCACTTCCTGTAAAGCTGATTTTTGGCGCATAGACACAGAGGATTCGAGACTGCCCAAATAGTAATCTCCGACTCAAAGCTAAGATATTATTCTGAAAAAAATGAAACCCCACATTGTCCACTTCAACAAGACAGGACCAATTTTAGAAAGAATTTGTTTTTTTAATTTTAATTAAAACCTTTATAATGGGGTAATCTAATGAACAAAAAAATCACCCATGGCCACACCGAGAAACTGTGTACTGCTACCTTAACATCATTCCAATCCTGGTTTAGGATAGAATACTGGGCAACGTCCAAACGTCTATGGATAAATTGTTTTGTTTAGCAAAGCGGCCAGTCCATTGATGAAGTGATATTTTTCAGTAAATTAAGTTTTGTGTGATGGTAACTGATGGCTGCCTCAGACGGGAGTTGTCTCCCATGCCTAGCTCTCCAATTTCTGGAGATAGATAAGTGCCAAAACTAGCATGGTCATGCTGCTTGGATGGTTCTCGCAAAAAATCATAATTTTGTGGTATCGTTGTAAATTGTTAAAATTATTAATTATTGTATTTCTCATCAAAGATATTGGTATGGTTTATTATTGTGAATTAAATGTGCCCAACCTTTATTCATGGTTTGTCATTTTGTTACCATCAGCAAATCGTGTTGATAAATAGTGTTCTTCATTACAGCGCCGAGTCTATTGATAAATTGTTTTGTTTAGCAAAGCGCCCTGTCCATTGATGAATCGTGTTGATAAATAGTGTTCTTTATTACAGCGCCGAGGCCGGTAAAACCTGTGGTGTTAACATTGGTCCACTACACCCTGTTTGGAGTTTTTGTGGGTGTGATTTTCATACTCTTGGGATATATTCTAATCATCTCTGCCGTGCGACGATACCGCCAAGCTCAACCGATAAATCCAAAATACCTCATTACATGACGTCATAAACAGAAGAGAGTTATCTCCCCGTATACCGGATATCCCATCGACTTATTTGGGGCACATAAGGTCATTTTTAAACTTGGGAACTGAGACTCGATCACACTTATCCCAACATACATGTGAGAGCGTGACAAGGCCACCAACGAACCGAACAGTCCCTGAGATACAGAATGATTCATTTTTTTCGAAAACGACTCTGAAAAAAACCTGCGTACGTGTATATTGTTTATGTCTTCGTACACAAGATGTACCTTTGCTAGTATAAATGAGAGGATATCAATTGATATAAATGGATAAAACAAAGTATCTGTGGTACCACTCTACGCTGTGTGTTTATAAAGTAAATTAGTGTCAATTATTGTCAGTGTTTTCAATTATTGTGAAATCTGTATCCTGTGTACTACAGGTATGAATCATTGTGAATATTAGTTAATTGTGGACAGGTATGGATTATTTTGAATGGGTGATATGATAATTACTGCGTTCCTGTGTGAATAATATTGTGGTACCATTCAAAATATGTTAAGAATTGTGTGTTGTATGGGTTTTGTAGATGCAGATACAAGATAAAATGTGTGAATAGGTGGCCTCAGGCGAATTAAGTTGGTACTTAGTTAAACAGGACTGCTATCGACTGGTGCATATTTGTGTATAATGATGTACTATTGTATATAAGTGTATACATATATGTGTGAGCGAGACTTATATGTATACCTGGTGGTTCACAAAAGAACCTTAGATAGTATAATGAATGAAGTTACATCGTAACTGCCAACCATTTCTCTGTGTGCTCTGTTGGCTACATATCCGTTTTATAGGTACTATCCCGAATTCATTTTATTATATAGCAATGTTAAATAACAGGACAATTAAGGCATCCATGTACAAAATTGTATAGTGGTGTGGTAAAGGACATACATTTACTAAGAGTTGTCTCGCTTTGAACATCGTTAAGGCTAAAACTTTGTTACCGTGATACATTAAATCACTTTGTGTGTAACCAAAAATAGAAATATACTATCACCACTAAATCATCTTCCTGTCATGATCAAGTGTATTCAAGATATGATGTAAGAATGATGGCCTGGACTATTTATTTGAACTTTGACCTTGACGTGATGGTCAGAGTGACATGATTTTAGTGACAAACACCCCACCTGTAAGTGACGTATTCTCATCAATATTTCAAACGGTTCTAAAGTTAGTTTGGACAAGATTTTATTAAAAGAACAACAATTACGTATGAGTGAATGGTAGTTTAAATGGAATCTTCATTCCTCAACGGCAATAATTTACGTCTGAAATTGTGAATTTATATCTGGCAGAAATCTGTGTGTGTGTCAAGCACCGTATGAAAACATTACATATATCTCTACAATAGAGTGCTACTTGAACTGGGCAAAGCTTCGGTTAACTGGATAGGTGGGGGCAGAGAGGGGATAGGAGAAAATAACTTTTAATTATACCATACCATACTGAATAAACGTAACATAGGGATGGGGGTCAGAGAGGGGATAGGATAAAATCACTTTAATTATACCATACCATACTGAATAAACGTAACATAGGGATGGCGGGGGCAGAGAGGGGATAAAAGAAAATAACTCTTAATTATACCATACCATACTAAATAAACGTAACATAGGTGGGGGAATGTAACATAGGTGGGGGTGGCAGACAGGGGATAGGAGAAAATCCCTTTAATTATACCATACCATACTGAATAAACGTAACATAGGGATGGGGGGCAAAGAGGGGTTAGGAGAAAATTACTTTTAATTATACCATACCATACTGAATAAACGTAACGTAGGGATGGGGGGCAAAGAGGGGTTAGGAGAAAATTACTTTTAATTATACCATACCATACTGAATAAACGTAACATAGGGATGGGGGGCAGAGAGTGGATAGGAGCAAATAACTTTTAATTATTTGTTAAAATCTTTGGAAAAGAAATTTACTATGTATATTTCACACACTATCAATGCTGTTGTAATTCACCAGTATCGGAACATCGGAAGTGAAGCTTGATCCACCACTCGTTCTCATAAAGCTCTACCAATTTTGATGTTTTTATTTACAGACAAAAGAACCAAAATGGCGCGTGTGCATGTCGACATCATCATCTTTGAAAGACGATCGTTGTATCACTGGAGAGTACCGCGATGGAACATGACCAATGTAGCAATAATTTCCATTAATGTGTTTGGGGACTGGGGATCCGAGCGATGCGCAGTAATTTGTGAATAGAAATTTGATGATCCCACTAGCATGGTATATGATTGTAAATTATAATAAATGTTAAGAAGACGTTAATAAGGCATCATTTGCTCATGAATTCTGTGAACACAGTTACATCCTCTGGGCCTTTTTCGTTTACTTTGTTGACTGCTAAAATATTGAGAATTCGTGGGATCATATATGATCGAAGAGTCTCGGGAGATAGAACGGTGCTATTGCGTAAGATCCTTGAGCACTGTAATTTATAATCAAATATTGAACTGTGGGTATTGACTAAGGTCATTTCTATATAACACTACCGTCGTAAACACTCTATCTATCAGAATAACAAATTGGCATAAAACGGGCACGGAATTGATAATGTATTTAGATATAATGTAAATAATTTAGTGAACATATTTACATATAGGGTACAAATAAAGAGCGCATACACGACGTTATTCAATCATAGAGAATATTCAGGTTCTCGTGGTTCTTCAGAAAAAAGATATTTACATATATATGTTAGTTTTCCCTACTGATGACTCATGAGTGTTCATTGTCGTCTCAAGAAGGGCGACCCTATAAAACAATAGGTCACTGACCAGAAAGTGGTACTCTAGCTTTACACGTTGACTAGAAAGTACAGCATTCTGCATCACATCAACATGACTACGGCGGTGTCTTCATATTTCACACCAAACAATTGGACATCATGTATTTGAAGAAGCTGCAAGACAAAAAGTTTCAGTTGTCGAGTGAATAAGTAATATGAAATGCAGTGTAAGCTGTACACATCAAACTGACAAAAGTAAAACACATATGACTATGTCCTCAATACTGCCGACTTGTAACCGGAAGTGGACCACTTGGTTCCCATTGAACTCTCCCCCAACCGCTTCTGTAACTCTCACCACCACTACAACGAGGACAATTTTTTATAAGTGTCTTGATTCAAAATGGCGATCTCCACGTTGCTAGAAATTGTGCTATCCACACTTCTTATGACAGCTCAAGAGGCTGCAGGTAAGCAACGGGGTCTAGAGCGAAAGGAGGGATTGGAAAAACCAAAACTTTGTATTGAAATATCGGGTGGGCGGAGGAGGGCAGAGATAGATCGAAAAAACCAGAACGCTGTATAAAAAGATAAGGAGGGGTGGAAAACCCAGAATGGTGTATAAAACGGTAGTATGGGGGAAGAAAACCCAGAATGTTGTGTAGAGCGATCGAGAGAGGTAGAAACCAGAAGTTATCGTGCAGTAAAATCAATTCGTGATTATTTTATTTTGCTTTTTCAAACTGTTAGTTTGAGTGATAATCTGTTTTAAAGGGTATTAAGTGTTTTGAGTGTTCGTAGTTAACGGAGTTTCAACTCATCATTTTTCTCAATCTCCTACATTTGTATGGATGCAAAAACAAATGTATTCTCTCGCATATCACTGTGTTATTACCACGTGTGCAGTTGCCGTAACACTTTGTAACCGGATGTATGCGAGCAAACAATTACATATGTGTATAACGAGATGTATACATAAATCTGTCATTTGTAACAAATACATAAATATATACCAGGATGTAGAAACACAATTGTGTTAATTTGTAAGCTGATATACCGACACACAATATGGTCCCCAAAGTTTAGATCCGTAAACGTCTTATTATGTCTTTTGAACTCGAGGTTATCGGTAGACAAATCTGCACGTGTTTTGGTCAGATTGAAAAAAATGTCAGACAGGATTTTGTCCTCTGTCTATTGATCTACCGACTTTTTTCTCTTGTGTTCGAATAAGGATTTTGATGCTACCTAGAATATCAAAAACCAATAGCTGTATTTGCGGAAAATTACGATAACGCACAGCAGTCGACAAATCACGAACCACGCAGACTTGAATAATATCTCCTATCCTGTCTAGTCACGCCTTAGAAGTATTTCTCATAGCTAGGTCAGTTAACATTGATTTAAGTGATGATTTGAGTTCCATGTCGTAACCACAGACTTCTCTGAGCCGGTCGAAAAGCTTAAGGTCAAACATTAGATTCTTTGTTACGAACTTAAATGTCAGAGTAGGTATGAAAGACAGTTTGTCCGACAGAAAGTAGGCACTCATTATCAAAGGGATAACATTTGAATATATCAAAGTGAAGTTCGGTGTCTCATGTGTTAGTTCTATTACCTTTTCTACATTAATTGTGTTTAAAGAAGAACGTTGAACATTTGGCATAAACTGTCTTATGACGTAATACACACTATGACGTCATCTTGTATATTGCATGTTTCCAAATATGTAATTTAGAGAAAAAATTCACTTACCTCGCACAGTATATATACCCCTTGCAGCCGAGATAGATGGATTTCAGCCCAAGGGGAAAGACGATTAAATTAGCAAATACAGGGGGATTCCACTGTCAAGAGGATGATATGACGGCACGGTAATAATTCGCTAACGTCATGTTAACGATGCCAAGCATAGAGACAACAACACATATGAGTACCAAATAAAACCAGCAGGGTAACAGGAAAATCATTCACCCCTTTGTTGGTTAGATAAGGTGATTTCAACCCTCGGAAAAATATGTTGAAGTCGCAAACACTCGGCAAGCTTCGTGTTAACCAGCTTAATCTGGTTGATGTCTACCTATCTTACTTCCCAGGGATTGAAATATTCTATAAATCCCACTAAGGATAACCTTTTTTTCCTCTCTGTGTGCTGGGCGGTACAATAATTAACACGTTTTAAATTCCTGAATATAAACCAACAACCTGGTGTCCATTGTTTCGTGTGTAAGTGTCGGTATGGAAACGTCTATATTCTTGTTCTCTGTAGAAATGGCTGTGTGTACGCCCCCTTCAAGTCTGGAGTACGGACAGGTTGTTGTATGGGGCCCCAACCTTCTCATCGAGTACATTTGTGACGAGGGATTCTTAGCCAACGGCGAAACATTCGGCGCGTGTATTACAGATGAAGGCAGGTGGACAATTGAGAAACCAAAATGCGTAGGTAATCTCATATTCTGAATATATATGACTCAAATAAATAAAAAGAAATTATTTACGTTTTTTTATGTGAAATTAAAACACCTATAATACTAATGCATTTGTATTATTTGCAGTATCGTAAATGTCCCCGGACATCTCTGTTTTGTGTTACCAAACAATATAGTATCTTTTCAATTGCGACCAGGTCCATCAATTTAACGGTTATTATTCATTTAGTACAGAGATGTAATATTTGGTCTGTAGCTTCCAAGCATGAAACTCAATGTCAGGGGAAAATTACATATTCAAACTCAATTGGTTTACAATTCCGATATGACACGATATATTCGCTGGTATTGAATACTCAAAATGTATCGAAAAATTGACCCAAATACAACTATCCTGGGTCGAATCATTGGATAAACCAATCATTTTATAATCATTCTATTTATGCAGTATCTTTCTTATTCACCAAAACCATATACATTTTTTGTAAAAAGCTATCAAAATCGTGACTTCTTTTGAAACTGTGTTACTCCTTTGAGTAATTAACCCTCTTTACTAAAAGGATCAATCCAGTGTAGCCGGCAGTGTTAAGTAAATTATATTTTAACCAAAGGAAACCATTTATGATACGAAGATAGTGTATACAAGGTGAGAGATTTTATGTGCTTTAAGCTACTGGATGTGATCCGCCGAAGGTAGCCCGTAACATGCACGTGCGTCTGGAGATGGATGGTGCGGTGGCACACTTCTCGTGTGGGCGTGGTCACTATTTGATCGGACAGACACAAGCTTACTGTAACGGTCAGAATTGGACGATGCCATTTCCGGCATGTGTAGGTAAGTGTTATCGTGTCAGAGTAATTAGTTATCGGTTGACATTTGACCTGTATCAACACTTAACATTTTGTTTGGAAAGATTAATGAATAACTGCAACACGAGCGAAGATAACGGGAAATGACACATTTCTACTTAAGTGGTTTATCTATACATTCTATAATATTTCCAGGGTCCTCTGTCAGGACGCGAGCTGATCCTCAGAACCGAAACCTCCCCGGCAGACACGTGCATGATCCACTTGCACTGAACATTTCCGTTATTGACTTTGAATCAAACCTTCGTGTTAGCGACAACACGTGTTTCCGGTACCGCTACAAAGCTCCACCGGAAATAGAACACGGGACGGCTTCCCCCCGTTACCTGTATAACCAACGGAGGCGAAGCTACGTCCTCGTCACAAACTACACTTGTGACCCAGGTTACGTCATCGAAAATAACCTCACGCGCTACTACTTTTGTAAGAACTATCAGTGGGTTGCTACTGTTCCACCAAAATGTATAAAACGTAAGTATAATTCTACAGAGCTACAGCATATATGTAAAACATATCCATAAGCGAACACGTGACGTGTAAGTACTTCACTAGATTCACTATAGTACATTACTAATGTATGAATGTTATCCATTATTGACCATATATGTTTATGTAGCTCTGGAGTCGACAGCGTGCCAGGGAAGTCGGCGTCTGTGTCATCAGATATGTGTACCAGGAATCAGGAACAGATTCGCATGTGATTGTTATCGGGGATTCCTCCTCCACAGTAATGGGAGGGACTGTTTCGGTAAGGAAACTGCACAACTTGTGGATCGTCGTCCATTTTACCAAGACTGTTGAATAAACTTGACATCCTCCACAATCTTATATCTTATCTCTTGTTGAGTTGTTTTTAAATAGTATTACTTTCCCTACTTGTCTACAAGTTGCTTTTATCCTTTGTTCCAGATCTGTCTTTTCTATTTGTCCTTTTTGTCTCCAGTCTTTTGAGTTTAAGGTCACCTGATCATTGACCATGGTGACTTGTTGCGATCGTTCTTCGTTTTTCATTGTGCATCGTGCGTCCTATGTTAGCTTTTTCTTGTGAACACAATAACTTGAGTAAATATAAACGGAGTTTGATGAAACTATGTATGCAGACTTATATTTACATGATGTTTCCTGGTTTAGAAAATGGGACTGATTAGATCTTTATTTACAAAAATTATCGCCCTTAGTAGAAGTATGTCAATTTGACTTTTTATAACACGATAACGTGAGTAAATATGAACACATTTTGATGACATTATTAACAGAAATGTCGATTTTTGAAGTTTTAATACCATGGACCTTTTGAACACGATACCTTGAGTAAATATAAAAGGATTTTTAATGGATGCAACTTGGTAAGAGCTTGAATAAGTTCAACAATAGGACAGATCTGGTGTTAAGTACAGAGTTGTGGCCCTTAGATTTGATATTAAGTACAGGATTATGACCCTCAGATTTGATGTTAAGTACAGAGTTATGGCCCTTAGATTTGATAGTAAGTACAGAATTATGGCCCTCAGATTTGATGTTAAGTACAGAGTTATGGCCCTTAGATTTGATGTTAAGTACAGAGTTGTGGCCCTTAGATTTGATGTTAAGTACAGAGTTATTGCCCTCAGATCTGATGTTAAGTACAGAGTTATGGCCCTCAGATTTGATGTTAAGTACAGAGTTATGGCCCTTAGATTTGATGTTAAGTACAGAGTTATGGCCCTCAGATTTGATGTTCAGTACAGAGTTATGGCCCTTAGATTTGATGTTTAGTACAGAGTTATGGCCCTCAGATTTGATGTTAAGTACAGAGTTATGGCCCTCAGATTTGATGTTAAGTACAGAGTTATGGCCCTTAGATTTGATGTTTAGTACAGAGTTGTGACACTCAGATTTGATGCTAAGTACAGTATTATGGCCCTCAGATTTGATGTTAAGCCTTGTGAACTTGAATCAATATGAACAAATTCTGAGCCTTATAACTGACAGCTTGTTGTGAACAATAACATATTAATATCCCCCGTTTTGAGACTCTGATTCCCTTGATTTTGTTTCGTCTTTTATCCGAGTTATCAAACTGACATGTATACCCTTTTCAGATCATAATGAGTGTCTTTTTGACAATGGTGGATGCGAACACACGTGTCATAACACGTACGGTTCGCGGATTTGTACTTGCCGTGAGGGGTATCAGAGAGTGGGGACACGCTGTAAAGGTAAGTAGGAATGGATTTAATGTAAATGGTTGATAAGAACCTTATTACGACATACTGTCCCGTAAAAGATAAAGACAACAAACAAAACAAAAACGAACAAAACAAAACAAAAAACATTTAATTGGTAAAAAAATTAAATTTAATAAAAAGTATTCCTCGGCGCTCGCCTGTTCATTTTGGCATAGAATACATGTATACATCACTATGGCTGTTGCAAAGAGATGACATATAACACCAAAAAAAATCTGTGCTTGACATCAAGGCCAAAGGTCAATTAGAGGTTACTTTGCTCATATTTAGTATCTGCTTAATGTATTTAGTTATTTGCTTACATGTGCTTCTGAAATCGGTATCGCGAGATTTGTAGTTATTGTGAGATTTGGAGTTGTCTTGAGAGTTGGGATAATCGCGAGATTTGGGGAGTGTAAATGTCAATTAGTTACTGAAGGAATCTTCTGTAAATATCACTGCTTATCAAATATAACATAAGTAGGATGTCATATATCTCTTCTTACATCTCAACCCCGACCTGGTCATATCTAAATATATAATATATATTCCTAATCAGTACAACTATTTTCGTCCCGTCGGAAATTTTGAACGGAAGAACGTCGTTGTTTGCAAAGACGGAATAGAACGGTGAGTGAAAAAATGAGCAGTTTTTAGATAGATCAATTTCTCGTTATTCGAAGTATGTAAGTTGGTCAAGTTTTGTCACGGCCGGGTTATTTCGTCTATACCCCGAGAGTTAACGGCACATAACATATTAATCCATATATTGATGAAGGGGTAATAATTATTACATTAAACGTTGTTATTATAATAAGAACTACAACAGGGCATGTTGCAGCTCTACATCAGACATATATCAATATGTCCAACTTCGGGTGTAGGGCACAGGGGTAACTTGGGCTACATATAAGGTAACAGAAAATGATCACCGAGGTCACTGTAATAAACTGCCTTCCTGGAGATAATAATACCTCCAGAGTTTGTAATTTTTTTTTTAATTTTCAGTCCCCATAACCTCCACTTTTTATGTATGACCTTTATTTCCTAGATATTAACCATTATCTTGTCATGCCCTAACTCCTTACCACATGTTATAGAAGCTGTGGGCCACTACACAATATCATACATATATAGTGGCCGGGTTACCTAGGCGACCAAACTTTTCTCACAATAATAATGACAATAACACTGGCATGCACATCGTCATATGGCCAGAAATATTTCTGTATATTAACAATGACGTAAATTCCAACGATCAGAGAAAGTGCACCATAGCAACCAAATGACATCAGATGTTTTGGAAAATATCTCTACTGTAATTACTATTCTTCAAAACCCTTTTATAGAAATATGCAGAACAAGCGGGCAATATCTCAATTTTGACCAATCAGAAGACTCCAATATGCCTCCATAGTAATGGTTCTGGAAACACCTGATGTGTCAAATTATAGAATTGATATAACGACTGATGACCTATTGGTCATTTCTTTAAAACAAAAAGTATACAGTGACCTGTTTATCGTTGCAACCAAACAAAAATTACTGCTAAAAATGCATGCACATCCACAGGTGGGCCCAAACACACTCGCGTAGTTTTCATTAGTTCACAAGTTTAGGTGGCGTTTTCCTTTTTTCTTCAAACAAACAGACAGACACACAGACAGACCAACAGACAGACTGACTGATTCATGTATACCTTACTCCACTGGATATAGACAAATTAGGACGTGCGACAAGACACATTGGGACGTGCAGTAAGACACATTGAGACAAGCAGTAAGACATGTTGGGACATGCGGCAAGACACATTGAGATGTGTATCAAGACACATTATGACCTGTAGGAAAACATATAGAGACGTGCAACAGTACATATAGAGACGCGCAGCAAGATACATTATCACTCTGACTCTGATATTTGAAAAATGAATCACATTGAGGCTGTAAAAAGACATTGAGAAGGCAGAGTGAAAGTCTTATTTACATGTGAAGCATAACACACATTCCGACTCAATAATTTATTAGTTCAGCCCAGTATGGTTGTCGGGACGTAAGGGAGGTAACTCTATTGAAACTGATAGTAAATGTATAGAGATAGCGCACAACACTTGAGGAAAATAATTAAATGTGAATAAGCTAGACACAAAATCCATTGCCATTAACTGAGACTGAGCTAGAGACTAAGTCCATTAACATTATCAATAAGGAAGACCATTGGCTATGATTAAGATAAAGATAAAGTACACTAACATTATCAGTGAGGAAGATCATTAGCTATGACTCAGAGACAAAGTCCATTATCTATGACTAAGTTAGAGACAAAGTCCATTATCTATGACTAAGTTAGAGACAAAGTCCATTATCTGTGACTAAGTTAGAGACAAAGTCCATTATCTGTGACTAAGTTAGAGACAAAGTCCATTATCTGTGACTAAGTTAGAGACAAAGTCCATTATCTGTGACTAAGTTAGAGACAAAGTCCATTATCTATGACTAAGTTAGAGACAAAGTCCATTATCTGTGACTCAGTTAGAGACAAAGTCCTTTATCTATGACTAAGTTAGAGAAAAAGTCCATCATCTATGACTAAGTTAGAAACAAAGTCCTTTGTCTGTGACTAAGTTAGAGACAAAGTCCTTTATCTGTGACTAAGTTAGAGACAAAGTCCATTATCTGTGACTAAGTTAGAGACAAAGTCCATTATCTGTGACTAAGTTAGAGACAAAGTCAATTATCTGTGACTAAGTTAGAGACAAAGTCCATTATCTGTGACTAAGTTAGAGACAAAGTCCATCATCTGTGACTAAGTTAGAGACAAAGTCCATTATCTGTGATTAAGTTAAAGACAAAGTACACAAACATTATCTGTGAAGAAGACCATTGGCTATGACTAAGATTAGAGACAAAATCTATTTACATTATCTGTTGCAAAGTTAGAGACAAAGTACACTAACATTATCTGTGAGGAAGATCATTATCTGTGACTCAGTTAGAGACAAAGTCCTTTATCTGTGACTAAGGTAGAGACAAAGTCATTTATCTATGACTAAGTTAGAGACAAAGTCCTTTATCTTTGACTAAGTTAGAGACAAAGTCCATTATCTGTGACTAAGTTAGAGACAAAGTCCATTATCTGTGACTAAGTTAGAGACAAAGTCCATTATCTGTGACTAAGCTAGAGACAAAGTCCATTAACATTATCAGTAAGGAAGACCATTGGCTATGACTAAGTTAGAGACAAAGATAACAATGACCGTGACGACGAAGTTGGAAATGAAGCTGACAAAACTCATGATGTGTTTTTAGTAAAGTTTACATAATGAGATTAATTTGCATGTCTCCTGTCGATTTTTTTCGTTGAAAGTCTTTGTGGATATTTAAACGTACATATGCTTAATGGTTAAGCTTCACTTGACAAAACCAGACAGGTGTTATATAGCGAATATACATGTTGGTGGCATGTTTGTAATTTTTGTGATTTACACACACGGAATAGAAAACAACCTCAATGAATGTCTGATTTTATCAACCAAGAAATCGTTGATGGGAGTGTTTATGTGAACTTTTACCTGTTAATGAATGCTTATGTGAACTTTTACCTGTTAATCAATGTTTATGTGAACTTTTACCTGTTAACGAATGTTTATGTGAACTTTTACCTGTTAATGAATGTTGATGTGAACTTTTACCTGTTAATGAATGTTGATGTGAACTTTTACCTGTTAATCAATGTTTGTATGAACTTTTACCTGTTAATGAACGTTTACCTGTTAATGAATGTTGATGTGAACTTTTACCTGTTAATGAATGTTGATGTGAACTTTTACCTGTTAACGAATGTTTATGTGAACTTTTACCTGTTAATGAATGTTGATGTGAACTTTTACCTGTTAATGAATGTTGATGTGAACTTTTACCTGTTAATCAATGTTTGTATGAACTTTTACCTGTTAATGAACGTTTACCTGTTAATGAATGTTGATGTGAACTTTTACCTGTTAATGAATGTTGATGTGAACTTTTACCTGTTAATCAATGTTTGTATGAACTTTTACCTGTTAATGAACGTTTACCTGTTAATGAATGTTTATGTGAACTTTTACCTGTCAATCAATGTTTATGTGAACTTTTACCTGTTAATGAAATTTTATGTGAACTTTTACCTGTTAACGAATGTGTATGTGAACTTTTACCTGTTAATGAATGTTTATGTGAACGTTTACCTGTTAATGAATGTTGATGTGAACTTTTACCTGTTAATCAATGTTTATGTGAACTTTTACCTGTTAACGAATGTTTATGTGAACTTTTACCTGTTAATGAATGTTGATGTGAACTTTTACCTGTTAATGAATGTTGATGTGAACTTTTACCTGTTAATCAATGTTTGTATGAACTTTTACCTGTTAATGAACGTTTACCTGTTAATGAATGTTGATGTGAACTTTTACCTGTTAATGAATGTTGATGTGAACTTTTACCTGTTAATCAATGTTTGTATGAACTTTTACCTGTTAATGAACGTTTACCTGTTAATGAATGTTTATGTGAACTTTTACCTGTTAATCAATGTTTATGTGAACTTTTACCTGTTAATGAAATTTTATGTGAACTTTTACCTGTTAACGAATGTGTATGTGAACTTTTACTCATGAATGAATGTTTATGTGAACTTCTAGTCATGAATGACCTGTTTAACGCAAATTTATCCTTATTAATTAATATTTTAACGAGAACGTTTACTCGATAATGAATATTTAGTGTGAACTTTTACCAGTTAATGACTGTTTTGTGAGTTTTTGCCCGTTTCTAAATGTTTGTGTTAACTTTTATCCATTAAGGAGAGTTGGATAAACTTTTACATGTTAATGGGTGCTGTATAAACTTTTACATGTCAATGGGTGCTGTATAAACTTTTACCTGTTAAAGGGTGCTGTATAAACTTTTACATGGGAACGGGTGCTGTATAAACTTTTACATGTTAATGGGTGCTGTATAAACTTTTACATGTCAATGGGTGCTGTATAAACTTTTACCTGTTAATGGGTGCTGTATAAACTTTTACATGGGAACGGGTGCTGTATAAACTTTTACATGTTAATGGGTGCTGTATAAACTTTTACCTGTTAATGAGTGTTGTATAAACTTTTACCTGTTAATGAGTGTTACTTTTACCTGTTAATGAGTGTTGTATAAACATTTACCTGTTAATGAGTGCTGTATAAACTTTTACTTGTTAATGAGTGTTACTTTTACCTGTTACGGAGTGCTGTATAAACTTTTTGGTAGGTTCTTATCATTAATGAGTGTTTGTGTGAAGTTTTTCTTGGTGTTTGTGTGAAGTCTGTCCTGAGTTTTTTTTTTTTTTTTTTATCTCTGTCGTAAAATGCTAGTAATTAGTAATAACAGCTTTTGTTTGAACTTTAAATTGATCCCTAGATAGGCGAGCTTTTATCTATACATGTATTATTTCGTTTGTTTAAACTATAATTACTTCGAGTAACCAGTATCCATTCGAGGCATAATTTGGTAACTACAGGGGCCTACCACTAAGTGCTAAGGAAACCTAGATATGCTCTGTAGGTTTTTACTTTTATATTTATAAATATACGGCGTGCGTCTTTGTTGGAACTACATTCAAATATGCTAAACGATATTTGATGTATATGTTAGTAATCTGACTAAGTTTTCACGATGTTACATTATGAAAAAGTTGACACCGTAAGGTTTGACTCACGTTTCCTCTATATACAGATAAAGATTATACATTTCCCTTTGCCGTCTCATCTCCGCCTAACAGGTCGGTCTGAGTCCCGCATAAACTCCCGATAACTTGACACATGTGTGTCCCTGTTTATTCTGCCTCACGGTTTCGTTCCGTTTTTTACCCCACACATACGCGGTAATTTATAGGAACCATACGTGCCATGCGTCCGGGTCGGAAAAGGACACGGTGTTTGTCGGTCGGCTGGTGGGCTGACGTCTGCTCCAAAGCTTCCGAGCGCGAGTTCTGGAGTTCTTACCGGAGTTGAAAGTTGACAACTAGAACCAAAGTTTACTGGAGGATCTTCCGTCACTTTAAAGTAAGTAAAACATATGTTGGTGTAAGTTTTGAGAAGTTTGGGAGAGTTTTTACTTGTTGGCATTCCTATTGGATCAGATAACTATACACAGGCGAGGATAATCCGAGGTTCGGGGGTCCGTCACGGGGTATTCGTTTTATCGTGTCGATTTATACTTTGTTTACATTATGGTTATAAGATAATACTGTATTGACTTCTGGATTATCATGTTGATTGTAAAAAGAGTGTTTATTTTATTACTGTGTCACTAGACATTACCGAGTGACCACAATGCTGTCAGACTGTTAAGAGAAAGTGAGAGTAGTTTACAAGTTATTGCCCCAGGTGAATAATGTATGTGTTGGGTCCAGACTCATGGTGGACACTACTTAAGACGATTCTTGAAATAACATGTCGTGGAATAATATGAAGATTTTATTAACGGCCGAACCGACATTTGGCAGAAGGGCTGATAGACCCCGCTGGGAGGCCTCTTTGTCCCATATATCCGTGGTTGGGTGAGTAGCTCGCCGTACAGGATATCGGCTGCCGGGCTCATATTTACAGACGACACTTTGTACACTTTCCTGTGTTGTACGTGGGTATATTTACAAAGAGTTTAAAAAACGATTTCAATATGGGCAATTTAAAAAACCGTTAGAACCGGTTCCGCTCTCCGGATAGGAAGGGAGGGGATCCTGGAATTTTTACACGGCAGCGGAGGCTAGCTTGTGTAGTTGATTAATCTCCAGATGTTGGACCTGGCCACGTGTTGTCCGTATATATACATATGTGTACACACGAGCAGGATACACACGCCACAGGACCCGTGGAACATTCCTGGCCTGGTAAACACGCCTGGTAATTAGTGGGATTATCGAGTGCCAGTCGATGTACAGCTTGTCCGTCACGTTAGGGGAGGTACAGTTGGGAGGGAAGGGGTGTAGTGTGACCGTTGGATAGTATAACTTTAAAGGTAGTAAGATGACACACGAGTCCGTATAACCATGCTCTCTATCTACCGATACAGATGCGCTCTCTGGCAAAGTCGGCTGTACGTGGTTCAAGTTCCAATTGTCCCCGGTAAATGTTCTGTGTTCATCAAGATTTTTCCGTATTCATGCACACGTATTGCCTACAATCCCCGGTCTTAAAAATTATAAAGATAAGCATTTCCCTATAGTCTGGCGATAAAGGTGTCCAGGACTGGGGAGTGAGGGGTTCCTTGACCGAGTCCCAGCTGGGACGGCGCGTGACATCATTTTCTTTCTTTTTACACTTTGATATCGAGCAAGATGCAGCTAAGGAATCGGTACTCATTAACGTATCGGAATACTTTATACTAGTACAAGACCTGTGATCCTGTAACATAACGTGTCGTTCTGTTGTATAAGTGACCTGTGATCTTGTTACATTACGTGTCGGACTGTTGTATATATGTGACTGTGGTCCTGTTACATAACGTGTCGTACTATTGTATACGTGACCTGTGGTCCTGTTACACAACGTGTCGGACTGTTGTATATGCGACCTGTGGTCCTGTTACATAACGTGTCGGACTGTTGTATATGTGACCTGTGGTCCTGTTACATAACGTGTCGGACTGTTGTATATGTGACCTGTGGTCCTGTTACATTACGTGTCGTAGTTGTGTATATGCGACCTGTGGTCCTGTTATATAACGTGTCGGACTGTTGTATATGTGACCTGTGGTCATGTTATATAACTTGTTGTACTGTTGTATATGTGACCTGTGGTCCTGTTACATAATGTGTCGGACTGTTGTATATGTGACCTGTGGTCCTGTTACATTATGTGTCGGACTGTTGTATATATGACCTGTGGTCCTGTTACATAACGTGTTGTACTGTTGTATATGTGACCTGTGGTCCTGTTACATAACGTGTTGTACTGTTGTATATGTGACCTGTGGTCCTGTTACATAACATATCCTACTGTTGTATAAGTGACATGTGGTCCTGTTACATAACGTGTTGTACTGTTGTATATGTGACCTGTGGTCCTGTTACATAACATATCCTACTGTTGTATAAGTGACATGTGGTCCTGTTACATAATGTGTCGGACTGTTGTATATGTGACCTGTGGTCCTGTTACATAATGTGTCGGACTGTTGTATATGTGACCTGTGGTCCTGTTACATAATGTGTCGGACTGTTGTATATGTGACCTGTGGTCCTGTTACATAATGTGTACTGTTGACTGTTGTATATGTGACCTGTGGTCCTGTTACATAATGTGTCGGACTGTTGTATATGTGACCTGTGGTCCTGTTACATAATGTGTCGGACTGTTGTATATGTGACCTGTGGTCCTGTTACATAACGTGTTGTACTGTTGTATATGTGACCTGTGGTCCTGTTACATAACGTGTTGTACTGTTGTATAAGTGACATGTGGTCCTGTTACATAATGTGTCGGACTGTTGTATATGTGACCTGTGGTCCTGTTACATTATGTGTCGGACTGTTGTATATGTGACCTGTGGTCCTGTTACATTATGTGTCGGACTGTTGTATATGTGACCTGTGGTCCTGTTACATAACGTGTTGTACTGTTGTATATGTGACCTGTGGTCCTGTTACATAACGTGTTGTACTGTTGTATATGTGACCTGTGGTCCTGTTACATAACGTGTTGTACTGTTGTATATGTGACATGTGGTCCTGTTACATTACGTGTCGTACTTGTGTATATATGACTTGTGGTCCTGTTACATAACGTGTTGTACTGTTGTATATGTGACCTGTGGTCCTGTTACATTATGTGTCGGACTGTTGTATATGTGACCTGTGGTCCTGTTACATAACGTGTTGTACTGTTGTATATGTGACATGTGGTCCTGTTACATTACGTGTCGTACTTGTGTATATATGACTTGTGGTCCTGTTACATAACGTGTTGTACTGTTGTATATGTGACCTGTGGTCCTGTTACATAACGTGTTGTACTGTTGTATATGTGACATGTGGTCCTGTTACATTACGTGTCGTACTTCTGTATATATGACTTGTGGTCCTGTTACATTACGTGTCGTACTTGTATATGTGACATGTGGTCCTGTTACATTACGTGTCGTACTTGTATATGTGACCTGTGGTCCTGTTACATAACGTGTTGTACTGTTGTATATGTGACATGTGGTCCTGTTACATTACGTGTCGTACTTGTGTATATATGACTTGTGGTGTTATGGATATCTTGGTTCATGGATTCATTTAAATTAAATCTTATTGTACAGATAATGATTTGCATTTCAATCAGTTTTGAATTAAATATTATGTAACTTGGGTGTAACCTTCCGCGTACTCTATCCTTGGCTAGTCGGTCGTGTCTTTACCGGGAAAGGTGCTTGTTTGCACTTCCGACAAAGCTCGAACTTTATCGACTGTGTTTAGTCACCCGGACCAGGTTATTTGTCACCTGTTTAGTCAGGCCGGTTTAACCCGTCGTCATTATGTCCTGGTCTGGGTTTTCCATTCGTCTACAGAACCGCTCTTGGCAATTACTATGAAACTGTGTAGCTACTTCTTGGTATAAAAATCATCAAAACACATGTTCCGACATGGTTTGTTCGTGAAATATATAAAAATAGGAGTAACAATATGTAATAAATATTTTAACCTCTTAACTTCCAGTTGATATTAATTAAAAAGATACTGTCAAGTGTCAACAGGAAGCAGATTATGTCTCGAGATCCGTTTTTTAAATAGATCCAGTCGACACACACGAGAGTAGTTTTATATATATATAGATGTCATTATTCTGTAGTCAGCAGGAAGCTACACTCCATGTTCCTGTGTTTTAAGTGGAGGTTTATATAATGAGTGCTACATGTATGTACGGGTACGTCTTTCACTTCCCACGGAACACTTGGACGACACAAGTCCAAACGGACCTCGGATTATCAGCCAGTGTTTCTATAATTAGGGTGTGTCTGAACTGTAACCCAGGGCTTCTGTGAAGTATCAGGTAATGTCTGTTTTTGCCGATTATTAATACTTTTATTTCAAAACCAAAAGAAACCTTAATTGCAGTTTAAATCTATTACTAGAAGACGAAAGTTATTTGTACGATACGTAATTGTAAAGCATGACCGTTTGTGTCATGTCTTTGGGGGGCACTGTCGTAACACGTGACCGTTTGTGCCATGTCTTTGGGGCACACTGTCGTAACACGTGACCGTTTGTGTCATGTCTTTGGGGGGGCACTGTCGTAACACGTGACCGTTTGTGTCATGTCTTTGGGGGGCACTGTCGTAACACGTGACCGTTTGTGTCATGTCTTTGGGGACACTGTCGTAACACGTGACCGTTTGTGTCATGTTTTTTTTTTTTGGGGGGGGGGGTGCATATTCGAAACTCGCGGACTTTGGTTCTTGTTTAGGCGGGGAAGAGGGTGTGAGTGGAGACACAGTTTACTCGTTTGTTTGCCGGGTCCCGTGAACAGCCTGGTTCCTTTTATGACAGACACTCTTTGTTGTAATTTGTTGTTACCCCAATGAACAACATGCAGGGAACCCGTCACACACCATTCCGATCATGTGAAGTGAAATGTCATGCCACGGTCACAACCACGAAACCAGTCTGTTTATCAGTTTCCCGAGAAACATGTTTCACCACAGAGGTCACTGTCTGAACAAGTAATCCGTGTCAAATTTCTCGTCATGATGTAGGTATCGCCCAAGCAAACCCTTTCTTTTTGGTTAAAATATACGAGTTTCTGATACTTCAGATCTGTTTTATTATAAAATATAAAATTGATTACGTAGGGGAGAGGGAGATCTACGTTATGTGATTCACGTGTGCAGTGATCAATTTACAATTAAATTTCCATGCGTCCTTTTCAACTTTATTCCTAATACAATGGGTCCCACAATGTAAAAATCAAGTATTTATACAAATTCTATGAGGACAGGACGCGGGACTCGCATGTAGATTTATCAATGGTGTGGGAGACACCCGCGTGGGAATAGAGCTGTATACTATGTTATAGATACACGTGAGAGAGATAACGATATACGTACAATAATGTTATATGTTATAGATACACGTTAGGGAGATGTCGATCTACGTACAATAATGTTATAGATACACGTGAGGGAGATGCCGATCTACGTACAATAATGCTATAGATACATGTTAGGGAGATGCCGATCTACGTACAATAATGTTATAGATACACGTGAGGGAGATGCCGATCTACGTACAATAATGTTATAGATACACGTGAGGGAGATGCCGATCTACGTACAATAATGCTATAGATACATGTTAGGGAGATGCCGATCTACGTACAATAATGTTATAGATACACGTTAGGGAGATGCCGATCTACGTACAATAATGCTATATGTTATAGATATACGTTAGGGAGATGCCGATCTACGTACAATAATGTTATAGATACACGTGAGGGAGATGACGATCTACGTACAATAATGTTATAGATACACGTTAGGGAGATGCCGATCTTCGAGCAATGATGTTATATGTTATAGATACACGTGAGGGAGATGACGATCTACGTACAATAATGTTATAGATACACAATAATGTTATATGTTATAGATACACGTGAGAGAGATAACGATATACGTACAATAATGTTATATGTTATAGATACATGTGAGGGAGATGCCGATCTACATACAATAATATTATATGTATAGATACACGTTAGGGAGATGCCGATCTACGTACAATGATGTTATATGTTATAGATACACGTGAGGGAGATAACGATCTACGTACAATAATGTTATATGTTATAGATACACGTTAGGGAGATAACGATCTACGTACAATAATGTTATATGTTATAGATACACGTGAGGGAGATAACGATCTACGTACAATAATGTTATAGATACACGTGAGGGAGATAACGATCTACGTACAATAATGTTATATGTTATAGATACACGTGAGGGAGATAACGATCTACGTACAATAATGTTATATGTTATAGATACACGTGAGGGAGATAACGATCTACGTACAATAATGTTATAGATACACGTGAGGGAGATAACGATCTACGTACAATAATGTTATAGATACACGTGAGGGAGATAACGATCTACGTACAATAATGTTATAGATACACGTGAGGGGGATAACGATCTACGTACAATAATGTTATATGTTATAGATACACGTGAGGGAGATGCCGATCTACGTAAAATAATGTTATATGTATAGATACACGTTAGGGAGATGCCGATCTACGTAAAATGGTGTTATATGTTATAGATAAACGTGAGGGAGATAACGATCTACGTACAATAATGTTATATGTTATAGATACACGTGAGGGAGATAACGATCTACGTACAATAATGTTATATGTTATAGATACACGTGAGGGAGATGCCGATCTACGTACAATAATGTTATATGTTATAGATACACGTGAGGGAGATGCCGATCTACGTACAATAATGTTATATGTTATAGATACACGTGAGGGAGATAACGATCTACGTACAATAATGTTATAGATACACGTGAGGGAGATAACGATCTACGTACAATAATGTTATATGTATAGATACACGTTAGGGAGATGCCGATCTACGTAAAATGGTGTTATATGTTATAGATAAACGTGTGGGAGATCATATGTCATATATTACTGAAATGTGTTGGAGAGTTGTATATGTCATACATGAATGATCCGAAACAAGGAAGATTGGCAGTACACTTTGTGATTTTGAAATCATGATCAATTTGTGTATATTTAAACTGTTTCCGGTGATAGGATAGTGAAATATGTAGGTGTTGCTATCTTGCTAGCAATATAGATATTTGATTCTACTGTTCTGGTTCTTATCAATACAAAGTCTGTTAAAATGTGTATATAATATTTACCCACACTGAAGGTTATAGAGTGGAATCATGTGAATTATTTCACTAGTATACATAGATTTACTGAAGCCATCGTGTAACCGGTCTCTTCATCTTTAATTGGCTTAATATCATCATGTTTTGTCAATAGCATAAAAAGATGAAGATTTATCAATTTTCCAATGTATAACTACGCATTATCGACCCGCAGTTTTGTTTTGTTTGTTTGTTTTTTAATTTTACATAATTATTTTAAGACAATGAGACAAAGGGTAATATCTGTGTGTTACTGAACAGAACTTCATTTGACACCCAGGTGCTTGAAGCTCAAGCGACATATGTATTGAACAATAACTTGCCCATTTTGGTGGTGTAAACAGTATCCGCTTGCCTGTTTCCTTATAGGTGTGAAACCTTGGCTTCACCTGGCCTCAAATGTCCGGGGTCACTACGTAAAGCGACTAGTCTGGTTAATCTCTATCTGGGGTGTATTTCCTTCAGTATATTGTAGTGCCAGTTCAGAAGCCTCGATACCATTTGTAACCATATGTACACACCTGGAATAATGTTACTCGCTGCCTCCGTTATCACTACACATCAAGGGATTTCTTTGGTATTGGTGTGCTTGTAGTTTGTTTCGTTTTTTTTCTAATATATAAGACAGTTACATATCAGAAACTCTTTTTCTATTTTCTTGACAGAGTACCATAATAGTATGTCTTTAGACCTGTGGTTGATGGAAGACATCACTAATGAGAAATAAAAAATTCAATTCAGTTTTATAAGAAAATTTTCTTATTAAATGGCATATAATCAGTATGTGTATTATGAGTAAATGCTGTAATTTCTATTTATTTTGTTGATTGATTTTATTGTAGTAAATCAACGTCATCCATGCGTGAAATAAGTTTGAAGAGTGTACCCTACACAACTGTGTATACTTTATTTATCAGACTTATGTCTCTAGTACAAGTTTCCATTTCCTTCATCTCAATTTACTCTTAAAAGGTAATTGAAATCCTACTTTTTTCAATTAACAACATAAAATTAAATAAAAGAAGTTATACATCAACCAATTTTTTAAGTATGACTGAATTGATCATGAAGTTACTTTTTAAAACAAGATTATGCAGGCCCTGTCATTTCTTTTCGAAGCTCTATATGATATTGAACAAGAATATCATTATCATTAAATCATTTGAATACAACACACTACTCAACAACATAGCATTATCTTATTTTAATGATTTAATATGCAAGACGAACGCAATAGGGATAATGCGTCCATTCTTATCAAATTATCGACTTGAAGCACGGAGCTCCGTATAAAGTTGGTGTTGCAAGTATGAGGTTGTGATTCATATTAGCAATATAATGTATGATATAGATAAATAGCGTCAGTTTCGGCAGTTATTTATCATATATAACAATGTTTGAATTTATAATTTCTTTGTACCGATGTTAACATATGTAGAAATAGGATTATCATCGAATTCTGCAAAGTTCCAACTGCATTTGTTTACTTTCCAACCCAATCCGCCATCTTGGTACCGCCTGGGCCCCTCAGTCAAAGCGTTAAGGAATAGCCCCTGAAAACAGTCCAGAACTAAAACGAACCGTGTACTTCGTTCATTGGTTCGACCGGTTTGTCCGTCACTGCTGCATAAACGACAGGGTCCCTGGTTCTTGTGGTCAGTAGGCACCAGTGAGAATACATTCGTATTTCACCTACACTGTAGACGACTTAGGTAAGATTTCTCAGTCGCACGCGAAAAGGTTATTAGGTAAGGTACATGACAACATGGATTCCCCAGAATTCCTCCAACAGTTAGACGCTTTGTGCGCTTCCGTCCGGTCCAACAAGAGTCATTCATATTGCACGTAGACCTTGTTTGCAATTGTCGTAAATAAAAAGTGCTTTTTAAGAATATCCCTATGACCCAGATTTAGGTCGACAAATAACGTGTGTCATTTTCTTTTCTAGGTTCAAGATGTCGAATAAGGAGAAGGACCTTGTAGCCCGCCTGCTGAAGCAGTCTATATTGACCCTATGTAAGGAGACGGTGTCCTTCCGCCACAACCTCGAGGTTGATGGTATCATCAGCATCACACTAGAGAACGAATCCCAACAGATCGTCATCAAAGTACATGAGTTCTTTCAAAAGATTCGGGACGAGTCGGCCGTACCGAACAATGACAGTTTGTGTGACGAGGATGGTTCAATTGAGCGTTTTGAGAAACAACCCCGCGTCACCAATATCATACAACGCAAGGGCTATTCTGAAAACTTCCGGTCCCAGCAACTGCCCTCTGGTGACTCTAGTAACAGGTTACGTAGTCCTAACTCAGGCAAGTTCACAAAGACGGTGCAGAAAGCATGGCCTGATGGTTATCCTGCTGTCGCCGACTCAGAACTTGCGCCACCAGGAGATGGCGACATGTCACCCCAAGAAACACCTTCTAGCATGTCGTCCAGCAATGAGTTTGGTAGCGCGCCCGTTGATTCAGAACTAGAAGAGATGGACGACGATTATGACGAGGATGAGAAGAAGTTTGATCCTCGACAACAATCGGCGAGTAGATCTTTAATTTCTGGACACAGTGTTCCATTGAGAAAGCCCATTGTGCATCGACTCATGGCTCAAAAACTTGTAGCCAATGCAAGAAAAAATCCCAAGATGAATACAAGCTCGCGGCCGCTGACAAGTGACAATCCTAAAGTTGTAAATGTGAACACTACAACTAGTGTTACGTCTGTGGCGTCTCTTCCTGCAAAAAATATTCGCTGTAAACGATGCGGAGAGGTCGCTTCTGATGGACCGGCGTTCGTTCATCACAACCTCAACGTACATAATGTTTTCACGTGCCAAATTTGTTACAACACCTTTACCTGCAGAAATAACATGAAGCGCCATATCCGCTTGCACACAGGCTACAAGCCTTACCAATGTTCTCTTTGTTCCGAAAGTTTCACCCGAAAGGATGACATCAAGCGGCACCTTATACGTCACAACTACAGCAAACCTTTCCGATGTAACTTGTGTGGGAAGGGATACATGGACCGCAAGACAATCAAAACGCACATGCGAAAAGAACACTTAAGGAAACTCGTCCATGTTTGTCCAACATGCGGTGAGAGTTTTGACGACGATCAGAAATTTCAGATCCACAAGAAGGACCACCCAGAATTGAAGGTTTTCCAATGTTCAGTGTGTCACTTTACGGGATCCAACTCCCTTATGTACAACAAGCACCTTCTCACTCACGACCCAGCCAGGACCTTCGCGTGCAAAGCATGTGACATTGATTTTAACGACCCATTCAAGTACACCAACCACGTGAAGAGACATCGCTACGAGACCGACTTTACGTCGTACCATTGCTGCTTCTGCCGCCAAGTTTGTTCCACGTACGACCAGTTCATAAAACACGAGCATACGCACGCTCAAGCTAAGCGACACACGTGCACAATTTGTTTGAAGCAGTTTCGATACCCTTCAAATCTTCGCGAACATATGGTCACACATAGCAACTACTTCATGCATGGAGTGAAGGAGGAGAATGCCCCCATCAGCGTTCACAGTCATTCATCGGAAGAACCAAATTCAGTATCGAAACAGGAAGTAGCCGCGATGTGCATTGATCAGACGGATGTCGAATACACGTCAGATTTTATCAAAGGGGAGGAAACTCTTGCTTCTGATAGTTCAAGCCAATACTGGTGTACAGAATGTCAACAGGGATTTGAGACCGAGGACATACTAACGGAACACATAACGAGAACACACGAGATGTCGACAGATGACTCGTCGCCCTACTCGGACGACGGAGATACTAAAGAACACACAAAGGTTGGAACGTCTGACGAATCTACTGCGCCCAAAACTACCACCACTGATACGCCAGCAACAACATGCCACACTGGTAGCCCTGGGCCAACTACTGACCAGACATCTTTGTTGACTACTGTGACGAAATCATCTCGTAAAACGACGGTCAGGATCAAACTTGGGGATAGTACCTACCGTAGCGTTGTCGTCAAGCAGGAGCGAGACTCGGACTCGGACGAGATGACCGTTGACAACTCTCAGTCGCCAGAGAACTTTATTTCCAGAGTTGGTACTGCATCACCTCACTCATCAGTGACTTCACAACCGGAACAGGTTGACAATGGTCCCGTTTTTCCACAGAATGGGGACCTCGAGAAAAAGTTGGTCATACAACCGTCGCCCTCTATAAAGCTGAATGTGCGTTCTCCTGGATTTGAACGAGTCGTAACGCCTGTTTCTCTGTTTAAAAACGAGGAATCATTTACATGTGACGTCTGTGGTGACGTGTCTACCGATTTTGAATCCTATGATAAACATAATAACGCGATGCATCGGCGCTTCTTGTGTGAGTACTGTGGCAAAACATTTACGTCCAAACCTAACAGAGATCGGCATGTGCGCTATCACACAGGGGAACGCCCATTCAAGTGTGAACTGTGCACAAAGTCTTTCTTCCGGGGTGACGATCTGAAATACCACCGTACCACTAGGCATGCCGAAGTGAAGCCTTTCTCGTGTACAAAGTGCGCCATGACATTCGCTTGGCACAACGACCTTGAGCGCCACCTGAAGACGCACAGAAAATAAGGAAGAACTTGAGTGCGCTGACGTGGTCGTTTCTTCGTTTAAACTGTGTTCACCTTTTCCTTGTTTTCCGTTAGTGTTATATTATGCATGTGCCTGTGGGACTTTGTTGGTTTTATTAACGAAATCGTTTTTGCTATTTATCTATGCTACAAGCTTTTTTTCACGCAATTTTATTAGATAATTGATCATAAAATATATTTAACACCCGTGTGTGTAATTTATCTGATTGCGATGGTCAATTAATTTACTTGGTTTACTCGCAAGTCAAGATTTTTCGTAATTCATTTGAGAATTTTAGCGTTTCTCTCTATGTTTAAGCTTTGCAGCACTCGCTAACTCTTAAGGTATACATACAGCATTCACTTTGTCGTATAAGGTGTACAGTACTCGCTATGACTAAGGTGTGCAGTACTCGCTATGTCTAAGGTGTACAGTACTCGCTATGACTAAGGTGTACAGTACTCGCTATGTCTAAGGTGTACAGTACTCGCTATGACTAAGGTGTGCAGTACTCGCTATGACTAAGGTGTGCAGTACTCGCTATGCCTAAGGTGTACAGTACTCGCTATGTCTAAGGTGTACAGTACGCGCTATGACTAAGGTGTATAGTACTCGCTATGACTAAGGTGTACAGTACTCGCTATGTCTAAGGTGTACAGTACTCGCTCTGCCTAAGGTGTATAGTACTCGCTTTTTCTAAAATGAAAGTATTCATAATGTCTAAAAGATACAGTACCAGTAGAGGCTATGTCGAAGGTGTACAGTACTCGCTATGTCTAAGGTGTACAGTACTCGCTATGTCTAAGGTGTACAGTACTCGCTATGACTAAGGTGTACAGTACACGCTATCACTAAGTTTTGCAGTACTTGCTATGACTAAGTTGTACAGTACTCGCTATGACTGAGGTGTACCGTACTCGCTATATCTAAGGTGTACAGTCCTCGCTATGTCTAAGGTGTACAGTACACGCTGTGACTAAGGTTTGCAGTACTCGCTATGACTAAAGTGTACAGTACTCGCTATGTCTAAGGTGTACAGTACTCGTTATGACTGAGGTGTACAGTACTCGCTATGACTAAGGTGTACAGTACTCGCTATGACTAAGGTGTACAGTATTCGCTATGACAAAGGTGCACAGTACTCGCTATGTCTAAGGTGTACAGTACTCGCTATGACTAAGGTGTACAGTACTCGCTATGACTATGGTGTACAGTACTCGCTATGACTAGGGTGTACAGTACTCGCTATGACTAAGGTGTACAGAACTCGCTATGACTAAGGTGTACAGTACTCGCTATGACTAAGGTGTACAGTACTCGCTATGACTAAGGTGTACAGTACTCGCTATGACTAAGGTGTACAGTACTCGCTATGACTAAGGTGTACAGTACTCGCTATGACTAAGGTGTACAGTACTCGCTATGACTAAGGTGTACAGTACTCTCATTGTCTTGTTAACAGAAGTGATAAGATTTACTTTAGTTCCATTGCGATGTTTAGGGTTTACTGGCGTTACCATCATTCACTCGATATTTTCTGAGTTTCACAATTCAATTATGACGATATTCACGCCTTGTAAATTTGATTCACGCTGTTTAGTCTTCCACGTCCGTCTTATCCGTCTTAGTTCCCAATATGCTGTATAATCAGGAGACTTACAATTATTGTCTGCCATTAGTATATATTATAAATGTTTTGTTGACTGGTTGATTGTGGTACAAGGCATGTGACATATTTACGTGTAGACCTATTTCCGAGCAAGTGTGCCTTACTGAGAGATTAATGAACTGTATTTTTATATTTCTATATTTGTCAAGTGATTTTGTATTCAGCCATGTTTTTCCTGTTTGAGGATTTCAGCTATATCTTCTTTTCACATTTCCATTAAATCTAAAATCGGAAGAAATACAACGAACCACCGTGAGTATATAGACACCCAGAGTTACGTGTATACGACGATTAATAAGCAGAGTGCTGTGATTTGAGTGTCACCAATTTGATTTGTGTTTTCAGTCAGGCAATCAATGTATGTATATGTTTTCCATGGCTTGTTGAAGTTTATATTAAAGAGCAGTTCACCCGATGCTAGTCACATTTGTTGTGATTCTGGATCAATGGATCGTACACCCGTTTAAAATAGCCCAGTCACTTGAAACTTAATTATATAAATAAAAAGGAGACTTACGTTTTAGACAAAAGGAAGAAAACCTATTAACCAGATATGGCTAGATAACTCTCTACGAAACTTAAAAGTGCTGGTAGCCAGTCTACATCTGCAGGGCCCGTATTCATGAAACCCTTCTTTTTGTGCTCAAGCCTTATGTCTTGTTTAAGTTAAAAATTGATAAATAAGGCTGATTTTACCAAAGATTTATAAACAATTTTGAAAGGATTTCAAGTCAAAGTTATGTTCCATGCTTATATCTGACATTTGTATTATTTTATATGATTTAGGAGAATTATAAAAAAAGTTTGCTTGAGCACAAAATCTATGCTTGAGCATGAGAATGGTTTCGTGAATACGGGCCCAGGTACGACTTAAGTTGCTTCCGCTAAGACTTCGATAACTCGATAAAATAAAATTTTGTTCCTTCCATTATTTCCGTGCTGACTTTGGTTACTTCCGTTATTGTTTTGGTAACTTCCGCTATGAAATTGGTAACTTCCGTTATGACTTTGGTTATTTCCTTGTTGACTCTTGTTATTTCCGTTATTGTTTTGGTAACTTCCGTTATGAAATTGGTAACTTCCGTTATGACTTTGGTTATTTCCTTGTTGACTTTTGTTATTTCCGTTATTGTTTTGGTAACTTCCGTTATGAAATTGGTTACTTCCGTTATTAATTTGGCAGCTGACGGTGATATTTTACGTTATTTGTGCCTTCTCTTAAAAACAGTCTGTTTGTATACCAGACTCAAAATTACGATACCAAGTTGATGAACTGGTCGTCTACCTATTCTTGCCAAGTATAGATTCTCACCATTACTCAGGGAAATAGTGATCAATTTGCACATAACTTGCCATTTCAAAAGGAAATATTTTCTTTCTCGGGAAACTTGTGTGAAGAAATATCGTGATCTTGTCGAGGAAAGAACCTTTGTAATCATTCGGAACAGTCAACCACAATATGTCAAAACTATTGATGTAGTTAGTGTCGATGTGGTGGAGAATTACTGCAAACAAGGAAATTATATTGTAGATAATTATAGAATCAATTAATCACATCATGATTATCGACCGCTGCTCACCTGAAGTAGATATAGATAAACACTGTCATTAAAGTATGGCATTTCCTTTCAGATGTTAACTTCCCGCACAGCGTTGGTGGTTTAAGGCATTGAATTATAGGGGATTTTCATCAGAGTTATGACTTTCGATATGTCATTCCTTTAGGACATTTAATTCTGGTTTGGAATAAATTATTTCACATTAAATGACATTAATTACCGACTTGGCATTACTGATCACCGTCAGGACATTTATTTCCGGTATTACATTGGTAAATTCTGGTATGATGTAGAAACTATCCGACATCACGTTATCTTCTGTCATGTCGGGATATCAGTCTTTAATATATGACATGTCTTACTGAACATAAACTGGTGGTCCAGAGCCATGTTTATCATAGAGGTCCCGAGCCCTGTTAATCACAGAGGTCCCGAGCCATGTTTATCATAGAGGTCCTGAGCCATGTTTATCATAGAGATCCCGAGCCCTGTTTATCATAGAGGACCCGAGCCATGTTTATCATAGAGGTCCCGAGCCATGTTTATCATAGAGATCCCGAGCCCTGTTTATCATAGAGGACCCGAGCCATGTTTATCATAGAGGTCCCGAGCCCTGTTTATCATAGAGGTCCCGAGCCATGTTTATCACAGAGGTCCCGAGCCCTGTTTATCATAGAGGACCCGAGCCCTGTTTATCACAGAGGTCCCGAGCCATGTATATCATAAAGGTCCCGAGCCATGTTTATCATAGAGATCCCGAGCCCTGTTTATCATAGAGGACCCGAGCCATGTTTATCATAGAGGTCCCGAGCCCTGTTTATCATAGAGGTCCCGAGCCATGTTTATCATAGAGGTCCTGGGCTCTGTATATCATAGAGGTCCTGGGCCCTGTTTATCATAAAGGTCCCGTGCCATGTTTATCATAGAGGTCCTGGGCCCTGTTTATCATAGAGGTCCCGAGTCATGTTTATCACAGAGGTCCCGAGCCCTGTTTATCACAGAGGTCCCGAGCCGTGTTAATCATAGAGGTCCCGAGCCCTGTTTATCATAGAGGACCCGAGCCACGTTTATCATAGAGGTCCCGAGTCCTGTTTATCATAAGGGTCCCGAGCCATGTTTATCATAGAGGTCCTGGGCTCTGTATATCATAGAGGTCCTGGGCCCTGTTTATCATAGAGGTTCCGAGCCATGTTTATCATAGAGGTCCCGAGCCCTGTTTATCATAGAGGACCCGAGCCATGTTTATCATAGAGGTCCCGAGCCATGTTTATCACAGAGGTCCCGAGCCATGTTTATCACAGAGGTCCCGAGCCCTGTTTATCATAGAGGTCCTGGGCCCTGTTTATCATAGAGGTCCCGAGCCATGTTTATCATAGAGGTCCCGAGCCCTGTTTATCATAGAGGACCCGAGCCATGTTTATCATAGAGGTCCCGAGCCCTGTTTATCATAGAGGTCCCGAGCCATGTTTATCATAGAGGTCCTGGGCTCTGTATATCATAGAGGTCCTGGGCCCTGTTTATCATAGAGGTCCCGAGCCATGTTTATCATAAAGGTCCCGAGCCATGTTTATCATAGAGGTCCTGGGCCCTGTTTATCATAGAGGTCCCGAGTCATGTTTATCACAGAGGTCCCGAGCCCTGTTTATCACAGAGGTCCCGAGCCATGTTTATCACAGAGGTCCCGAGCCATGTTTATCATAGAGGTCCCGAGCCCTGTTTATCATAGAGGTCCCGAGCCATGTTTATCATAGAGGTCCCGAGCCCTGTTTATCATAGAGGTCCCGAGCCCTGTTTATCATAGAGGTCCCGAGCCATGTTTATCATAGAGGTCCCGAGCCATGTTTATCATAGAGGTCCTGGGCTCTGTATATCATAGAGGTCCTGGGCCCTGTTTATCATAGAGGTCCCGAGCCATGTTTATCATAAAGGTCCCGAGCCATGTTTATCATAGAGGTCCTGGGCCCTGTTTATCATAAAGGTCCCGAGTCATGTTTATCAGAGAGGTCCCAAGCCCTGTTTATCACAGAGGTCCCGAGCCATGTTTATCACAGAGGTCCCGAGCCCTGTTTATCACAGAGGTCCCGAGCCCTGTTTATCATAGAGGTCCTGGGCCCTGTTTATCATAGAGGTCCCGAGTCATGTTTATCACAGAGGTCCCGAGCCCTGTTTATCACAGAGGTCCCGAGCCATGTTTATCACAGAGGTCCCGAGCCCTGTTTATCACAGAGGCCCCGAGCCATGTTTATCACAGAGGTCCCGAGCCATGTTTATCATAGAGGTCCCGAGCCATGTTTATCATAGAGGTCCCGAGCCGTGTTAATCATAGAAGTCCCGAGCCCTGTTTATCATAGAGGTCCCGAGCCATGTTTATCACAGAGGTCCCGAGCCATGTTTATCACAGAGGTCCCGAGCCCTGTTTATCATAGAGGTCCTGGGCCCTGTTTATCATAGAAGTTCCGAGTCATGTTTATCATAGAGGTCCCGAGCCCTGTTTATCACAGAGAGGTCCCGAGCCATGTTTATCACAGAGGTCCCGAGCCATGTATATCATAGAGGTCCCGAGCCATGTTTATCATAGAGGTCCCGAGCCCTGTTTATCATAGAGGTCCCGAGCCCTGTTTATCATAGAGGTCCCGAGCTCTGTATATCATAGAGGTCCTGGGCCCTGTTTATCATAGAGGTCCCGAGCCATGTTTATCATAGAGGTCCCGAGCCGTGTTAATCATAGAGGTCCCGAGCCCTGTTTATCATAGAGGTCCCGAGCCATGTTTATCATAGAGGTCCCGAGCCGTGTTAATCATAGAGGTCCCGAGCCATGTTTATCATAGAGGTCCCGAGCCCTGTTTATCATAGAGGTCCCGAGCCGTGTTAATCATACTGGTCCCGAGCCATGTTTATCATAGAGGTCCCGAGTCCTGTTTATCAAAGAGGTCCCGAGCTCTGTATATCATAGAGGTCCTGGGCCCTGTTTATCATAGAGGTCCCGAGCCATGTTTATCATAGAGGTCCCGAGCCGTGTTAATCATAGAGGTCCCGAGCCCTGTTTATCATAGAGGTCCCGAGCCATGATTATCATAAAGGTCCCGAGCCATGTTTATCATAGAGGTCCCGAGCCGTGTTAATCATAGAGGTCCCGAGCCCTGTTTATCATAGAGGTCCCGAGCCGTGTTAATCATACTGGTCCCGAGCCATGTTTATCATAGAGGTCCCGAGCCCTGTTTATCACAGAGGTCCCGAGCCATGTTTATCATAGAGGTCCCGAGCCCTGTTTATCATAGAGGTCCCAAGCCCTGTTTATCGTAGAGGTCCCGAGCCCTGTTTATCGTAGAGGTCCCAGCCATGTTTATCATAGCGTTCCTGAGCCGTGTTTATCATAGATGTCCTAAGCCCTGTTTATCATAGAGGTCCTGAGCCATGTATATATAGAGGTCCCGTGACAAGTTTATCATATAGGTCCTGAGCTATATATAAATCACAACTTCCGTGGACACTACATATGCCATGTACTTTCCAGTACTACCTGATACAGGCTCATGCCGCCCGACCGGGCTCTACCGGGCGGTGCCCGGCTGTAATTGATATTATGACGGCCATATTGAAGTCGAACGGAGAGAGATAACACACTGAAACGACTATGACACAGCGAACCGTAAGGTCTGAGAACGTTTTTGAGGCAAATGAACTCAAAAATTTGTTTAATTCTATCATATGTATGGACGCTTTCGTTCTGTCTCTAAAATAGGCAAAATGTAAGTATTGATAAATACCTAATATATGTGAATATTGACTTTAAATTATTATTCCAGGACAAACTTTGATCTAATATTTCAGTTTTTGAAGTCTGTTATTTGTTAGGAAAGTACTGGATTGATTGTCATGTATGTGTCTGCTCTTTAAGTTATATAATTAGACGATTTAAGTTTATGTCAATACAAGAATAGGGAAAAAACCTATAAAAACACGAGATGACAGAAAGAGAAAGATGAACCAAGTTAAAACAAACAAAGCTATAACAAGGGTTAGTGTCAATATCCCTCACTTCGTCTTTATTTCCTGACATTATTTTATATCTTTTTACATTACTTTCTTGGATTGACCAAGAGTTACATCGCTTGTGTTGTCCATAAAGCAGATGGCACTTTATCTTCCGAAACACCTGGGTCTTATTCTCCTTTAACTTTTTCATGAGTCTCCTTGTAAATCTTGCTTTTGTTTATATTTTTCCCATGAATTGTGTTAACATGTTGGTATTTACTTGTTGTTTTTATCTACGCCAATGAGGTTGATCTCACACTTTTCTCTGATAGTTATGAAATTCCATAGGATTGTCATATTTAAAAACCACATTTCAAACCCTCTTTCATATTTCACGGATAACTTGAGGTCGACAGAGTGCTGTGTTTATACAGCCTATTATCCGAGGTAGCTACGGCGACTTGTAAAAAGGTTTCAAAACACAATTCACACTTGTTTATTGTAACTTTAGCTGAAACTTACTTGAAATACTTTTGAGATAGATGGTATTTATCATGTGTCAGTCAGAATTCAAGATCTTTATAAACAATCCTGAATTTTTCCTGTTCCGTTGGTTGCATTGAGTTATAACTTGAGGTTAAAGGTCAGGTGAACTCATTTGTATAGTTGTTGCTTATGTTATTATTTTATTGAAAGAAATTAATGGAAATTTACCAGAAACAAATCCAACAATACTGAACTAATGTGTGTTTACATTCAGATGGCCATTGATGTCCGTAAAACTCTTTTTTTATATCATTCGGAGAAGAAAATGATGATAAGCTGTGTCATACTAATATTCAAACGTCGTATACTATATACTAACGAGTGTGTTTATGATTTCTCTTAAGTCCAGACTGATGACTCGGTAATGACGAAATTCGTCAATTGTCAATAGTTTTGATTAAGATCCAGAATCGAATCTGATTGAAACGAGGAAAGTTGGCATTGTAACAGGAAAGGAGTAGTTTGCCTCCGTCAGTAATCGAACCCACGACCCCTGGTTTACCGGTTCTTAGATTTACCGATCGATATAAAGGGAAATTCACCCTAGAGCAGTACTAGACGATTACAGTATGACTACTCCTCACTTCTAGTGCATTCGCCCCCGACCACCACATCAACCCAAGTTCTGTTGCCCAACGAGGCCTCACTGTCTCCTCTTAGCTTGCACTTGGAGTGGTCTGCGACACCAAATATAGCAGAAAATGGAAGAGTTGCATCCATCGGTCGTTCACGGGAAGTATTGTGTTTTACTTCAGATGTGGACGAATGTGTTGACGACAGTCTGAACAAGTGTCCAGGGAATTGTGAAAACACAGATGGTTCATACAAGTGTAACTGTAGTATACCTGGATTCATGGACAGCTGGGACGGACGGTCGTGTTACGGTAAGTCATCTAGGCGGATCTTTAGGGATCACAAAATAATTTACTCTAGTTTTTGTCTACAGTAGGTTACCAGTAAGGTATATTTGGATATGTATGGATGAAACGACCACTTTAAGATATCCTCATTATCATGATTAGCGAGGCGAGCAGTGTTGCATATCGGTATAATAATGTGGGATATATATATGTATATAAAAATGTTGCCAGCTGACCGATAATGTTTTTTCTATATTTTGTCTTTATACTCAGATGATAATGAGTGTACATTGAATTACGGCGGCTGTGAGGATATTTGTATCAACGTAGTCGGTTCCTACTTCTGCAAGTGTACCACTAATCCGGGGTACCAGCTGTCAAGTGATGGACACAACTGTACAGGTAAGTTTAGTGATGGTCAAACAGGTAGGTCTGGTTATGGTCAAACAGGTAGGTCTGGTGATGGTCACGTCTGTACAGGTAGGTCTGGTGATGGTCACATCTGTACAGGCACGTCTGGTGATGGTCACATCTGTACAGGTAGGTCTGGTGATGGTCACAACTGTACAGGTAGGTCTGGTGATGGTCACAACTGTACAGGTAGGTCTGGTGATGGTCACAACTGTACAGGTAGGTCTGGTGATGGTTACATCTGTACAGGTAGGTCTGGTGATGGTCACGTCTGTACAGGTAGGTCTGGTGATGGTCACATCTGTACAGGCACGTCTGGTGACGGTCACATCTGTACAGGTAGGTCTGGTGATGGTCACAACTGTACAGGTAGATCTGGTGATTGACACATATGTACAGGTGGGTCTGGTGATGGACACATATGTACAGGTAGGTCTGGTGATGGTCACAAATGTACAGGTGGGTCTGGTGATGGACACATATATACAGGTAGGTCTGGTGATGGACACATTTGTACAGGTAGGTCTGGTGATGGTCACGTCTGTACAGGTAGGTCTGGTGATGGTCACATCTGTACAGGTAGGTCTAGTGATGGTCACATCTGTACAGGTAGGTGTGGTGATGGTCACAACTGTACAGGTAGGTCTGGTGATGGTCACATCTGTACAGGTGGGTCTGGTGATGGTCACATCTGTACAGGTAAGTCTGATGATGGTCACATGTGTACAGGCACGTCTGGTGACGGTCACATCTGTACAGGTAGGTCTGGTGATGGTCACAACTGTACAGGTAGATCTAGTGATGGTCACAACTGTACAGGTAGATTTGGTGATGGTCACATCTGTACAGGTAGGCCTAATGAGCAACATAACCTCAGAATAAAATTGTTCTTGACATGCTTTTTTCCTCGTGACATGTGGACTTCGTGACTGGATTGGTATATAAAAAGTGACACGGCTAACTTGTGGAGTTTCCCGGGTTTATCGTGATGTACCTTGACACACGTAGCCCTCGTGACTGGATCGGTCAATAAAAAGTGACACGGTTAACTTGTAGAGTTTCCCGGGTGTATCGTGATGGACCTCGACACATGTAGCCCTCGTGACTGGATTGGTATATAAATAGTGACACGGCTAAGTTGTGGAGTTTCCCGGATGTATCACTGCTTATTAATTGTGGGAAGGACTGGCATTCATTAGGCGTCTCGCCTCCGGAAGTCGGTCTACTTCAACTTACGATAATCAGACCGTATGCAAATATAGACATCCTAGAAGGATAATCAGCTGTCAGGGCACAGTCTCCTATATCCTTGTCCAATGAAATACGTCAGTTAAAAATATACGCACAAAAAAATACATATACGATGAACATAGAGATGTAAAGTTCACTGGGGCCTTGGTCAGACCTGTAGCTATCGTCCATTCTGTTTTAAAACGCATGGTGATATATTGTGTAACTGTATGTCAATGCTAGAATGCACAGTTGTTGTCGTTCGTGAATCAAGTATACGTAATTACTTACAAGATCAATCACGGATTTAGCGACAAATCTATACCGAAGTGCCGGCCACACCACTCCGACATTTCAAAAAACTTACATGTACATATCCACATAACATTCAAATTGAAATATGCAATGTACATTACGTATTTGATTCATTTTCGGTATAGATCATAACACTTTTAAGTTTCACCAGTCCCCATAAACAGTTAAGACAGCCAAGCTCTTGATGCCCTTCACGATTTCACTGTACATGCGTGACGTGGGAGCGTACTTATCATAGACGTTAACACATAGTTGAAGGGAGATAACTCGAACGGGGTTCATTTATTTGTCACATATTGTAGATACTTTAGATAATGAAATGACGTCACACATCCGCAGATGTCAGTGTGACAGCAATTGAGACCATAGATACAGAACTTTTAAGTTTGACGTAGAAATGTCCTTTTTCTACCAAAGTTGCTCGATAAATCGACCATGTGATAAAAGGGATCTCAGATTCGTTCCTATTTGATACTACTCGTCACGAACTGCTGAGACTGGTTTCATAACTTCACATATCAAATGCAAACTCATATAAAACCCTATCTTTATTACATAATCAGCCAGTTGTTCACATAATGCGCGAATATATAATAATCTTTCGCGTATATGTCACTAGTGTGTAATATACCCTAAAGCGTTTTTCATTGGCTGTGCCAGACAGGCATCGACTGTGATGTCAAGAAATATGGACAATGAGGTTACGTCGTGAAATGAAAACGGTACAACAAAAAGGTGCCTCCTGCTGAGTTATGTCACAGACAGCATCAAAAATTTGTTTTTATTCCATATGCAATTTCACGAAACTCGTCAAGGCGCGCAAAAATAAGAACTTCTTCTTAGATTCGGGAAATTTTTTTATGAAATGAAAATTTCAGTTAAGATCCTATACATATATGTCGATATTTCAAAATTTATTTCCTTTTATGGTTAATAACATATCAAATGCGAAAAAATTCCAATCAGTACCGCTGTTGAATGGGACATATTTTGATGCGAGCCTATAAGATTGGTTAATTGAGTATTGTAGATACTTTTAATAAAAATATCTTGTTAGGATTTTCCTGTGATACTTTGTTACAGATGTAGATGAGTGTGCTTTATACGGCAAGAAGATCTGTGGTAACGGTCGATGTGTGAACACCGTAGGCGCCTACATGTGTGAGTGTGATGATGGCTTCCTTCCGAGCAAGGATCGCACAAAATGTGAAGGTGACTACCCCGCACTAAATATGAAAAAATAATTTTCCATCCTTTATACATTTTGTATATGTATATATAGAAGTACCCGTCACATAAATGATATGATATTGATTATATCAGAAGTCTTTGTTGGGTCTTTAACCGACACTCTCCGGGTCCTTGTACTATTGACCATAAAATAAAAATTGATTGTCCATTTCAGACATAGATGAATGTAAAATTGGAAACGGAGACTGTGAGGACCTGTGTGTAAACACCGTGGGATCATTCTACTGTGAGTGTCAGGAATCCGGATTTGAGATCGACATTGATGGTCATAACTGTACAGGTAAGTCGGACTTGTAGGGGTGTACATGTACCGGTGATGATGTACATTTACCGAGGATGATTTACATGTACCGGTGATGATGTACATGTACCGGTGATGATGTTCAGTTACCGAGGATGATGTACAGGTACCGGTGATGATGTACAGGTAATGGTGACAATGTACAGGTACCGGTGATGATTAACAGGTAATGATGATGTACAGGTAATGGTGACAGTGTACAGGTACCGGTGATGATGTACAGGTAATGGTGACAGTGTACAGGTACCGGTGATGATGTACAGGTAATGGTGACAATGTACAGGTACCGGTGATGATTAACAGGTAATGATGATGTACAGGTAATGGTGACAATGTACAGGTACCGGTAATGATTAACAGGTAATGATGATGTACAGGTAATGGTGACAATGCACAGGTACCGGTGATGATTAACAGGTAATGATGATGTACAGGTAATGGTGACAGTGTACAGGTACCGTTTATGATGTACAGGTAATGATGATGTACAGGTACCGGTGATGATGTACATGTACCGGTGATGATGTTCAGTTACCGAGGATGATGTACAGGTACCGGTGATGATGTACAGGTAATGGTGACAATGTACAGGTACCGGAGATATTGTATAGTTACCGGAGATGATGTACATGTACCGGTGATAATGTACAGGTACCGGTGATGATGTACAGGTAATGGTGACAATGTACAGGTACCGGTGATGATTAACAGGTAATGATGATGTACAGGTAATGGTGACAGTGTACAGCTACCGTTTATGATGTACAGGTAATGATGATGTACAGGTACCGGTGATGATGTACATGTACCGGTGATGATGTTCAGTTACCGAGGATGATGTACAGGTACCGGTGATGATGTACAGGTTATGGTGACAATGTACAGGTACCGGAGATATTGTATAGTTACCGTAGATGATGTACATGTACCGGAGATGATGTACAGGTACCGATGATGATGTACAGGTAATGGTGCCAATGTACAGGTACCGGTAATGATTAACAGGTAATGATGATGTACAGGTAATGGTGACAATGTACAGGTACCGGTGATGATTAACAGGTAATGATGATGTAAAGGTAATGGTGACAGTGTACAGGTACCCTTTATGATGTACAGGTAATGATGATGTACAGGTACCGGTGATGATGTTCAGTTACCGAGGATGATGTACAGGTACCGGTGATGATGTACAGGTTATGGTGACAATGTACAGGTACCGGTGATGATTAACAGGTAATGATGATGTACAGGTAATGGTGACAATGTACAGGTACCGGAGATGATGTACAGGTAATGATGATGATGTACAGGTACCGGAGATGATGTACAGGTACCGGTGATGATGTACAGGTACCGGTGATGATATACAGGTACCGGTGATGATGTACAGGTACCGGTTATGATGTACAGGTACCGATGATAATGTACAGGTACCGATGATAATGTACAGGTACCGATGATGATGTACAGGTAATGATGATGTACAGGTACCGGAGATGATGTACAGGTACCGGTGATGATGTACAGGTACCGGAGATGATGTACAGGTACCGGATATGATGTACAGGTTCCGATGATGATGTACAGGTACCGGAAATGATGTACAGGTACCGATGATGATGTACAGGTACCGGTGATGATGCACAGGTACCGGTGATAATGTACAGGTACCGGTTATGATGTACAGGTATCGAGGGTGATGTACAGGTACCGATGATGATGTACAGGTAATGATGATGTACAGTTACTAGGGATGATGTACAGGTATCGATGATGAAGTACAGGTACCGGAGATGATGTACTGGTACCGGTGACGATGTACAGGTACCGATGATGATGTACAGGTACCGGTGATGATGTACCTGTACTGGTTATGATGTACAGGTACCGGAGATGATGTACATGTACCGATGATGTACAGGTACCGGAAATAATGTACAGGTACCGATGATGATGCACAGGTAATGACGATGTACAGTTACTAGGGATGATGTACAGGTATCGATGATGAAGTACAGGTACCGGAGATGATGTACTGGTACCGGTGACGATGTACAGGTACCGATGATGATGTACAGGTACCGGTGATGATGTACCTGTACTGGTTATGATGTACAGGTACCGGAGATGATGTACATGTACCGATGATGATGTACAGGTACCGGAAATGATGTACAGGTAATGATGATGCACAGGTACCGGAGATGATGTACAGGTACCGGTGATGATGTACAGGTACTGGTGATGATATACAAGTACCGGTGATGATGTACAGGCACCGGTTATGATGTACAGGTACCGGAGATGATGTACAGGTACCGATGATGATGTACATGTAATGATGATGATGTACAGGTTCCGATGTACTTGATATTTTATATAAAATATGTAATATAGGGAGAATCTATACTGGCTTCGATATGTTTTCTGGACACTTAGTAGTTATATGATGTAGATTTAATACAGAAAGCGGTTAGGTTAGGGGTAACGTCTCCATGACAAAGGAGCGCCACTAAGGACATATGATGCACCGGGTAAAGGAGGGAATGACATCCTTGTATATCTGCTATTGAAACTGTATATTTTGTTTGTAGACGTTGACGAGTGTATTGACAACGCCCCAAAGTGTGAGAACGACTGTGTGAATACCATAGGATCCTTCTACTGCTGGTGTCATTGGCACGGATTCGTGGTCCACGATAACGAACGGAACTGTACGAGTAAGTATGCACGTAAATCACGATAAGTACTGGAACTGTATGAGTACATATACACGTGCATGGTTCACGATCAGTACTGGAACTGTACGAGTACATATACACGTGCATGGTTCACGATAAGTACTGGACATTTATACGTGCATGGTTCACGATAAGTACTGGAACTGTACGAGTACATATACACGTGCATGGTTCACGAGAAATACTGGACATTTACACGTGCATGGTTCACGATAAATACTGGAACTGTACGAGTACATATACACGTGCATGGTTCACGATAAGTACTGGACATTTACACGTGCATGGTTCACGATAAATAACTGACATTTACACGTGCATGGTTCACAAAAGTACTGGAACTGTACGAGCACATATACACGTGCATGGTTCACGATCAGTACTGGAACTGTACGAGTACATATACACGTGCATGGTTCACGATCAGTACTGGAACTGTACGAGTACATATACACGTGCATGGTTCACGATAAGTACTGGACATTTATACGTGCATGGTTCACGATAAGTACTGGAACTGTACGAGTACATATACACGTGCATGGTTCACGAGAAATACTGGACATTTACACGTGCATGGTTCACGATAAATACTGGAACTGTACGAGTACATATACACGTGCATGGTTCACGATAAGTACTGGACATTTATACGTGCATGGTTCACGATAAGTACTGGAACTGTACGTGTACATATACACGTGCATGGTTCACGATAAATACTGGACATTTACACGTGCATGGTTCACAAAAGTACTGGAACTGTACGAGCACATATACACGTGCATGGTTCACGATCAGTACTGGAACTGTACGAGCACATATACACGTGCGTGGTTCACGATAAATACTGGAACTGTACGAGTACATATAAATAATGTATTCGTACGCTTGGCCGGTAATAACTTGATATTTTGATATTTACATATTGATATTCTTTGAGAAATAGTTTCTTAACCCATGGTAACAGTAATGCCAACATTCTTGAGGATTTTAACATAAGAATGCATTCATTCTTGAAAGCAGTTCAATTTCGGTTAAGATATACAATTGTGTATTCTGAAAGAAAGAATTGTAACTAATATTTGATCTATTGGAGTAAGTACACATATTACTTTTTTTTAGTTCCACGATAAATATTAGTATATTTATGACTTGTTAAACCGAATATGACGCAGTAAAATGTTGTTTTAGAGACTGAATATTCGGTTTAGTGATTGCAAGAGCCTTGTGTTTCTTCCATTAGAATGCAGAGACGATCAGTACATCATTGAACAGGAAAAGCTGTGCGTGAACTGTCCCAACAACTCCCACGTCGTGCGGACCTTACCTGGGGCAGCAAACTCCTTGGAGGACTGTCAGTGTCTACCTGGATACGACGGTAGCCCTGCTGAGAAAATTCCTTGTCAAGGTAATTTATCCTAATCATAAAGTACCTCGACAAGGTAATGTATCCTGTTGAGAAAATACTTTGTGATTTAACAAGTTACAACATTTGTAATTTTCAGAGATACTTTAAAGACAAAAAAAAACAAAAAACAAAACAAACAAAAAACAGTTACAATATATACCTCGTTTGGTACTTAACCGATCAACATCCAATCACATGTTTTATGATGTGTCGTCCTACATCGCTTTGATACCACGTGGTTTTCATTCTAGATGTGGACGAGTGTTTGACGGCTAATTGTGAATATAAGTGTCAAAACGAAGTGGGCAGCTTTACATGTGTTTGTCCTATTGGGTACTTTCTGATGGAGGACGGACGAAACTGTACAGGTAAGATAACTGATAAAAGCTGAAAACTGTTCATGGATTCAACGTCGTTCTCTGCCCGCCTTTCCGTTCCGCTTTAGTTTTCATGCGATAATTCGCTAAATGCGTATCAATTTTGATCAAATTAAGTTTGCATTTGTATCTTGTATATATCTTCAGCCTATTCGTTAATATCGATTCATAATTCAACTGATGGTTTGCCGAGTGGTTTCCGTGTGTTAACTCAGTTAGATGTCAATGGATATTACCATCCTTTAGCCAGACTCCTTTGACGTTTGACCGGAAGAAAGGCATAATTCAATTTAAAAGAAAATTAATTCTTACGTAATATCGCGGATTTTTGTGTCCTTATACACTTTGTGAGTTGCACTTAACTCAAAAAAGGGCGATTTTTATGACGTTTAGAAAAAAAATGCTTGTGGATTACTGTTTTGACTGTGTAGTTGACGGCGTGATTCGGTCGACAGCTTAACAATTTCAACGTTTTCTGATTGCTAAGGTTATTCTGTTGAGTAAAACTTTTTAAGTCTTGAGTAGACTCCAAGTTAATTTTCCATGAATTATCACCACAAATCACGGATTTCACTTTCGTGAATTCTGATTTTGTGAATCACTTTCCCGTATTTTTACGACCCGAAAACAAATATTTTAGCTTGTTTCTTAGAAACACTGTCTATTTAGATGACAATCGTTAAAGCCGAAACATGGAGACTCCATCGTTTTCAATCATGAAAAGTATCCTCGATTTTTTTTCTATCCTAACATCCAAAAGTTTATACTCGAGGATGGTCAAATAAACAAATGAAGTAATTTTGGAACATTTTAAATTTTTTGTTGCTATGCAGTTTAAACCTTAAATCAAATGAAAACTTAGCATTGTCACATTACGTTTTTTCTTGATATCCAAGTACAATACCCCTACGTTGTAATAAAAGGCGAACATTTATTCTAAAAGCGTTAGTGTGAACAGAGAATGTCTGTTAGTAAGGGAAAATATAAGAATTATATTTTAAAAATAATTTTCTCCTGTTACACAAATATTGACGTTTTTTCACTTCTCAATTCTCTAAAAATGTTATAATTGTAACAAAACGGACAGCTGTTGGCAGGGGTGATCACTAACGAACAGAGATGGAATGCTGTCACAAAAATACGTCGTTATATTATTATTATTATTATTATTATCATTACATTCTTAACGGCCCGTCAACACATAAAAGGTCATTAGGGCCATCAAACGGTAAAACACACAGCGATCCAAAACGAAATAACATTAAACAAACCAAAAGGTAAGTCAAATGTTAAAAATCTTAAATGGGTATATTAACACAAAAGATTAAAATGGTATGTCATAGTCTATTATATAGACCAGCATCTTTCAGGTAATGTAGAATTTTACAAATCTTAACCATTTCCAAAAGGGTCTTTAGACTTATAACGTTACGATAAAACACTCTCGAGTATACAGAAGATCAATACAGTCCAATAAAAAATGTTAAACGGTGAAAGGCTCATCACATCCTATGCCCTCTTCTCAAGAGTTCATATATCATATGACTGTAAGATAAAATTCGGGGGTGTAAGATATAACAAAACAGAGTTTACACTACAAGTGTTTGTTGTGTATGGTATTTTTATGGTGTAAACACATGCTTTAATTTTAGTGAAATATCACAATTTGCAAAAAATAGCAGTTCAAAATATTTGGAATATCTGTATCTATAACTAACCAATTAAAGGGTCCATTATCTCCAAAGCAATGATTTGATAAAAATCCATAAACAGGAAAATTTTGAAAATATCACAAAAACAGTTGCGACCTACTTACTGTACGTTTTAATTTCTATGTGTAAAGCGCCTGTCTGGTCAAAGTTCGCTGTGTCAACCAATCAAAACACTTTGACAGTTTATTCCAAGTATTACTTATATTTTGTTTATGCAACAACTGCAAGTATTAATCGATACCGTAGAAATTTAATAACACCCACCTATCGTGGTATAAAATATGTTCATCAACTGTTCACAGATGTTGACGAGTGCGGAAATGACAATGGTGGCTGTAATGTCACGTGTGTAAACACACTGGGATCTTTCCACTGCGCATGTCCCTCCCCAGGTTTCCTGCTGAGCAACGACAGCATATCTTGCGATGGTAAAATTAGCTAACTCTGCGAAGTTCCGTATTGTTAATATATTCCAAACCATGTATATGATAAACGAAATATATATATATATACTCCAAGTTAAAAGATGGGTATGTGATATTCATGTTGATGTACGGAAAAATAAACATATGTAGATAGAATAGTAAATAACAAACACTCCAACATTCATCCATTAGTTTTAATTTGTCAGATTAAGGAAGTACACGCCAATTAATTCAGTCATAATAACCACTAGATGGGAAGGACATCAGTGGGGATGTCCTTCTGAGCATGTCCTCTCTGGAAAGAAATTCTCTTGGAAGGTCCTCTCGAGGATGTACTCTCTTGGAAGGTCCTCTCGGAGATGTACTCTCTTGGAAGGTCCTCTCGGGGATGTACTCTCTTGGAAGGTCCTCTCGGGGATGTACTCTCTTGGAAGGTCCTCTCCGATGTCCTTCTGAGCATGTCCTCTCTGGAATGAAATTCTCTTGGAAGGTCCTCTCGGGGATGTACTCTCTTGGAAGGTCCTCTCCGGGATATACTCTCTTGGGATGGCTTCTCGGGGATGTACTCTCTTGGAAGGTCCTCTCGGAGATGTACTCTCTTGGAAGGTCCTCTCGGAGATGTACTCTCTTGGAAGGTCCTCTCGGGGATGTACTTTCTTGGAAGGTCCTCTCCGGGATGTACTCTCTTGGGAGGTCCTCTCGGGGATGTACTCTCTTGGAAGGTCCTCTCGGGGATGTACTCTCTTGGAAGGTCCTCTCGGGGATGTACTCTCTTGGAAGGTCCTCTCGGGGATGTACTCTCTTGGAAGGTCCTCTCCGGGATGTACTCTCTTGGAAGGTCCTCTCGGGGATGTACTCTCTTGGGAGGTCCTCTCGGGGATGTACTCTCTTGGAAGGTCCTCTCGCGGATGTGCTCTCTTGGGATGGCTTCTCGGGGATGTACTCTCTTGGAAGGTCCTCTCGGAGATGTACTCTCTTGGAAGGTCCTCTCGGGAATGTAATCTTTTGGAATGGCTGCTCGGGGGATGTATGCTGTCTGGGATTGTCCTCTCTGATAATATCTTCCCAATGGATGTCCTTTTTCGGAATGTCCTCTCTGGGAATGTCTTTCTGGGAATGTCTTCCTGGGGATATCCTCTTTGAGAAGGGCCTCTCTGAAATTGTTCTCTAGGAATGTCCTGTCTCGGAAAAGTCTCTGTGTCTGATCATGGGATATCTTCTCCAGAGACAACCTCTCAGGGATTTCCCTCTCTGGGATGTCCTTTCTGGGAGTGTCTTCTGTGGTGATGTCTCCTCTGGGGATGTCATTTTTGGGAATTTCCTTTCTTGGGATGACCTTTCAGGGAATATCTTATCTGGGGATGTATCCTTCGGGATTGACCTCTCACGGAATTTCCTTTCTTGGGATGTCTTTCCTAGTAATTTCTTATCTGGGGATGTCTTATGTAGGGGTGTCCTCTCTGGGAATGATCTCTATTACAACAACATAAGTATGTCTGTTCTCTAAATTCCTGTGATGTCTAAGACGTTGACGAGTGTCTGTTGGATGACAACAACAACTGTAGTCAGTTGTGTTACAACACGGAAGGTGGAGCTGAATGTCGATGCTACCCAGGCTACGTCCTCGCTACTGACAACCATACTTGTGAAGGTATGGACATCACCGCAAAATGAGTAAACGTTTTGTCAGCGAATATATATTACGTTATGTTATCATTCAAAGCTAAAACAAAAATAAACATGTAGGACATTTTTGTTTACTTTGTAACTTTAACAGGAAATTAGATAAACTAGATATCAAATGTTCATTGATCCCGAATGGCGAAAATCTGCTCCTGGCATTTTCAACATTACAACTTTCGAATTCTAATGTATATGTTCGTCTAATTTGTTTGCATTTTTTTTTTTAACTTTTAGTAAGTTTTTATTTCACTAATTCTTGAAGGGAGACTTGGTAAGATATTTTTTAACCAACCGATTACTAGGAAGTTGTCAGTCTGATCTATAGGAAGTTTCAGTGAGGCAGCTGTTGAAAACATGCGCGGGTTTTTAGTTTTTGTTGGGTTCTGTTTTCAACCACATCTAATAAGCACTAGCAAAACATAAACGCACACTTCCCAAACAACATTTAACAAGGCGTGGGAATCGCTTATATAATTAGGGTTTAATTAAATGAATATGAGAGGTATGTTAGCACGTGTGGGATATCCGATGAACGTGATCATACTCTAACAGTCCCGAATGTTTTTCAGGAGTTAAAACATAATCAATATAAAAAAACAGTGGCATTAATGAATGATTGGCGAATGGTTTCTTTGACGTCACGCGACCATAAACAAATTATGCCATGTGATGGGCTCTTTAGATATAAAATAGAGTAATGGCGGCTCTTTATCCAGCAGGGCATCATGGGACACTTCCGGGTGTTACTGTCTAAATTTTGCCCTCATTTCAGAGACTAACCTTTTTTGTCTTTATTTTTACTTCCAAGGTGCTAGGGAAAGTGTTAGCCTTGAGTTTAAACGCGTCGAATTCGTAAACACTTTGTGCGTCATAACTTTGTTATAATTGATTCACGTATCATTTACATTTGTATTCAACTCACCTCAATATTTTGCATTTTAGACGATCGAAAATAGAAATAATCAATCCTCACTGAGTAATGAATCTCTGGGATAATTTTTTTTTAAAGTTCAGCTCTCGCTCTATTTGTAACACGGCTTCTTCTTTATCAGATATTGACGAGTGTGCAAACTCGTCCCTTACTTTATGTGAGGATATGTGTATCAACACAAATGGATCATTTTACTGCGACTGTGGAGGGCAAGCACTGAAGCTTTCTTGGGACAAGAGATCGTGCTCAGGTAGGCATCAACTCACCCGCCACCAGGTATCTTGTTCAGGTAGGTATGAACTTTCCAAGCACCAGAGATCGTTATCAGGTAGGTATGGACTCACGTGGCACCAGAGATCGTGCTCAGGTAGGTATCAACATTTTTGGGGGAATGGACATCGTGTTCGTTAAAGCTGTCAACGCAGGTTAAAAATAAATAATTTTGAGATTAAAAACGTTTCCGTTTCCCAAATGCTTCGGAAATGACACCTACAATAACTTCCGGTCAACGTATCTAATGAAGTGACAACGCGCTTCCACGTTTTTCTTCCATGTGACTGTATAACCTGAAAATGGACGTTTAAGGTGTATCTATGACAAACAGATACATTATCAGCCATATATCAGAAATACACATCTATTTATGTTACGATTTACACACTTTGACCCCTGCGTTTTGGAGGAAAAACACACAATATATCAACAAATGACTAACTACGACAAAATCGTCCCTCGTCCTTCAACAGTACTGGCATCAATTCCTGCGTAATAAGCTTAATATTTCGAGTTATTCCCCGCAGAGATCTTGCCCAGGTAGATATCACCTATCGTAGTGCCTGAGATCGTGTCCAGGTAGATATCAACTCTCGAATTGCCCGAGATCGTGCCCAGGTAGATATCACCTCTCGTAGTGCCTGATATCGTGTCCAGGTAGATATCAACTCTCGTATTGCACGAGATTGTGTCCAAGTAGATATCAACTCTCGTATTGCCTGAGATCGTATCCAGGTAGATATCAACACTCGTATTACTTGAAATCGTGCCCAGGTAGATATCACCTCTCGTAGTGCCTGAGATCGTGTCCAGGTAGATATCAACTCTCGTAGTGTCTGAGATCGTGTCCAGGTAGATATCAACTCTCGTAGTGTCTGAGATCGTGTCCATGTAGATATCAACTCTCGTATTGCCCGTGATCGTGCCCAGGTAGGTATCAATTCTCGTATTGCCCGAGATCGTACATAGGTAGGTATCAACTCTCGTAGTGCCTGAGATCGTGTCCAGGTAGATATCAACTCTCGTATTGCCTGAGATCGTGCCCAGGTAGGTATCAACTCACGTAGTGCCTGAGATCGTGTCCAGGTAGATATCAACTCTCGTATTGCCTGAGATCGTATCCAGGTAGATATCAACTCTCGTATTGCCTGAAATCGTACCCAGGTAGATATCACCTCTCGTAGTGCCTGAGATCGTGTCCAGGTAGATATCAACTCTCGTAGTTCCTGAGATCGTGTCCATGTAGATATCAACATTCGTATTGCCCGAGATCGTGCCCAGGTAGATATCACCTCTCGAAGTGCCTGACATCGTGTCCATGTATATGTCAACTCTCGTATTGCCCGAGATCGTACCCAGGTAGGTACCAACTCTCGTATTGCCTGAGATCGTGTCCAGGTAGATATCAACTCTCGTATTACCTGAGATCGTGTCCAGGTAGATATCAACTCTCGTATTGCCTGAGATTGTTTCCAGGTAGATATCAACTCTCGTATTGCCTGAGATCGTGCCCAGTTAGATATCACCTCTCGTAGTGCCTGAGATCGTGTCCAGGTTTACAGTGGTTCTTAACAGATGACAACAATTGTTTGGAAAGGGTACACAATGTTTAACAAGCTGTTGACAGTGTATGGAGGGAGTGAACATTGATTTGATTGGCTGTTGACATATTAACGAGTGTACGGAGGAAGTGAACATTGATCTGATTGGCTGTTGACAAATGTCAACGAGTGTATGGAGGGAGTGAAATTAATGTGATTGGCTGTTGACAGATATTAACGATTGTATGGAGGTAGTGAATATTAATTTGATTGGCTGTTGACAGATATTAACGAATGCATGGAGGGAGTGAACCACTGTGAAGATTTGTGCGTGAACACACACGGTTCCTATCACTGTCACTGTAACACCACGGGGTTCGTTCTGGCGCCAGATCAGAGGACTTGTGAAGGTGAGCTATTTATTTTCTTGCTTTTCATTATCCAAATCTAACCTCATGATCATCAAATGGTGGGCTATTTAAATCGCCCTGCGTTCGTGGTCCATGATCCGTCCGTTCGTCCGTTCACACTTCTTGTCATCGCTATTTCTTGAGAAATACCCTATGGATAGTCCTCAAATTTCAAATCTAGGTTTTCCTTGGTTCCCATAAGCGCTCGCGTGAATTTGGGACTAATCTGAAAAGCAAAATGACTGACAGGCGGCCATCTTGTATTCTGCATATGAAAGTTTATTATCCATATATCTTGAGAAGTGCTGCGTAATGCTTTCTCAAATTTCATATATAGGGCTCCCTGGTCTAGTTGTGCCCGTTTGATTTTGGAACTGACTAGAGAAACGACAGGCGGCCATCTTTGATTATGCAATTAAATATCATTTTAACCATTTCTTAAGACGAATTTTAGAATTTCATATGATTAAGACAGACAAAGAGAAAAGAATTGTAAATATCTCACTTTTAAGGAACATATAAGAGACCAAACAGTGGTGGGCACCAATATTCTTCTTTGGTTTCTTGTTTATAACCCTATACAATCATATATATTTATCTGATGTTCGACCCTTCTATTTAAATAAAAGTAGATTGATTTGTGCTGAAATGACGTTGATCATTTAAATATTTTTCTATGTTTTTAAAAATTTGTTTGTAAACAAGAAGGGCGGACATTCTCAGTAAACAAAGTAATTTTTGTGAGTTGATGTGTTTCAGACTTAGACGAGTGTTTATCCAACACCACTCATGAATGTGACCAAATATGTGTCAACCGTCAGCAGGGGTACGACTGTCTCTGTAACCAGGGTTACGTAAAGGAAGGTCTGTATGGATGTCGGGGTAAGTATGGACAGGGTTAAGTAAAGGAAGGTCTGTATGGATGTCGGGGTAAATATGGACAGGGTTACATAAGGGAAGGTCTGTATGGATATCGGGGTAAGTATGGAGAGTGTTACGTAAAGGAAGGTCTGTATGGATGTCGGAGAAAGTATGGACAGGGTTACATAAAGGAAGGTCTGTATGGATGTCGGAGTAAGTATGGACAGGATTAGGTAAAGGAAGGTCTGTATGGATGTCGGGGTAAGTATGGACAGGGTTACGTAAGTATGGACAGGGTTACGTAAAGGAAGGTCTGTATGGATGTCGGGGTAAGTATGGACAGGTTACGTAAAGGAAGGTCTGTATGGATGTCGGGGTAAGTATGGACAGGGTTACGTAAAGGAAGGTCTGTATGGATGTCGGGGTAAGTATGGACAGGGTTAGGTAAAGGAAGGTCTGTATGGATGTCAGGGTAAGTATGGACAGGGTAAGGTAAAGGAAAGTCTGTATGGATGCCGGGGTAAGTATGGACAGGGTTACGTAAAGGAAGGTCTGTATGGATGTCGGGGTAAGTATGGACAGGGTTACGTAAAGGAAGGTCTGTATGGATGTCGGGGTAAGTATGGACAGGGTTACGTAAAGGATGGTTTGTATGGATGTCAGTATGGACAGGGTTACGTAAAGGAAGGTCTGTATGGATGTGGACAGGGTTAGGTAATGGATGTCAGGGTAAGGTCTGTATGGACAGGGTTAGGTAAAGGAAAGTCTGTATGGATGTCAGGGTAAGTATGGACAGGGTTAGGTAAAGGAAGGTCTGTGTGGATGTCGGGGTAAGTATGGACAGGGTTAGCTAAAGGAAGGTCTGTATAGATGTCAGGGTAAGTATGGACAGGGTTACGTAAAGGAAGGTCTGTATGGATGTCGGGGTAAGTATGGACAGGGTTACGTAAAGGAAGGTCTGTATGGATGTCGGGGTAAGTATGGACAGGCTAACGTAAAGGAAGGTCTGTATGGATGTCGGGGTAAGTATGGACAGGGTTACGTAAAGGAAGGTCTGTATGGATGTCAGGGTAAGTATGGACAGGGTTAGGTAAAGGAAGGTCTGTATGGATGTCAGGGTAAGTATGGACAGGGTAAGGTAAAGGAAAGTCTGTATGGATGTCAGGGTAAGTATGGACAGGGTTAGGTAAAGGAAGGTCTGTGTGGATGTCGGGGTAAGTATGGACAGGGTTACATAAAGGAAGGGTAAGGTAAAGGAAAGTCTGTATGGATGCCGGGGTAAGTATGGACAGGGTTAGGTAAAGGAAGGTCTGTATGGATGTCGAGGTAAGTATGGACAGGGTTAGGTAAAGGAAGGTCTGTATGGATGTCGGGGTAAGTATGGACAGGGTTATGTAAAGGAAGGTCTGTATGGATGTCGGGGTAAGTATGGACAGGGTTACGTAAAGGAAGGTCTGTATGGATGTCGGGGTAAGTATGGACAGGGTTAGGTAAAGGAAGGTCTGTATGGATGTCAGGGTAAGTATGGACAGGGTTACGTAAAGGAAGGTCTGTATGGATATCAGGGTAAGTATGGACAGGGTTACGTAAAGGAAGGTCTGTATGGATGCCGGGGTAAGTTTGGACAGGGTTAGGTAAAGGAAGGTCTGCATGGATGTCAGGGTAAGTATGGAGAGTGTTACGTAAAGGAAGGTCTGTATGGATGTCGGGGTAAGTATGGACAGGGTTACGTAAAGGAAGGTCTGTATCAAATTTCAGATTGTTCAAAAGACACAAAAGTGAATAGCACCTTTCAACTTCTTTCAAAATTATTGTAAATATCAAATGCCATTGTTCTGTTTGCTTAATGTTTTCACTTCACTAAAATTCTTTTGTCCATATTTTCCCCTGGTTTTGTTAAATCTGAGTTTTGATAATGATTATGTTGACATGTTGGTATTTTCTTATTGTTATGGATAAACTGTTATTCTATATACGTTAACATTGCTTGCTATTTGTTTTGAACAAATTAAGAGTGATAATATTGATTTGTGTACTATTCCAACGTCTGCCCCTTGAAATAGATGATGGGTATACGTAGAGAAATACATCTTCATTTCATCAAAATTCTATGATACAAATTCAAACATACGGATCAGATAACAGGTTATAGAAATCTTCTTTGGTTGTAAATAGATGAATTTAAGTTAGATATATAGAACAAGTAGAAGCATAGGAATATTTACAGAAGATAATTCAATATAACGAGTTATCACATGTTACATTGATAAACAGCCATTGATGAAAGGGAGGTAATCCCGGCGTTGGTATTGGTGTTATTCATTTATAGTTGAAGATACGAGGGCTGATTGATAAGTTATGAGCCTCATATTTAAGATTTTTTTTTACTTTTGGCAGACATATTGCATTATTTTTCAACATAATCCCCTTCAGTATCTATACACTTTTGCCACCGATGTTTAAGGGCCTCAATGCCACTTTTAAAGTAATTTTCTTGACCGTTCAGTGGGTACCGGAAATTACCTATTTTCTATTTAGGAATTCTAAAGGAGCGAGATAAGGCGAATAAGTTGGATGCTCAATTAATTCAAAGCCACAATCGTTAATGGCAGCCTTAGCAATGACAGACCTGTGAACATGGGCATTGTCCTGGTGGAACAACACGCCTTTACTGAGTTTTTCGCCGCGCTTGAGTTCTCTCTACTGCCTAAGAAGTGATGCATAATATGTCCCATTGATTATTTGTCCCTTTTGCAGATAATCTACCACCAGAATACCATCAGCATCCCTGAAAATAAAGACCATAACCTTTCCAACAGATGGAATAGTCTTTGCCTTTTTAGAGGGGTGAATCAGGGTGCTTCCATAGTTTAAACAGTTGTTTGGCCTATGGGGTGAAATGATGAACCAACATTTCATCCATAGTCACAATCTTCTGTAGAAAATTAGCGGGATGTGCCTCTAAAAGGTTAAGATTATTTCGCGACAAAATCCACATGGCGTTCTTCTGATCTACTGTCAGAACTCTTGATACCCAACGTGCTGAAAGCTTTCTCATAGAGAGATCTTCCGTGAGTATGGAATGTACTCTTTCCTATGAAACCTCAACTGTAATGGCTATATATTTATCTGTAACTCGCCTGTCAGCCATAGCAATAGAATGCATTGACCCATCCGGGGTTGCGACAGCGACATCTCTACCAGGACGGACGTCATCCCCAAGGCTCTGCCTGCGAAGCTTAAATTCAGTCTCTCACATTTTCACTGTAGTATATGAAGGGGCATTATATCAGTATGAATATCCTTAGTTGCTAGACCTTTCTTATGCAGTCATTTAATCACTGATATTTCTTGTCAATTTTGCAAAAGTCACTTGCCTTGTTTACTTGTTACTTTTTCGACATAAACTGACCAAATGACACAAGTCTTTGGGCACACAGTCTTAAAAATCAGGAAATAGTAGAGCTGTAAAAGGACATCCCTGCTTAACTTCTTCAATGCAAGGCTCACTATTTATCAATCAGCTCTCGTATATACTTGTAAGCTGTTGCATAGGTATTGAATCAGTATCCAGTCTTAAATCTAGTATCACTACAGCTTCTGGCACAGATGGCCATTATCTCCTAGCCTTCAACTCAGTGTGAATGCAATACAATCGCAATACAAAAATATTATGACTTACATCGTATGTAATTATCTTGCAATTTACATTCTAGAATCTTATACTGTATTTCAACATGTTTGCGTTAGTGATTGATTGTCTTTGTACAGGATGTGATATTGGTCAGTACCACGATAATGAGACTGACCAATGTGTGGATTGTCCGGAGATGTCCACCACCAATGGCACGGGCAAAGCAGACCGCGCCGACTGTATCTGTATAGAAGGTTATACTGAAGATTCAACGGGCAGTGGCTTTTGCAGAGGTAGGTATCTGTAGACTGTGCTGTACTAAATTACAACCGAAAATGGTCATTGATGAGGTAAGTATCTGTAGACTGTACTGTACTAAATTACAACCGGAAACGGTCATTAATGAGGTAGGTATCTGTAGACTGTACTAAAACAAGACCGGAAGTGGTTATTGTTGATATAGGTTACTGTATAACGTGTTATAATAAAATACGACCGGAAGTGGTTATCGTTGATGTAGGTAACTGTATAACGTATTATACTAAAATACGACCGGAAGTGGTAATTATAGAGGAAAGTTTTCCCTTCAATTCTTAATATAAGCTGGTACAACCGATTATTTGAGAGGTACGTTTCTATATACAATGTAAATGCTATTTTTAAAGAAGATGTAACAGAAAGTGGTTGTTTTGGTATGTGTCTGTACATTGATATATGAAAAATATGTTTTTTCCGTCCTCCATCAGTTTATGGAATAATCTAGACAATACTTCAAAATTGGGCCGTACATTACCATAGTGGTTGACTGTGATTTATCCAGGTGGTGGCGAAGATGCTGATCACTACGTCTTTACTTTCCAAAATTTTCTAATGATGGGCCTGTATTTTTTGTATAATTAGATGTATACTTCAGTATATATATTTGTGTGTCACGTGAAGCTAGTCATGTGTTATTCTGAAGATACAACCGGAAGTGGTTTTGTAGAGATATTAATGTATCTGATAAAAGATTGCACAAGAAACATACTTTGTAATGGTGAATATGAGGCATCTTTCTGTTGGAATACAGCGTCTAAACTTGTATGAAGATATACTCATAGACTTTTATGACTCACATTTTTGTCCGTTCGACTTGTAGGTTGTAAAGAACAAGTATTCGAAGACTAAAATGTCACCCAGTATCCGTTTTTAGCAAATTGAACTTGATCGACTAATTGGCAGTATTTCATTCGTCCCTGGTGTCATCGTTTATAAGAATTTAGGTATCATACAGGGTTACTACAAACCCCAGTAACTGAAATGTCTCCCAGCACAGTCAAACTCCCAGCAGTCTCAGTGTCAACGTTTGATGCAGTCATTATTGTAACACTATCAAAATATTGACGCGTTTCTGATGTCTTCATAAATAGTAGGTAAAGTGCTTGAAAATTAAGTAGTAGAACTGTATCCTACCACTGTGATGAAGCTAGGATCAAAAGTGTGGGAATCCAAACCATACCTAACATATACTGAAACGATACAATGTTACTTCTGTAGTATGGTATCAATAACACTAACTATGTAACCAACACAATAGAAACATACATGTAACAATTATATACAATATAGCACTGAAACATTGAACACTATGTAGGATCTCAGTCGACAGTATTGATTAAAATTAGGTGGTTCTGTGTCTTTGTTGTGCGTGATTTTTCGATCGTTTTGACTCTTTACAGTTTACCTTTACCTTTTCATGGTTTGCAGATATTAACGAATGTGACGAAGATGAGGAAGACAACTTTGGCTGTAACCAGATCTGTGTAAATACAAAAGGATCGGCCTACTGCGCATGTCATAAAGGCTTTAATCTGCACAAAGACAGGAAGAATTGTACAGGTGAAACAGTATATAGCAATATCATAGTGTATGAATGGAATGGTGTCATCAATTTTTTTAATTTCCTGCTTTCTGTTTCTTCTCCTGTTTGACGATACGTTTCTTGTCCTGTTTGACGATACGTTTCTTGTCCTGTTTGACGATACGTTTCTTGTCCTGTTTGACGATACGTTTCTTGTCCTGTTTGGTGATACGTTTCTTGTCCTGTTTGACGATACGTGTCTTGTCCTGTTTGACGATACGTTTCTTGTCCTGTTTGACGATACGTTTCTTGTCCTGTTTGACGATACGTTTCTTGTCCTGTTTGGTGATACGTTTCTTGTCCTGTTTGACGATACGTGTCTTGTCCTGTTTGACGATACGTTTCTTGTCTTGTCCTGTTTGACGATACGTTTCTTCTCCTGTTTGACGATACGTTTCTTGTCCTGTTTGGTGATACGTTTCTTGTCCTGTTTGACGATACGTGTCTTGTCCTGTTTGACGATACGTTTCTTGTCCTGTTTGACGATACGTTTCTTCTCCTGTTTGACGATACGTTTCTTGTCCTGTTTGGTGATACGTTTCTTGTCCTGTTTGTCGATACGTGTCTTGTCTTGTCTGACGATACGTTTCTTGTCCTGTTTGGTGATACGTTTCTTGTCCTGTTTGACGATACGTTTCTTGTCCTGTTTGACGATACGTTTCTTCTCCTGTTTGACGATACGTGTCTTGTCCTGTTTGACGATACGTGTCTTGTCTTGTCTGACGATACGTTTCTTGTCCTGTTTGGTGATAATTTCTTCTCCTGTTTGACGATACGTTTCTTGTCCTGTTTGACGATACGTGTCTTGTCCTGTTTGACGATACGTTTCTTGTCCTGTTTGACGATACGTTTCTTCTCCTGTTTGATGATACGTGTCTTGTCCTGTTTGACGATACGTTTCTTGTCCTGTTTGTCGATACGTGTCTTGTCTTGTCTGACGATATGTTTCTTGTCTTGTTTGGTGATATGTTTCTGGTCCTGTGACACGTGTTTGTATGACGTATTAAGGTGTCTAATTAGACTGATATTACTGGGTGTATGTACAGTATGATGTTATTCAAGTTCTCATTGGACAGATATTGACGAATGCCTGTACAGCAATCACTACTGTGCCGAGATATGCATCAACCTCGAAGGATCTTATAAATGTGCCTGTAGAGATGGATTTAAACTTCACTGGGACAACAAGTACTGTACAGGTATGTATACTTCTCTGTACTATCTAAGTAATTTTTAATTTTTAATTTTAATTGTTATTAGTATTCATTTTTAAATTATATACCAACCTTTTGAATGTGTAATAAATGTTTCATGATCTTTGTTGAAATTAGTTCCAGAATTATAACTATAATATACAAAACTTGTAAACATGATATTGAAAAATTATATATCAATTACATATAAATAAAAGCTATTAATATGTTGTTTTTTATTTCGTTAAACGTATCTAACACTTAATACTGTGATCTCAAGTTTAGCTCCATGTTTGGTGTTTTCAATTCGTCCCGAGACTAACGTATTGTTACAATATATGATATCAGACATTAATGAATGCTATACGGGAGCCCACCAGTGTGAAGACCAGTGTGAGAACACGTGGGGATCCTACATCTGTGGATGTACTCAGCCAGGAACACGACTCACAGCCGACCGTCATACATGTATTGGTGAGTAGACTGCTCAGGTACTATATGTTAGTGACCCAGTGAATTACCATTGGTGGCTTTCACGAGAGGTGTTTTACAATATGTATCACTAGGATCTGAATTTGGAATTAACGATGAGGTCGTTGATGACCTTGTAATGGCACGAACTTCGGTTGTGGCACTGTACAATATTGTCTGCATCTTTGTCAGCGCTCGTACCCACATGTCCAGATGAAATACGCGTTGAGGTCCCAGATGGTGTCCCTCTGGTACAGGTGGCACTCCCGGAAATGGTGTACAGTGGACAGTGGCGCATTGAGCCATCGTGGGTTGCAGAGTCTTCAGGTGTACTCTTCCCAGTAGGCAACAGTAGCATCCGGGTAATCAGCTACAACACGGAGTCGGGAGAGGTTAGCTGCACCTTCTACGTTGTTGTAACAGGTGAGCGGAGTCTCTCTGACATTTCTCATATATATTACTTGTGCTTTATAATTAGAATATAATAACATTACGGAACGAAGGCATTTTGTCGATATATCCCAGATCGAGAATACTAGCAGAAAATAAAACACCCGACATCGGATATCTATCATCATTGTCTGTCTCATGAATATGTATATTAAGTAGAAATCAATGGATATCATACATGGCCAAATAGGATGTAAATGCTTTTGTGACGGCGAAGATTTCGGCATGTATTTCTTCTTGAATATTCTTCTTTATCAGGTAATAATTTCGTTATAAGTAAGGAACACTCTCTTGTTGAATTGTTTGATTCTCTTTTGCATTTCTCTTGTCCATCTTGACTCAATGTTAGTAGTTTACGATTTAGGTAGCTTTTGTATATTTCATAATTTTATGTATATTTCAAATATCAATTCAAAACCTCGCCAATTGTTTCCTATTGCTCTCAAATGTCAGAGATAGAAAACATATTAGTCGTAACATCCCCACCCTCCCCCCAATATTAATCAAAAGTAGTCATGTTATTTTGTTTCCTGTGTAAAAAGTACAATCCGATTACTCTGGTAGTGTGGATAACTAGCCCTTCACCGGAAGTATCATAAAGCTAGTTTTATAGGACTAATTATAAGACAACGCATGTTATTTTAATATTCTTTTTATACACCAAAGTGTCGTGTGCAAGGGGGACCTTCCGTTCATCGGATGACGTGTACGCTGGGTGCATGCAGTGTTCCCCAGGAAGTTTCCAGAACGAACAAAATCAGAGAGGCTGTAAGCATTGCCTACCAGGTACCTATCAGGACCAATTTGGACAACTTCAGTGTAAGTACTGCAGGGTCGGTACGTACCAAGACCGTCTCAAACAAACCCTGTGTGTCCCGTGTCCGCCAGGCACGTACATGGACGAGAGTGGAGGCGTGGCTTGCAAGCCATGTCGCACCGGACAGTACAATCACCTAACCTCCCAGACGTCGTGCAAGTACTGTCCAGTGGGGACCTACCAAGACCAGGTAGGACAAACAGAATGTCAAGAGTGCGATATAGGCTACTACCAGCTGCAGATGGGAAAGGACATGTGCAAACTCTGTCCAGAAGATCTTGTTCCATATATGGCTAATGTCGTCATGGTGAAACAGTGTCAGAGATCGAATGATACCATGGTAACAGAGTTGGAGCCGAGACGGTGACGATACTTTTCATGTAATACAATGTACATCATGTCAGTTTACTGCATTTTTGTGCTGTGTGATGACGTCATAACAATTTTATCAAGAGACACGAGTGAAGTTTTACATAACATTTTACATAAATGTTATTTGACTTTTACCCGACATAACAAAATCGAGAGAGTAAGTCCGGTAGTTTGGTATCAATATTGACATTACTTCCGGTATTATTGCTGTTAATGATGACATTACTTCCAGTATTATTGCTGTTAATGATGAAGTTACTTCCGGTATTATTGCTGTTAATGATGAAATTACTTCCGGTATTGAACCTGTATCGGGCAAAGGCACATGCCAAGGATTCTTAGTATTTTTATTCCTCAGTCGTATCGTAATATTGTCATTTATCATTACTTAGTATATATGAGAATTTTAAGTCAGTGTAGACGCCGGAGATACCTTACTCATCTCTCTACTGACTATATCCACTTGTTTTATATTTGTAATAGTTGTCACATGTTTACCCACTTCCTATTTACCACTGCTGTTGACTTTGTGATATGATATATCGTATTGTTTGTTTGTAAATACACATTGAACAATCCATACATCGCTATGTCTTTGTCAATTTCCTAGTTCATCTATGAGTTATATTTTTCGGTGTTGGGTATTGTCATTGAAAATAGGCCCACAAACAATTGCAATATATTTTAGACTGAAGAATATCTTCATATTAATGCCCTTGCCTTTTTTAAAGGGGGCAGGGCAAGATTACGAAAAAATGGCCAATTGGCCATATACTGTGTTTTAAAAATGCGAAAAAAGTGAAAAATTACACAAGCTGTCAGTCATGAAGTTGTGAAACTGACGGGAAATTTCCAGTAACGTTTCGCCCAATGGCGAGTAGCAACTTGGCGGACAAAGCAACAAAAAGTCTCGTTCGCCATGACGCTTCTCCACTTGTGCAGACCACAATAGTGCAGAGATTGTCCGAAAGGATGAACTAGTTAGTCCCACAATATTCAAGGAAGGGAAGGTTCCTTAAAATTTAGGTAAAATAAAAATTGTCGCCAAACATTTTATCACGTTCATTTTACCACAATGAAATACATCAGTGATAATACTTCGTTCTTTCCAAATGATTTTGCCATAATTCGTATTATTAAAAATGTGGTCAATACAACAATTCTTGCACGCCCAGGAGGGGATCCCAGGACTTGTTCCAGCCGAAAGCGAAAGGCATGGAGCATAGGTACTCCGCACTTTACCCTAACCCTAAGCACTATGACAAAATGTTCGCTTTCCTTGATTTGTTGTACATACTTTTCATTTTTACTCAACATAAATATGATTTTAAACAAATGAAATTGGTCTGAATTAAAATTTCTTTTTCTTCCAAGTATCCAGCGTATAACGCCAACCAATATCATGACGTCACAACATATAAACACAAAACGTCAACGTCACATTAACTTCGCTATCGATCATTAGCAGTAGATCGCCAAATTCTCATTTCTTGAAGTACTGACCAAGTAAAGCAACATTCATTTCTGTGTTTTATCTTTCTATATGTTAAAGCAACATAATGTTACATTGCTTTTATTGGTAATAGAGAAGTTGTTCGTAAGTTCTGACCCCTCTGACCTTGAAACAGGCTCTAGGTCATTAAGCTTGGAAGTCCTTTCCTCAGAAATGTCGTTTGGTGATTTGGTCCATGTTACTTTAAAAGGAGTCGAGCTGTTTGCCAAATATCATTACATATTTTGCGGTTGTGAAGAAATCGGTAAGTTGGCGCAAGGCGGAGGAATAACGGATGCCACAGAATCAGTTCTGGATGTTCCCATTATCTCTAACCAGCCGTTCAACAACCGTATGTTTAAAATAAGAAGAACGTCAACATTTAACTATATCATCATTCTAGAACTCTTTAATGATTCCAAGGACCAAATGTGTGGTAAAGATCAGCGGAAGTGCAACTAACTATGTAATTAATTCATTTTAGATACTGGGTAAGTTTGATCGCTGTGGCTTACATCGGTTAACCTAATGACCTTTAATGTGTTGACAGGCCGTTTAGATTGTAATAGTAATACTACTGGTTAATATCATAGGAATTTGATATGTATATACTAAACCATACATAGGTAACACTTAGAAGTTAAACCCCCTTCACACTACAACAAGACCATGAAGACTGCACTGTGTCCTAAAACATCAATAAATCCAATGTAATGATGTATTATATACTAGATGTTACATAATTTAATATTCTTTTAACCAAATCTTGAAAGTCAACCATCTCAGGTAAAATCAGAACGTATAGAGGGATTTAAGACTGTGTTTTTCTACTTTTTTCTAGTTCAACCAAATGCTAGAAAATGCATGTTTGTATCTATAATAAATTTTGATATCTGATTATTATGATTATCTCGAAACGTGCTAATAATAACGTATAAATTGATATTTTCTGTATGCTGAAATATACTGAATTGAAACACTATACCAATTAGAGGTAATTAGCCTTGCTGTGTTTATATACCACTTTTCTCCACGAGTTCCTTACTAATCTTTCAAGACCAACATTATAGTAGAAATCTCAATTTTCAAATTGATCGCGCTGACTTTCGTGACAATTCTTTCCGTTTACTTTGGATTTTTTAAAAACAAAATGTTTATTGAAGAAAGTAATTTGTAATTCCGTGACATTTAAAGTTCAATAATTTTCCGTTTGACCAATGTCATTTTTATGATTCGCCGTTTTAATTTATTAGTATTATTTTTGTTTCGAAAATGAGATTCCCTTTTCACTGTTCGACAAATTGGCCCTGGTCAGACCGGTCAGTACAAAGACCGCATATATTTTGTAGTGAATGGGACACAGGTAAGTAACAAATGGAAGGTCTGCACGACTCAACGAACAAACACGAAAGCTAATACCAGAAAAAACATCCATTATCCCTCTGTAATATATATGTCCTTGTGCAAAATGCCTTTTTATGATTTTGCATCGGAGACTTAATTGTTTGATCATGTTGTTTGGGATGGAAAGGGTACCGCTTGATTATTCATGGTTTACTTATATAAACAATGTAGCAATAATGAAATTTGGAATTAACCATATGTAACACCCCTTGATAGATCACCACTTTCAGTAATTCGTAAAACGAGAATTATGAAGTACTGGCCGAAATCATTGCAGACGGAGAATGGTATCAAAAAAGCCTCGTTATCTCATCTCATCCAGAGAGAAATTGGCTCAGTAATGTAAAAACATTATTAATGTCTCAAGGTTTTGGATATGTTTGGTTTCACCAGAATGTTTGTTTTAAACGTCAGTTACACTCAACATTAAACGACGACTGATTGATGCTTTGAACAAAAATTCAATAATCATTTTGAAATATCTTCTTAGGCCTTAGGCAAAGCCCAACCAAAGGCCCGTGTTATCATCATTGGAGTGTGTGATGTCATCTTTTTTCTTCGTCACAAAGAAGAAAACGATCCCCAATTTGTGTCTCCTTCCGTCTTCTCTGTAGATCGATATCGCCATCATAGGTTGGTTGCTGGTAGCTTTGAGGTGACCTTTGACCGGCTCCTGTATAGGGGTGATTTTACAAATGTTGAAGGTTGGGATTTTCTGTATCATCTCCTCAACATCAGCATCAAAATTTCTGTCATTCAGATTGGAAATTGGCGATCTATAAATCTCCAATAACATCTATCATTACGTCTAGTCTTAACTGAATACTTGAATCCGTCTTGAACCAAATAGTGTACACCACTACCATTTTGCAGAAAATCTACTCATACTTGTGCATTAGCAACATCAAATAGATAGTGTTTTAACCATGGGGAGCGGAGAATGAAAAAGGCCTGTTGTCGAGGAAACGTACCAAGTACGTGGACCTGTTGACAGTGTTGGGAGCAGGGGTGGCAGACATGGAACCTCCCTGTGGAAGTTGAGTGTAGGGGCTTCCCAGCACAATCAGTGTGGAGAATGTTCAGCGCACTAGGAGTAATTGGCAAGGAGAGGAAAGGAGCAGTACAAAGGTTTGACCAAGCAGCTGACCATGCCTCGAGTTGGTTGTGGATGAAAAGAAAGGAAACTACCCGTAAGCCAACCGTTGGAGCACAGTGATCAACACTGTGGACCCACCATCCAGAGAATGTTCCGAGTTAGAGGTTGAAGCATTCAGGGAAGGCCGGACTCGGCTGACGACTCCAGCGGATCGGCAGTGTTAACTACCATCGACGGCATCTGTATTATGTAAGTTTGTCCAGGACACAGGTAAAGTTTAATGACAACGAGCCACGTGGTACATAGGCCATTTTGGGGTGGTGTTTACAAACGTCTGAAATATGAGCTGTGCACAGAGGATGGCAATATTGTGAGAAAATAATTTCTGTTTTGGTATGTAATATATTTATATAGGTATACGTACAAACGAGTTATTGACACGGAACTGATCAAACAAATTAGTTATAGAAACATGGATATTGTCTAAGAAACAATTGACAAACAAAAGTTTGTACGTAATCACTTCCGTGCACTTTTCCCCCCTGAAAATCTAATCGAATAGCCCTTATATCTATTTTTGTCTCGTCCTACTTCTTTGAATTTCCCGAAAGTATCAGAAAGCAATCTGAACCCAGATATAACCAACTGTTATAATCATGTCTGATAGTACACATCTCTTTAAAAATGAGTGTACATATAAATATCAACGTCAACATAGTATATACATTATACACTTCCTCAATAATGCCTGCATAATTCGTCATTATTGTTTTATTTACTGTAAGTGAATCGGTCAGTATATATTCACACCAATGGATACAAATGTCAGTCGTAAAATGTATACATGCCTAAGACATTTCATGGTATATAGACGAACGAAATATATAGAGTGATAAGCTTATAAATTATCAAAATGGAGATTTTTTTAATATCCGAGGAATTCAAATAAACTCCAGTGATTGTTGATATTCACATACTGTGAACTATGTTTTGGTTATAACTTTGCCGCTATGTGAAAATGTCGTTTAATTGTGTTATTCATTTCATTAGTTTATGTAAAAGTTACCAAATGTACTTGGACCAGAAGACAACATAACTATTAACCTTATATAAAAAGCAGCTCGCTTTGATAACTTATTGATACACGTAACATTGATGCTGTGTTTACCTGTACAGCGACGGGACGAACATTTCTGTGAACTGAAATTATGTGCCATTTTCACCTTAAAAATTAAACAACTAATTTCTAATTCAAGTTCGTCAAAGTTATAACAATGTATTAGAAAGTTACTATACTTGATAGTCAGAGACATACATTTGGAGATTCAAACATAATAATGCTTTATTTCACACTGAAGTTGTCAAAATAATCGTTTTGTTTAAAATGTGATAAGACTGCGAAGAGGATTCATGGATAAGTTTCAGCTAAAAATTTACGCAACTATTTTTCATCTAAAAATACCGCAACGATATCCTCAATAGCTGCATATGCACAGTGCCATATAATGAGAAGACAAACAAATAAATATACATTTCCCTTGTGTTTTAAATCAAAATTGCAACTTTGACCTACATATATAATTGTTTACATTAATCAGGCTTCAATATTACCGTACATACAATGTAAATGTAGTCCTTAATGAGAAGATGTGATTTCGTCAGAAAAAGAGGTAAAATTACGGAAGCGTATTCCGGCCACGTTATCTTTGATTTTATCTCGAAATTTCGAGATATTCCGTATAAAATATTGTTATCAATGTTAGCTGTAAATAAGATATTCATTTCTGAAGCCCGAGCTATAAAATAATGCCTATCAGAACTATCCGTAACTTTTGACCGGCTCCGACTTCTGCCTAAGCAATTACAGTAACTCCATGAAATCATCGCGATGTTTTGCGTATTTCGGTTACCATTCAAACATCGAAGTGACTTTGACACGGTCAGGTGACGTTAGTATCGAACGGGAGCACGACTGACGAAAACATCGGATGATCATATTCGAAATCGGATGATTCATGAATGTTGACTAGTGGCTAAATGTGATATTTATACCATAATTTCAGCACTCAACTATCCAACGAAGGATACATCAACACTGAGATATTCTATTAAGGTAATGGCGATTTTCTATTTGTTGACCCATATTCTGTTTACGATATTGTAACGATTCGTCCTGTTGACACTAGTGAAGATACTAACAGTGATTAACTTGACTAGGAATATAAGTTAAGCAAAGTTTGAAGTAAAAATGACAACTACAAAAATAGTCAACACAAATTGTACATTCTAGTCGTGATATGTCCACAATAGCCGGTCCTAGCAGTGGTTGACCTGTACCTTAACTAGGGCGAAGTGACCTGTCCCATTGACCGATATTTAATTGGTTTATATTTGTAAACAATTGAGTGGCTTTGAAATCTTCAAAACACCATGTAAGATCAGATATATCTGTAACACCTATAAATGTTCAATATTATCATATAATCAGTATATTTTTCCATTAAGATGAATTAAAACATTTTTTTGGTGAAATATCATCATGTATTACAACTCCATGCACTAGAAAATGAAAAATTGTCACAATATATCATTCTTATCAGTTTACATATAAATAAGCTGAGACAATAAGGTATAAATTTCAAGTTTTTGTGTGTCAGTGGTTCCATGGCCACCTTAAGCTTCAAGTCTAATATCTGATTATATTGTACACTGTGGTGTTCATAATGTTTCTTTTTGAATTTATAATGTAATATTGATGAACTGTATCGAACTTTTAAACTTTGTCAGTTCAAGCCAAAAAGCATTGTTTATATACACTGTGGCTATTTCAATAGAGACATTTTAAAAATAAAAGATACATCATTGTCGGTACTACATTTACAATTACTGACTCTTTAGTGACACAGGCTTAAATATACATTAGTGGAGACATTAAAATAGCATAATGAACTCTGCTACATTGCCAACCATGTAGGGACTCGGGAATAACTCTCATTCCAATAACTCGCGGATTCAGGTTTGAGTCCTTGTGGAGGTATTAAAATAACATATCGATAATGACCTCTTGGTCAGTCAGTTTATTTACTTTAAACCTTACGGTTTATCAGTACAGTGCATATATTTACAGTGCAAGTACAAACACAACAAACCTAGAAAATACATAGCACACAGACCACTTACACAGGATCAAAGTGTAGAGAATAAGTCCATATATCCATCTCTACACATATAAATTAACTTAATGTCTTAAACAGTATTTATTCTCCTTTTGTTACTAATACTTATAAATTTTCCTAAATTAGACAGATCTTTAGTATTTTCTGTTTCCAAAAGTTGTATAAATTTTGCCATACTTGCTTTCATATAGTAATACTTTTTAATAAAACGTTTCCTTATATCTTTATAATGTTAGCATTTTAAAATAAAGTGATACTCATCTTCAATATCGCCACTCGTACAAAAGTTGCAAACTCTATCAACTCTTTTAACGTTATTGTATCTACCGGTTTCAATATACAATTTGTGCAATGATAATCTAATTTTTGCAATTTCTTTGATATTTTGTAAACCAATAGATTTTGTTTTTGAACGAAGAGATTTTGTTAAATACTGTTTTAAGACAAAATTTTTCACTAATAAATTTATACAATGAACACTTTGAAGACAACTCAATCAAACACATACATTCTTGCTGAAGAACATCACACATCCTACATCTAATTACATTCAGAATAAAAGCTTCATTACTAAAATAATTACTGTCCCACAAATATCCTAAACCCATTTTAGATAACTCGTCCTTTACACTATTTGTTCATTCACTCCCCCTATCAAGCATTTCTTTAAAACAAGACTGAAGAATACAATTTTCTGAATTTCTTAGTTTAATCCAATATTTAAAAATTCTAAATTTTCAAATTATACTTAAAGGTAACCTGCCCAATTCTTGATATATCATTACATTTGGTGTACTTTTCTTAACCCCTAAGATTCTCTTACAAAAATTTACATGTAACTTTTCTATATCTGATGCCTTATGGAAACCCCAAACTTCAGATCCATAGTTCAGTATGCTACAAATGAAAGTGTCAAAAACGCTAAGTTGAATTTCAATATTGAAATAATTTTTCTTACAAATGTTTGTTATACCAAATAATGCCTTCCTTCCTTGCTCAGCTATTTTCTGTTGCGTCAAATTGAATTTACCATAAAATTCCATCATTATTCCAAGATAATTAAAACTATCAACATTTTCTTACAAACTACCATTATAAAACCATTTATCTGTCTCCTTCAACTTACCACCATTTCTGAAAACCATCACTTTAGTTTTGTCAACATTTACAGTTAAATTCCATGTATTAGGATATTGTAATAATGAATCCAACATTTTTTGCAATCCTTCTGCCGATGGTAAGTAGTGATCTACACCATCATGAATGACGGACTTCCATACATATTGAAAACATTGGGAAATTTTCCTAAATTAGGATAAATTTTCACTAAAACAGAGCTAATTAGTATATTTTACTGAACATCTTTTCAAATTTTTTTTTTTTTAACTCATATTTCATTCATTTTTTTCAAAGGACATGGGCAAACAGGGCTCTCACACCCCATTTTCGCACTGGGGCCCGGGGCCGTTAGAATTGGAAAAAATAATGGTGTTTTCCTTAGAATTGGGAAAACTTGGGGTCTAAATTGGGGAAAAAAGATACTATTTTGCATTGGGAATGGGGCCGAATATCGGCCCCATATCTGTCAGATCGAGAGCCCTGGCACATGACAGTAATATATAATGTACACAACCAGATGATCATACATGTTTTAATGAAATTAAAGTAAAGTGAATATTCCCTAATGTCATGTGTCATGTTTAGCTTTTCAAATATTGACATCATGAAAAGAAATATAAATCTAATCTCAACATTGTCATATTTTATTCATGTATTTTAATGTATTGTGATATATTTGTTATCCCTCTTTTGCATTCTGACCAAGAGGCTTTCCAAAATTTCTCCATTTCTCCAAATAGGAATTTTCCAAAAAGAGTAGTATTCCCCATATTCTGGATTAACCCAGGGGAATTAACATTTGAGTTTTGTATTTAGCAAATGTTTTACAATGTATAAAGATATGTGAACTATTGAAAAAAAACGTTCATGTTGTTGCTATGGTATACCTATCAGAAAGACGGCATACTGCGTTTTTTCTTATTTTTGTGGCTGCAAACTTTGGAATTGATAAAAATGTACCTGTATTTTGATGAAGAAAAACTGTAAAAATAATGATAAATTTTCTATTTGCTTGAGGTTATCAACGGACAATTGCAAATTAACTTACCACTCAGCCAGTAATTTGCACATATAATGAAACCATCATTTATTTCTCATCTGTTTCAGACTTCAAACACATAAAAAGGTTGAGAGTTGGAAAGAAAAATATTGTCGGCTGCCTTACAAAATTTATATAGAAACATATCTCCTCACTTATTGAGTTGGAACTACACTGAAGGTCCTGGTAATTGGTACACCAAATACGAGTATTGACTATGAGTCAGCTGAGTAAAGTGGATTCTGCTTTCCGTAGTGTTATTGTCCTAAAGTTCTTTAAAAATGGATGGGGAACACCAGAGAATCTCAAAAAGTAAGTTTTAAAAACATACATGTATACAAATTACAAATAGAAGTAGAGTGTTCATCTGTCATTTGTTACCAGTATGTAGGTACACTTCATAGGTACACTTTAAATGTTTCAGAGTGGATGCATAATATGTTCTTTGAGATTGAGATACTATTGACCTGAGATTGAACATGTTGATGCAACATGCACTGAGTGTATGACCAAGTGGTCTCCCATCCAGGTGCTGACCACACTCAACATCATGCCTAATTTGGCTACATAGACCCGCCACACAACGGTACTGGCACAAAAAAGGACTATTGGACTATACCACTGAAATGCCCATATCCATAAACAGTCACTTTTGTGATGATGAAAAAAAATTGAATACAATGACCATAGTGTATTTCTTTTCATTGGAAATGATAACAGTCATGCAAACATACTTCGTCCTCACGAATATGTGTTAATTTGTAGTAGTGTAGACGTTTGCTGAATTGATAGCAAATGTAGATGAATAAAAAAATTCTGTATCCCCTATTAATGTTGTATGTTTATGATATAAAAATTGACATATGAATTGTGCATTTTCAGGATATTTGATTTTCGCAAGAAAATTTCAAACAGAGAAACTTGTAAATACATGGTGAACATGTCGCTGGACCAGGTCACCATTGACAAGGTAGGTGTGCACAGTCTATTAAAAGGCTCAGAATAAAAAATGTATATTTCCTACCATGTGATGATGCAAAAGTTTAAGATAATGTTTGTATATTTTTAAAGAATTTTCACTAAAGATGGAAGCATTCTAATGACTTATAGTGTTCATTAACTTAATTCAGTTAATATTTTGCATGTCTAAGTTGTAACATGATGGTATCAGCATTTATAAGGAAAGGGTGGTGAAGTAGAGAATGCTTAATTCATTCAAGATGATGATCTTTTCTAAAAAGGAAATATATTTTAAAGGAGGAAGAGAAAAAAAGCTGGAAAACCATTGAAGGCCACTTTACCTCTCCATTTCAAAGGCACTTGCCTGGAGTTATGCCTGAAGAAGTCCAAACAGCCAGGTGAGTGTGTGAATGTTTTGCCTAGGTTTTAATCTACATAGGTAAGGGTTGATGTTGTTGTAGACAGATAACCAATGTAAAGCATGATGGCCATATTTTGCTACATAACCCCAACAATAAACTGTCAGGTAAGCATTCAGACATATGAGCCTCTTGGGATTTAATGACCAATTGGTGTTTTTTCTATATACATATATAACATTTATGAATTAAGTGTTTGGTATGTCAATTTGAACCAAACCTCTAAATTAAAACCATATTTTTAAAATTTTTACTTTTTTCCCCCAGATTCAAAATGATTCTCCCTAAGAAATGGCAAACAGGACAATACAAGCCTGTATGTTTACACCTTGCTGGTACAGGTGATCATGTAAGTATGGGTATACCTGGACAATACAGGTGATCATGTAAGTTTGCTCAGGTCTCAGTTCAGTTCTAATCTATTTATTTCTATATCCAATAGTAAATGATTTTTACATGTGATAAAAATTCATTTGTAACAAGTTGGTGGAGAATGTGTTTCCAATACAGTTGAACCGCTTATTCATCACATGATATTACACACAACATTGAATTAACAATATTTTGATTCCCCACTATTTTATAGAATGTTTGTGATATCCATATCCGTCTGTCAAGGTGAGAGTCTCATTCTGTTCTGAATCAATGTCGTATGTTGAGAATCAGATTTGGCTTATCTTTACCCTACATTATCATATCTATAGCAGTAACACTTTCTTGTCTGGTAGACATTTTCTGGTTTTCATTGGTAACAGAATTAAAGTGTACAAAAGTACATGTACAGATAAAGGTGATCAGGCATAGGTATCTGATACTGATCATGTTTTTTTTTCACTTTAGGGCTTCAGAACCAGAGAAGACAAGATGGCAATGCCACTGCTACAGAAAGGGATTGCCTCCATCCTGTTGGAAAACCCTTTTTGTATCCTTTTTTGACTGTCCTTGTAATGTTGTTTTGCCTCTTTTCTGACTTGTTGATAGCACTATTATTCATCCTCTTTGTGGATAAGACATTTGGTTCACAGAGTTAAGTATCTTCGGTATATATGTGTAACTTTTGACTTGATCTGTTTTGACAAAGAAGTGATCCTGGGTTTACAGTTCTAGTATCTGTTCCTTGTCTTGTCAACGTTCAGTACATGATTCCTTAACAAGCTGACAGATGGTACAAGGAAACCAAAGAAACAAACGTAAGTTAATCTGGTGATTAGACCATCAAGTTTCTGATAGAGCTTCGTTCTTGACAAATTTTAAATTATAGCATTATCTTACAAGTACAGAAAAACTTGTGGATAGCGACAGCTTAGGGGAGCAATAATTATCTGTCTATTTAGACAGGTGATCATTGTATACAGGTACATTATATCAGAGTTTCTTTACTGTGTTACCTGTGTATAAGGACAAATCAGGGGAGCAATGATCATTTGTCTCTTTTGACAGCTGGTTATTGTATCCAGGTACAATTTACTAGGGAGTAGTTAATTTATAATGTTACATGTCAATTTGTGGAAAAGTCAACTCATTACTTTTCTTGTCTGACCATTTAGAGGTGTCAAGACACAGGAAATGGAAAGACAAATGGAAACAACATATTTGATGAAGTAATTTCATGAAGATTATTCATATAAAAATGATCAACAAATAATTACTATGTAAGTAGGTCTTAAGTCTGTAGAATAAATAAATAAATAACATATTTTTGTCTATGAAACTACACGTATTTAGTTTACTAGTACTCTTTGTGTTATGTCAGTTGTCCATTACTACAGCAGAGAATTCCCTCCAGAGAACTCCGTTCAGAGAATTCCCACAGATTTCCCTCCAGGGAATTCCCTCCAAGACAGAAGCTGTTCCATCTGTTGATTTTTTTAGAGGAAAAAAAAAGATTAGTTATACACCATGCCTTATGATGTTTGGTTTGTTACAGCCGATCGTTCCTGTTACATGTCAATGATCTATTCGTGATGGGTGCTGGCCTCACCCTTGAGTCTCTTGTTCTCCTCCACTGGTGTGAGAGTAGAGGGTATGGACCTCTAGGTATCACAGGGATCTCCATGGGAGGACATGTAGGTAGAACACTGTGTATTTGTAACCACTGTTGAGGAAGCAGCCATAAGTTAAATCCATTTGTAGTATTAGTAACCAGAGAAAGTTACCACTAAACATTGGGATCAAATCAAATCAATTTGTCATTTTAACAGTCATATTACTGGAACACATATTTAACATATAAGTTTTCATAAGGTTGAAAGCCCCAATATATATATCATTTGGCAAATTCTCAAGGTTCAAAACTTTTTTTTACTTTCACATAGTAATTATGTACAGATGGGATTAAAACATACTTCAGCTGAGTAGTATCTATTAAGAAACACTTAGTGGGAATAGCAAAACAAAAAAAGATGAATAAAAGTGGGTCCCACAAAAATACAAACCGATGTTATGTAAATATCTAAAGGCTGCCTGAAAATCATGTGATTAAGCTGCATGCTTTTCGTAACGCCATGTCACAGGTAGAATGCAGGCGCATAGTCATTCAAGGGCTGCTTCATAGTCTGAATACGACATATATGATTTTAGTAAACATGACCTCTCACAGAAATGTCTAAATGAAATTTTGACTTTGGTTCAGGAACCTTTTTAAATGGAGGCATGTTTACAAAAAATGTGTTTCAAAAGCTTTGATATTGATAAAAACAAGAAATGCCATCTGGTGTTTTTATCAGATAATATAATTTGTATTGTATCAAAATAAATAGATAATTAAAATTCTTTTGGTGAATATTTATATATATTTGGGATTTTAATATACATGTATATGAATTGACCTGCTGTAAATACATTTATAGTAGTGGAATTGATCGGTTAATTTATCAGTGATCTCATCACTGTGTAATGTACTCTCACTGGTAATTTTACTGATGAAGTTTAAAATTGTCCTATATATCCAATTATTACAAGAAAATTGCTCTACAGATGATAATCAAGATCAGCAGTTTCCCTCTACAATCTCTTCATACAGTTGAAGTGTTTATCACACTGCATGATGTGTTTAATCTTTCTACAGATGGCATGTTTAGCGGCCACTAACTGGCACAAGCCGTTAGTGTTGGTCCCTTGTTTGTCCTGGACTACAGCTTCTTCAGTCTACACCAGGGTAACTATTATCTTATATAGAATTAAAGCTTAAGGTGAGATTAAAGTTTTCAGAATGCTTCTGAGATATCCCTTGAGACAATAAAGCCATCATATCTGAGGAAGTGCAGACATTTTATTTGCCTGCGTTATGCCCCTTTGTTGGGAAACCGAAATCTCATATTCAACGCAAACTGTCAGGACTTTGAGTCTGATATCAGTGAAGCTTTACATGAGTTATAACTAACCCCTGACATTTTGCATAATTTTTACCAGTTGTAGTCATGGTTACAAAAACTGTGATGTCTGATTTTTTTTTCTTGACCAATGAAATCTACAAGATTCTACCAGTCATATGTAATGTATGAGTGCTTAATTGTTGAGGGAAGTAGTTATCTTTGAGAAGACAATTCTAGTTATCTATGTATAATGTTGTAATATTAATATTAATACAAACAGGGAGTTCTGAGGAATGGTATCAGTTGGAAGAAGCTTGAATCCCAGTACAAAGATGAATCAGAGTATAAAGAAATGGTTGACCTCCTTTGTACTCCAGACAAGGTAGGATATTTTTTATAATGCTCCCTGGAAATTTTTTGAGGGAGCATATAGTCGCAACCTTTTCCATTTGTCTATCCATCCTTTTGTGACTGGAGCACAGTGAAGCAAGGATTATGAAACTTATAGTTTACATTGATCATACCAATGAGATGTGCAATGTACCAAATTCAAGGCCCTGGATCCATTACAGTTACAGCCCTTTGTTAAAATTTCATGTCTGGAGCATAACTTTGCTTGCATTTATACTAGGTGAATGAAACTTGGAGGATACATTGATCATACTTAGACAATGTGCAGTGTATCAATTTCAGGGCCCTTGACCCCTCAGAGTTCTTGCCTTTTGCCAAAAAATTCTTGTCTGGAGATGTGCAGTGTACTAATGTTATCTGTTTAAATGTCACAGGACATATTAAAAGGCTGCTGATATTTTTATGTCAAATGACCTAGAGTCACTTCCAAGGTCACATGACACAGCATTTTTTCAACCTTTACTATGGTCGTTGTTGTGGGACAGATCTTGCTTTAGTGATGTGCTATGTATTCAGAAAATATGCAAATAACTATGGACTACTTTTCAGATCACATGGTCATCACATAATGTCTGGTCTTTATAATTTGAGAAGATATTTGTAGCGCAGCAAAGAAATTCCTGAAATCATGATATTTTTCATTTGTAGTGGGATGCATCAGCTTACTCAGAAGGTCGCAGAGCTGTGTTTGATTTAGAGAATCCTGAGGATCTTAAACGGGGTTACGAATTGGCAGCAAATTATGTGTTAAATAATCACTCTGCACAAGGACAAGAAAGTAAACCGTTGAGTATAGAGGACCAGACAGTTAATGGTGAAGATCTAAGTATCTGGAAGAGAAAAATTCTACCTGCTGTGTCCTCCATCAAAACTCCTGATATCAACCTGGAGCCATTTTACCAAGTCATAAATGAAAAATGGATGGAAATTGGCAAAAGAGACGAAGCATCACTTGCCTTTATGATTGGTGTCATGGACGAGTGCACACATCTTGGACATTATACAACACCGGTGGACCAGAACCTTATTATAATAGTGACAGCAAAACATGATGGTTACATTCCCCGTGATGAAGTGTTAGGCTTGGATAAGATCTGGCCTGGTGCTGAGGTTCGCTATGTAAACGGTGGGCATGTTGAGGCCTATGTTCGCCACAAACCAGTATTCATGTAAGTGAATGGAATGGTCTTTCTATGGTGTCAGATTTTTGTACCAACCTATGAAATTCCCATGATTGATTGTGGTCATTTGTTGATAAAAAGTACTGGTCTGTTTGAAATTTCTGAAAGCAAAAAGAGAAAATGCAGATCGTATATTTTGTATTGATACAACTACTTACCAATGTGCTCAATTGAGTGCAAAACCTTTTTGAATCCTAGTTTTTGGTCACTTGAGAGTGAGGCTCAGTGAACATTTCTGATCCATCTTCGTCCATTGTCATACATTGTCTGCTGCCTATCGTCTGTAGTCATTAACATTTTCACTTTTTGGACTTCTTGAAAACTTCTCCAGTGATTTCAATAAAATTTTATGAAAAAGTTTCATGGTAAATGACAAACAAAGTTATAAGATATTTTGATTCTAACCCCACCCCTACATTGGCCTAATATTTGATAAATCTTGTTTCCTAGACAGAGATACAGTAGAATAATAAATTCAATGGATGAAAAGATCCTAAGGTACCTTGTCCAAATTGTAAATTTTATAACCCTCCTGTTCCCAAATTTCCCTCCCTGAAGAGAAAAAAATATCACCATCATTTGTTTATTTGTAGGAAAGTAACACATTTGGATATATTTGGTTTATTTTCAGTAATGGTAATCCAATCAGTGTTTATTAGTTAGAATTATTGTACATGTAACTAGATAACAGTTTGATAGTATGAAAAAGGAAAATGCAGATCTGATCCCTTGGGGAAATTTGCTTATATTTAAAAATCTACTTCTCCAGAACAAGGTACTGCAGAATCAAAAACTCTTCTCAATGGTTTGAAAGGCTCCTAGGTGCTTTGCTGAAATTGTAACCCCTGATTCCCTAATTCGCCTCGAGGGAGGGGATGAAGTTCACCGTAGTTTAAGTAGAAAATTAACATTTTTGGATATACTTGTGCTGTGATTAATTTCAGTAAGAAATAAATCTTACTTAATTGGTATTGTTATCAAATAGCTGTTCGGTGGTATGAGAATTCAGATACTGACTCCCTACCCCAGTTCATAGGGCCTGAAGTGGGTGGCTCAGATTTGTTTAAAAAATGAGCTTGTTAGTAATTTTGCTATGTATTAGCATCATTTATAAACATTGGAATTAAAAATTGTTCTATGTTAACATTGTAATCCCCACAAGGTCATAACAGTAAAAATAGCTATGATTATGTTAAGGCTGCGGTGACCATTCAGACCCGTGGCATCTTGTTTTTTACCCAAATTTCTTCCTTACTGCCTGCTGCAATAGATAGCTCACAAGGTGAAAAATGAAAAAAAAAAAAAAAGAACAAAAAACAAAAAAAAGAAAGAAAAAAAAATTGATAGCCTGCATGGATATATTGCCTGCAGAATGAGAAAAAAAAATTCTTGATGTTATGATATATGATAAATTGATAAGTTAATTACCAGGTTTCATAGTGTTCATTTGTATAGAGTAATCATTATGCGATCGTTTCCCAGTAAAGTAGACTGTTAAATGTAGATTGTGAGTTCTAATGACACGTGTCACGTTCTGTGTTGAAGTATATAAGTGATTGATGACACCACACACAAGAGTATCATCTATGAAATACTTAGTGAAAATGTTGGTGCTTTTACTGTGAAAACAAACTTCTGTTGTCATGTCTCAGACAGAGTCAGATAATCAGAATGCTTAAAATATTGAAATTGTACACACTTTGTAAAGTTTCTAATTCAGAGTTCTCTACCTTTCAGACAAGCAATCACAGATGCCTTTGAGAGAAGTAAGGAGAAATATCACAGTTGATGATTTGGTCCGTGTCCGCAGGTGACAGCAAGAGACTGTTATCAGCCAGCTGGGAATGGATGGGGTCAGGACTTTGTACATTAAACTATAAGTGCATTTGATACCTTGCCAGTATAATTGATAGTACTGAAATCATCAATTTTATATTTATTTTAAAAAAACAAGTGTTTTTTAATGGTTTTGTAGATGGCGAATGCCATGAAAACTTTGATGCTTTTGGAATTTTTTTATAATGGATTTTTTATGATTAAGTTGTTGACTACCCCTAGTTGTTGAATGTCTATGTACATAATGTTGAATTATGATGTAAAATATTTTCTGTTGTAATTATGCAAAAAATGTAGATTAACAAAGCCTGTAAAAGACAAAACCTGTTTTTGGATCACTGAAACAGAAAACATCTTCCTTGAACTCTTATATGAAATGACTGGTTTTATATAAATCACTTCTTGCATTTATCATCATCTCCATATAACCTTGTAAAGAAATGCAAGACTTTTGAAAAATATCCACACATTCATCCAGATTTCTACATGTTTCTGTAGATATCTCCTTGACTTGTAGATGGCACTGCTGTTCTCTGTATGTATACTGAACTATTTCATTACGAAACACAATACAAATGTTGATGATGTTATTTCTGACAAAACCAGTACTGTTTGTTTTACTTTCTCAGGGAATCTGACAGCTATTTTTAATGTATTGCAATCAGTTTTTGTGATAAACAGGTTGCAGGTTAAGCAAATATCTAAGTTGTGTAGATGATGATGTGAAAATATTGTTGAACTGTCCAGACTGGATTTAGGTTTATCATGTTCCAATGATATTACTACACCTCACTACTGAGATCAGGGAGAGCACATACATGTGTTAGCCTTGTCTGTTTTATCATGTAACTAATGTATCATTCTAAAAACAGTGTTTTTTGGAATTATATGGAAAAAAAAAAAGATGAATATAAAGGTAAGCTCTGGGTTCCAAGGTCACCATTCAGAGAAATTGTCAACTAATGCTGTGGCATCGCTCATTGACAAGTGACTTAATTTCCAAAGGAATTTTAGTCAAACTATAAGCACAGGTCATGTATCAAAATACCTGTCATATGTTAATGTTTGAGGGTTCCAAGGTCGAGGTTAACATCATTTCATTTTTGTCAAACCATTCTATAAATTTACTTTAAAGGAGTGGAGCATTCATGTCTGATGGATATTTTCTGGTTTTGTAAACTGTTTTTTTCTTAATGGTGATCAATTTTAGTGTGTCATTCTGAGATTGCCTCTACAGTTTAGAATAACTGTCCACTGGCAATGTAACACTTCTACAGTGTATTACAGGTATAAGTATCACTGAAGTATTGCTGTATTAAAATAGGTAATGTGTGTTAAGTGTATAAATGTATCTGTATTGATATTATAGAGTATGTATGTGTGTTTAGTCTATAAATGTTGCTTTAGTACACTGATAGTATATATGCTGAGTCTAGTCCAGAGTATTAAACTGTAAAGCATTGCAGAGTTTTACGTGTTAGTCAGGATTATTGCTGCAGAATCTGCACTGTTTGAATATTAGATATGAGAACTCTACACTAAGATATACCTCAGACATTGAATTATTTAACACCCAAAATTTGACCTGATGTGTTTCAATATACCTCACGTGTAACCCAGACACAACCCAGGCATTATTTTGATTAATTCTTTTTAATGTGATTATTTCATCTTGCCTGCTTTATAAACCAGGTCAGGAGACGCGTTGTCCACTACTGATGTCCACTAGTGTGGATTTCCTCATGCTGACTGCTGTGTGTTGAGTGTTGAATTAGTGCTAATATTATACTTATGTAACATGAAAAGTAAACATAGATAATACTTGATGCTTGTACTCTTAATGAACTCACATCTAAAGTCAAGGTTCCCTTTTGAGTGATAACTAAATATCATGTTCTTTCAGGTATTTTTACATTGAAATGTAACTATCATTGATAAGTATTCATTATCACAAGATACCTGATTTTTTTCCCATTTGTATCATAATCCAAACGACAGTGTACAGTTGGCACCAGGTTATAATCAGGAAGATATAGGAATGATGAAAGTGTTGCCAAACAACATTACTGTATCATGTTGATGTTTCTGTGTAATCACTAATCAGTTCCATATTGTAAATTAATTCATGGAGTTGTTGGTCACCTAGTTACCTGTACGGGTTTTATCATCTTCAACCTCAGCTGTCACGACTTCTAGTTTGGTTATGGGTGAATTGGTTTTTAGATTTACTACAATCAGGTTAGTGTGTTGTAACTATTGTTGTTATTTATTCATTAATACAGGTGATATTCATTTTGTATTCTATTTTAACTATTCTGACTGCAGTCTTGTCCATTTTCTTTTTCTCTAACAGACATTGGAATTCTCCACCCCACACCTTTGTTTTTGTTTTTGTTTTTTTCCCCTCAGTTGCTTACAGTAGCCCATCAACTACTCAAACAGATACTGATCCAACTATTGTTTTATGCAAGAGAAACTGTCATACACAAATAAATCCAACAGGAACCACTCCGACCTTATATAGACAGGTTATCATACACAAAATGGTCGAACAGGAAATGGCCCAACTTTTAGTTAGAGAAGCTTTCAAACATAAGTCACTTTTACATAGAGGTCTGTTATACATGAATTAGTCAAACAGGAAATGGTAATACATAAAACATATGTCAAACAGGAAGTGACCTCACTCTTACAAAAAGGGGATGTCATACACAAATTATTCAATAGAATGTGGTCCTGCTCTGATAAAGAGAAACAGCTGTACATGAATTAGTCAAACAGCAATTGGTCCTCTTATATTGAGAAACTATTGAGAAACTGTCATACATGTTTGTTTTTACCAGTATTTTGTAGTCATTTACTGGTATAATTTCATTGTGTTCAAGTCTACATTTAAAAATCAAAGTTAGATAAAGTATTTGAATGAAATGGCTGTGGGTAGCTACAAGTAGAGATATGTTTGCAGCAGGGAGATTACCCATAATACACATTTTGTGTATAATCATGAAGTTTTCTGTATTTATTTTTACAAATCAATGTTTTGAATAAGCATGCTACATATCATATAATAAGTGCCAAAATATAAGCTAAACATGTGGATTTGCTGTATTGTACTAGTATTTTGTAGTTGGAGTTAAAAGTACAGTACAGAAATCTCCACTTAATGTTTAGTCATAGTGAAGTGTATGGCGATGCTTTATTGTGTATAAAGGTATCAGTAATCTTCATAAATAATTGGACCTCTTATTGATTGATTTCCAGTATTTATTATAGGAACTATTTCTTGGTATTAGATGTGTTGACTACCTGTAAAGCAAGATCTCTTAATGTAGACATTAAAATTGACAGTATGTCTGTAAATAAGACAAGAGAAATGCATCTCATTTTTCAACAACATCCTGTAAGTAATTACAAAATTTCACAAACCTCTGGTAAAGGCGTCTCTGTAAAAATTGTGGTTCATTAGATAAGATAACACAGAGAAAATCTTATTTCTGAGAAATTTAGAAAAAGTTTGTTATATTGGTATGAATTGGTGCATCTTAACAAGACTTAGCTAGCTTGTTAATATTGTGTATGTTTATACAGTAACAATGAAGTCTTCCAACTGATCCTAATAGTGCTGTAACAGAGATGTTCTCAACAAGGACAGGACCATCATAGATAGCTGATATTGCAGTTATGAATGGTACTCTTTAAACCAACTGGACTTCATTGTGAAAATTTAAGTTTTGGCACTTGTATGTGTATTGGTTGTTTCTAAAGATAATCAACACATTGTTCATATTATTTGTACACAAACCGTGTGTATAGAAATCTTTACTTGTATTCATGTATAAAATTGATTAAATGTACCTATATATACAAATGATTATATGTACACATGTATACAAATGTTCACACCTACATGGGTATTTAAATGTTAACTGGTACACATGTATACAATGTTTACTGGTACATATATATACAATGTTCATTTGTACGCATGTATATAAATGTTTACTGGTACACATGTATACACTATTTATTGATACACATGTATGCAATGTTTACAGGTAAACATGTATACACTGTTTACAAATACATATGTATACAATGTTTACTGGTACTCATGTATACAATGTTTACTGGTACACATGTATACAATGTTTATTTGTACCCATGTATACAATGTTTACTGGTACACATGTATACAATGTTTACTGGTACAAATGTATACAAATGTTTACTTGTACACATTTACACAAAGATTTATTTATACATGTGCATACAAATGTTTACAAGTACATGTGTATACAACTATCACTTTGTACACATGTACATACATTTGTATACAAATGTTTACTTGTACACATGTTTACAGGTATTTACATGTACATGTGTTTACATACTTGGAAATTTGTTATGTTTTGATGATGAGAGATACTATAAAATATGAAGAAAGGAATGTCTTTGTCTTCTGTTGTCTACTAGTATTGTGCTATCAGTCAAACACTTGATGACATTTCAGTTACACAGCACAAGAGAGTATTGGTATGACCTTTAGCTCTTTGAAATATTTTAACATAGATATCTTTTATCAGAAAAACTTGAAACTTTTTACTAGCAAAAGGGAATTAAAAGAATGAGTACCAGGATAATAAGCATGCTGTTGCCCACTGTCTGAACCTACCACTATTTTAGTTTGCAAAACCAACATCAATCAACAAACAACTCTAGGTTGAAATATATGCACTAGTTAATAGATATCTCTTTGATATTGGTAATATGTTTATGCTCCCAGAAAATTTTCAAGGAAGCACATAGTCCACTTTGTCTGTCAAACCCTCCTTCCATGTCCTTTTGTGTCTGGAGCATAACTTTGCCCGCAGAAAGCATGATGAAACTTTGTGTATACACTTATAATTCTAAGGCAAGTTATTGCCCTTTGTTATTTTTTGTCTGGAACATTACTTTGCTTGTATTCAAAGTAGGATATTGAAACTGTCTTGATACATTGATCATACTAAGGCCATGTGCAGTGTACAAAATACAGAAACTGCAACTCCATATTTACAGAGTTATTGCCCTTTGTTAAACATTTTTTGTCTAGAGTATGACTTAATAACTTTTGTTAAGCAACGACAATGAGAGTTGGTGTATACATTGGTCTTGCTAAGAGGATGTGCAGTGTATCAAATTTAGGGCCTGCAGTCCTGTAAATACAGAATCAGCCATCTTTATTGAAATTTCATGTCCATAGCATAACATTCCCTTCATTTAAACTAGAAAAGCGAAACTTGGTGGTTGCATTGATCATACTGGGAGAGTGGGCAGTACAATAAATTCAGGGCCTGTATCTCCAGAATTATTGCCTTTTGTTGAAATTCTGTGTTCATTAACGTCCTTTTGGGAGAGCATTCATCAGTTGTGCAGATACCCTGTTTATATAATGGCCAAATACTTCTGTAGTACTGGTTTGTTACATGTATCAAATCTAAATGAAAAGGCTTTTAAAACATAACATAGTAAATGGAGCTGACAGACAGATTTACCATGACTTTAAATTAATTTTAAAGCTAGTTCTTAATATAAGAATTCCAAACATCTGGAACAGAAGGTGAAATACTGACCAGATGTTTAGTCCTCTCTGATTTTGCCATTTAATAGTTACATTAGTTCTTGTTTAAATCTAAACTTTACCTTATTATTTTATCACATCTATACTTGCCTGTAACTACATGACATTAGGTATTTAAAAACTGTTTCAGAATATCAACAAAATAAGTGCCATTTAAAACAAAACAATCTGTAGACATGACCTTTGACCTTGGGACCTTGAAATACATCAAGAACATCTTTGGGCTTTTGTTTCTTTTTTTTATTTTGGCAATATTAGGCTTTATGAAGACATTTTATACAAAAGGTGTATGTTACTTATTATACTTCAGAATTATTATTTTTCTACCTTTGGAAGGTGGATGGGGGAAGTAGCTTATACTAAGGCATGTTGTCCATTGTCTGGCATCATTTTTCCCTGTAAACAGCTTCTGGTCAATATTCAAAAAGTCAGAAAACCTGATAGTGGGCTGGTAGTATGTATGAATGAAGAACTACCAACATCGTACAAATAGATGATCTTAACACACTTTTTTTAAAGTCAAATGGGTCTAATATCTGAATATTTTCTCCGTGACTAAGAGGCCCAGGATACTGATACTTGGCCAGTAGCATGCAGGAATGATGGGCTACCAAGTGTGGTCAATGAATGACCTTGACTTGGTTTCAAGATTACATAGGTCAAATATCTTAAATTCTCAAATCCACTGCTCAATAACCAAAAGGTACTGATATTGGGCCTGTATAAGACTGGGATGATGAGCCACCAACTGTGTTCTAGTGAATGACCTTGACTCACTTTGAATGTCAAATGTCATTGTATTTATTTACTTGCATGCTTTGGGAATGGGGTTCAAGTTTCTTATTTGTAAACTGCAGAATGGATGAGCGATTCAGGCCCATTGCGCCTCGTTTTTTCCGCACGTGAACGTTAAGGATCACGGACTACTGGTTTTAAGACAATAGTGGTCTTTACTGTATTTCTTCCGGTTTTTCCTTTCAAGTTAAACTATTGAAAATATGGTTTGAAAGGACAAGTAACAATTAAGCCTCAATATATGCATCATAAGGCAAATTTACGAGATTCAGAAAAAAATGTGCGAAAACTTTCACATGGTAATTACCTAAAGATTAAAACATAATTATATATTTAGAAACAGTTTGTAGGGACATTGAAACAAATAAAGATTGATAAAAGTGGGTCCCTCTTACGCCACAAACCGAGGTTATGGTAAATATCGATCTCTCGCGGGAATGTCTGAAAGATTTTCCGATTTCGGTTCGGCAAAGATCGTAAATGGAGGCAGCCATGATAGCGTCTTGAGTATTTATCGGATAAGTCAGTTTTTACTATATCATTATGAATAGATCATATTTTCTCCTCGCTATTTCGTGAAAGCTGCGTATAGCGGGTCTTTACGGAATATAAGCAGCCGGGTTTTTTTTTTACGATAAAGATATTTTATGATTAAGAGATATCGCTACTTCCAGATTAACGATGTGCAGTCAATTAATAAATATAAACTGTAAATATCGATACCAACAAACGTGAATATGTATGTAGCTTTAAAATTTGATCTTTATTGTTTATTTGAGTTCATATTACGAAAACGCAAGTCTGGGCTGATCATTACAATGTGATTGACCTCAAACCTCAACTCATAACTTCTAAATACTTGCAATAGCTATGGTCTGGTGGATGGGGCTCTAAAGGGTGGTACGATAACGAGATCTCTGTGGATAAAGAGTAGACAGGATAATGCCGCCCCTCTGGTATAAGCGTTAGATTTTGAAAATAACCATTGAATTGTTGGGCTAGTGCACGACTCCTTCTCAGTCTATATTTAGTACTTTTTCGATCGTTTTGGATTTTCCTCAGTCACCTCCTAGGCTTCAAAATTTAGGCCAATAGTCAAAGAGGGGAGAAGCAGTTTATCATTTATTTCTGCTATATCTGACTAAAATTGTGCTAAAGTGTGCTTTTCACATTTGTGTATTTTGTTCAATCTTTGTAAGGTAATAAGATGTTCATAACATCATCTAACATCTTTGCCCTCCTCTCTGAAGTCGTACAGAGAATTATTCAACAGCCAGACATAAGTACAGAGGGTTCTTCACCGGCCCCTAAAGGGGATGTAACTGGCGTTTGTCGGCGAGATAAAGCCTAGCTAGCGGAAGCTAACAACCAAATAAACATATACTTGTATTTATAAGTATACAGTCATGTAAAAAAAAATTAGGAGGGGGGGTCGGAATGACAACCTACGAATCTATCCGATATTTCCATATTTCGATCTCAATGTAATAATCACCAATTAGCAACTTCGTTTTCTTACAACAGATACGCACACGTACTAAATTAAAGATTTGTTCATATTGTTGGTTTGAAATGTTCGATCTTGTAAGTTGGTGATTTCATATGACACTGAAAAATATGCAAGCGTATCTATAAAATTGTATAAGTCTCGGCCAACAACTGGTCATTGGTCTTCAATAGTAATTGACTATGAGAGAAAAAGTTGATTTCATTATCCGACACGAACTCAAGGGCCGACTTCTATTAATTATGAAGATGATATTACAGATGGAGGCAGGATAATCTGATCCAAGTGTACTTAACTGAGACAACCATTGATAGGTTGAACGGGAAGAGAAGTTGTTTTTTTAACTTGCCCAACGCGTATATAATTACGTTGAAGTTAAAGAGACAACACTTATTGAATGCGATACACGTAGATCAAATAATAGTCGAAATGATACAATGTGCTTTAACTAAGTCACTGCACAAATAGTAGTAGGCTCGTAAAATGAAATAATCAGTTAGTTGGAAAAGCATGCGCTTTTAATATTTAATGAGAAAAATCTCCCTGGTATAATTAAAAAGAATATTAGCCAACCCCCAACCCCCCCCCCCCCCCCCTCTCTCTCTCTCTCTCTCTCTCTTTTCTCTCTCTTTTTTTCTCTCTCTCTGCGCCCTGGTTCAAAATTTTACTTGATACTTACCTGCGTACTTGTTGAAATCTACTTCACAATTTTTGCCTCCTCTGCCACTAATGGCGAACGAGTACAGTAATACTATGATTCCTATTATTGAGCTAGAGATTGAAAAGACTTTTAGTTCTATTAGAGTAGATAGTAATGTTATTGGAGATGGTCTGCATTTACTGGAGTTCGTGAGGCCTCGGGTGAGGATGGCATCAGTCATCATATGTCAATAAATATCTCATAAACAGTTTCTTACTTAAGATCATTTTAACCTCTTTATCGACAGGTAATTTCCAACCACTTGCAAAATAGCCAAAGTAATGCCACCAACTTCTGTTTATATCCACTGTTTGAAAAGTTTTTGAGTGGATTATTTTCATGTATCTACAAAATTATTTCGTAGAAAACTTATTGTTTTATAAACACTGTTTTATGCTTGCTTATTCTACAATCATCAGCCAATATCAATTTATCACATTAATATTGTTCTCGGAAAGAAAACGTCTATGTGATATTCTGTGATATTTCAAAGGTTTTCGATCATTGACAAGGTTTGATGATGAATTAAAAATCTTACCGTGAATTATACATGTTCATAGCCAGAACTCGTCAGATCTACTCGCAGATATAACTCGTTAGGTCATTTAGTAGCTGGAACTTATTACATCTTTTAGTAGCTGGAACTCGTTAGACATATTGGTAGCTGGAACTAAATAGACCTGTTGGTAGCTGGAACTAGTTAGACATATTGGTAGCTGGAACTAAATAGACCTGTTGGTAGCTGGAACTAGTTAGATCTGCTGGTAACTGGAACTAGTTAGGTCTATTGGTAACTGGAACTAGATAGATCTATTGGTAACTGGAACTCGTTAGATCTATTGGTAACTGGAACTAGTTAGGTCTATTGGTAACTGGAACTAGTTAGATCTATTGGTAACTGGAACTAGTTAGGTCTATTGGTAACTGGAACTCGTTAGATCTATTGGTAACTGGAACTCGTTAGATCTATTGGTAACTGGAACTAGTCAGATCTATTGGTAGCTGGAACTATATAGATATGTTGGTAGCTGGAACTAGTTAGATCTGTTGGTACTTGGGTCTAGTCAGGATCTATTGGTAGCTGAAACTAAATAGATTTATTGGTAGCTGGAACTAAATAGACCTGTTGGTAGCGGGAACTAGTCAGATCTGTTGGTAGCTGGAACTCGTCAGGTCTGTTTGTAGCTGAAACTGGATAGACCTGTTGGTAGCTGGAACTAGTGCGATCTATTGGTAGTTGGAACTAATTGGATCTATTGGTTGCTGGAACTCATTAGATCTGTTTGTAGCTGGAACTAGTGAGATATATTGGTAGCTGGAACTCGTTAGATCTGTTGGTAGCTGGAACTACATAGACCTGTTGGTAGCTGGAACTCGTTAGATCTATTGGTAGCTGGAACTACATAGACCTGTTGGTAGCTGGAACTCGTTAGATCTATTGGTACAATCGTTGCATTTTAATTGTTTATCTACTAAACATCTTACCTTAAACCAGTTTTGGAGAAAGAACTGTTTCAATACACACTGATTACCTGTAGATGAACAAATGTATTGGATCTTGTCAAAGATCCAAGTTTCACATGTGGACATCCATGGGAGGTTACCATTATTTTTCTTCATTTTTTTAGTGTCCGGCTATGAAGGGTGGGTCTTTCTTAAAATTCAACTTGAATGAATTAGAGTTCAATTAAGGTACAAAGTTTCATCAAATGTAGTTGTATATTTTGGAACATTTCTTTATGATGTTAACTCGTGTCTGTTTACATTTTTATACAACAAATGTGTCTACTTCAAGTTATTACCTATTTCATCCACGATATCATGTAGTTATACTAAATTGTATGACAGAAAATGCCGCTTTGATAAGTTGGAATAATTTTTACCTAATCCCTTCGAATTAATATTGGCAATAAAATGTATTTGAAGACAAATTGTATGTTAGTTATTTTACTCATTTCTTTCTATATTAGCCTCATAACTGGTCAGAATTCTTGTTTATGTTGTATTTGCTACTAAAATTATGTAAATACTCAGTACGTCTGCACTCAAATCTCTACCTATCAAGTCTTTCATTTAATTGTTTGTATTATAAATAATTTTCATAACTTATTGCATATGAAGAGAGAAATGCTTATATTAAAAGTATACGACAACTTGTAATATTAATTTTTGGGACACAAATGATACGCTTATACGTTGGTTCTTATAATAGCAAAATCTTGTGACAGTATGTGATGCAAGAATAAAGTGAGACAGATTGAGCTCTGAAATGACGTTGATCAAGTGTTACACATGCGCAGTCCTTTCCTCTATGGTAATGGCGACATGTGCTCTTTGAGAAATTGCCTGATTTCTCATGCCATGTTAGCCAGAGGGTAACGTTGATATCTAACACAAGACTACCTCCATTAAGTGTCTGCAGTTGTGCAGCAGACTTTTGCAGTACCTTAATTTTCGGACGACATTGTTAAGAGGTGGCATAACACACGTAAACATCGACTGTATCAGACAACGTGGCCTGGGTCACGAAAGAGCCAGTTTGACCTGTGGATCAATTGATAACAATTTAATTGTTTTGAAGGTAGTGTATGCAATATGCCAGTCATAAATCCGTATATATAGGAAACCTTTCGTAGGTTGCCAAGTTAATTGACACAAGCCAGTGCTAATTTTCTAGTTCTAATGGACCAGACTTATTGCATATGGTCATGATCTAAATCGAGGCTGCAGCCTGGCGTGACAATTTATTAGAGGTGTTGTTTACCAATAAATTTGCATCATTTTCGATAACTTGTTTTTCTGACACTGATGTCAGATTATTAGTTATAACTGTTATTGCTGAGATATATTTGTGCACGTGTTTGAACGTCACGACGTGTATATTGAGGTCGTGAGTAATAAACAGCTGTTCAACAATGGCTGCGGCCGTTGGGACCACGACGAGGAGTGAACATTTTCAATCAGACTCTACAGAAATGCAGAATACGGAGAGTACAAGAAAGTCTTCTGAAGAAAACCCAGATAAAAATGTTTCCCAACCCCAGCCGCCCACGCCAGACTGTTCAGATCCTGGGGCACCAGAATCAAATGAGGGGAAAAAAGACTCTGATGATAAATCTCAGTCAAAGGTCAAGAAATTTGACAAGAAGAATTTCGTTGAGGCACCAATTCCAAAAACCAATCCATGGAACAAAGGAAAGAGTCAGGCAGTTCCAACACCCAAACCAGTGCCTGTAGCACCGGTAGTGAAAGCACCAGTTCCAGTGTCAGTCGCACCTGTACAAGCCCCAGCCATTAAGAAAGAAAGTAAGTACATGTATTTATCACAGTATGTGAAATGTAACACCTGCCTGCCGTGTCAAGAAGATCAGGTAAGACAACAGGACATTTGGTGACTTGCAGGTCTTTTTTGATCAAACAAAAACAGGTAGTTTGTACATTTATGTAAGTATGTTTTATACCTATATTAAGTGATATCATGTACTATAGCACATGGGTTTATTTTTATTAGTGTTCAGTTGATAGTTAAAATTTGTAGGATAAGTATAGCCTGAAAAAGTCTGTCATAATCATTTGTGAATGAACTGAAAGATATGATATGCCTTTAAATAGGTGAACCATATATAATTCCTGTTGACAAAACATCAAGAAACAAAAACTATTCCATTTGGACAATATCCAGGGCAACTTGTATATGTTTATATGTTGAAATAAAATCTCCAGCGTTAACATAATACAGCAAGATTGCTGGAATAAAGGGAACTTACTTCTAATAAATAACTATTTAGTGATGTGTTTGTATTTTTGGTGATCTTGCACTGCAGACAAAAAACTCACCAATGATACCAAGAATATACTTGTAGTGTGTCTTTTATTGTCTTGTACATATTTTAATAGTGGTGTTACCTTTATCATGTCAAATAGATGTTTCATTTTTCCAGTAACTGTTTGAAAAAAAAGAGAAAAAAAAAAATGAAAAATATTGTGTTACTTGTGAAATGTAGAATTACAGGATCAAGTCATTCAACAGACTAGACTAGCTAAAAATCTTTCATGAGTCATTATGAATTAATAAACTGAAAATGTGGAAACTAAAATTGGAGATTTGGTCACTTTACCCAATTCTAACTGGTGTGAAATATCGGAAGAAATCCTGAAACTTGTATAAGATTTTTTTTCCAATGTCTTAGTATAGTTATCCCCCTTTTACCAAATTCATACTGATCTTTTACCCTTCATCTTATTTTGTATTGGCATGATCTCTTTAATGAGGAGAAATTCAGCGTCATCTTCTCCAAATCTTGTTTGCTTAATGAAACATCAATTGATTGAAAGTTTCTCAAACAAGGATTTAACTCTGGAAAAAATTTGTAATATTACGAAATATTTACATCACTATTTCTGTTTTAAGACTTATTTGGTATGAATACCACACCATTTTGTGGTGTCTTGAGTCTAGGGGAAGTGCTTTCACAAGCATAAATAAATGTTAACTGTTTTGTTCAATGCTATGAGACAGAGTGAATGGATTAAGGTTGAACAGATCAATGGATGTAATTACTTTTTCAGAAATGTAACCTCTGAACATGTTGTAAAGAAATTCAATCATTTAGCACTTGAATAAATCATGTCATAATGTTACATCCCTGCAATTGAGACTAAAAAAGATTTATCTCTTATTACAAGTGTATTTTTATATATGCACTACCATGAAGCAAAAGATGACCTATATACTGGAGTGACGATGATGCAATTCCAATGTTACGTCCATGACATTAGATGAATTTGTAGGTCAATCATTGAAAATGTTGTTTGAAATGACAAAATTTAGCAGGAACAAATCTGTTATTACAAGTTATTGAATATTTGATATATTTTACCTCAAAATGACAGTTGAAGATTGACCACCGACAAATGATTGTGTTTTAATATGACCAATTTTAGCCAAGATTTGTGGTTTAGCATCCATCATTACGTCCTGATGAATTACTCTCAAATGTGACAGATATGTTTCATTCTTAGCCTCATATAACACAAGAAAACCAAAATATGCAAGAAAGACTTTGATATATTTAACCCATGACAGATGAGAAGCATGTTGCATATAAATCGCTAAATGTTCCTAGGACGCACAGGACTCCAAACACAATTTAAGATCTTTGTATACGTCTTTCCAATAGATATACTATTATGATGATAAAATGTGCACAGACAATACTCCATTTAAAACAACGTTGCATGATGTTACGTGTAACATTTAAATTTTCTGGTATATGAAAGTTTTTTCAAAATTTGTCTTGGATGTAACATGGACTCATATTCTGAATTGGATGTAACACAAAACACCGTAATTGCAAATTGTGGATAAATTCATTGTCAAGAGATTAAATTTTTATAAACATTATTTCTTCAATTTCAATATAGAAAAAATACATCTTCATCTATTAGTACCCAAACAATTTGTCCATTGCAAAATTGGTGTCCTGTTATGTTGGCTTATTATTTTTGTGCATAAAACTAATGTGATGGACTAAAATTTAAGTTACAAATATTCATGGCAAAATATTATTCAAATAGATATTAATTTCTCATGAATTTGACAATAAGATGTACTTGAGAAGAAAATATACTCCCAAATGAACAGCCTTGTGTGTTCTGTTGTATCCAGGAACTCCACATAAACAGCTGTATTTTCTCCATCTTTCAAAGCAGAACTATCTGCTCCTTTATTGGTCTGGATGCAACATCATTTTATGAAGTGAAATCTACTGCATCATAGTGTTTCACCTTCTTTTAAATTTTCAAAACTGGTTGTCCCAGACCAATATTTTATGACATTGAATTCTGCCTCTTATCTACTACTGAGTTTCTCCTTGTCCTCTGTTCATTAAAACACATGATGGTCTTAAATATACTCTTTGAAAATGGGCATGGTTTCATTGATGTCTAAGTAAGGTGTTTAAGCTTCCATTGCAATCTAAAAGCTGTGAGTGGAGATTAAAAAACCAAATGAAAAAAAAGACACATTTTATGTTAATATCAAGGGAAGCAAATCCTCAGATCAACCTAGACAGTGTCTGTTTGTTTTGTCATAGATTTCTTCATTCTAAGTTGATAACATTGCCCAATACTAGGCCAGTTTCACTAAACATTTTCCTTTATGATGATGAAAGGAAGGTAAGATTTACAGCCTGTAATGTATAAAGATATAATTTTAATGGATTTTGTTTATTTTTTTTTCCTGAAGAGTTGTTGCCCTTGACACCGTAATATTAGGAATTTGTGCCAAGTCCGTTGATCATATCTCAGGAAGTACAGAGGTTTAAGTTTGTTTGGCTTTATGTCACAGGGAAAAGTTTTGCTAGGAAACGGGAATGAGTGTCCCTGGAAAAAAAAATTGTATATTCAACCTGTCAACATGCTGTTTGACAACTGCACTTCATTCTTAAATCTCAAAGACACTTTTATGAAACATTCAAATAAAACTTTGCATTGTGCATTTTGGTAATATTCATCCAAATGCATTTTTGGCAAGGCTATTCATGTATATGAAAGACCACCACTTTCATGAGACGCCTTGATCAGGCCTCGAATTTATCCTTTTTTTTTTCACTTGCTAAAAACAGCAAGTGCCTTAAATTCTTACTTGCTAAAATGACTTTTTACTTGTTATTACAGTAAATCTTCAAATAATGTTTTTTTGGCGATTGATCATGTGTATTATTAAATTATTAAATTTATTGACAACAAGAAACAAGCAACTTTCAGTCAGTAAATTTGAGTCATGTACAAATACATGTAAGTTCAAATTAAATGTCAATATTTCAAGAAATATTCAACAATGATATGACAGTCCCAGTGGACATTGATGATGAATCAATAACCAATTGACAATTTCTGAAAATGATTTTAACTCAAAGTCAACTGAAAATGCTGACTACTAAACACTTTGAAAAATGAAACTCAACAAGTTAATTTTGTGAATTGTCGGTGGTCATGTGTTTACCTAGGTTTATGTTGAGTTCTTTTTCCCATTTAGCAACTGTTTTGGCCAATGCCTTCACAGAATTGCATTTGGGCTGTACCAGTGATGTATCATTCTTGCTTTTTTTGTCAGTAATCACTTCATCGGCAGAACTACTATTTTTTCTTTTGAAAAAAGATGTAATTTTTGAAGTGGACAAATTTTCTGCCATGGTTAACAACACCAATCTAACTCAGACACGCTTGTAACATCAATCTGGGTCATCCAGGTTTCAAACTTTTTCGTGCATGTACAAGGGGTGCTCGGAATGGTGTGTGTGACTTTCATTTTCAGCTTTGGCATGTTACAATTTTATGATGAACACAGGCTTCAGTTGAGGTAAATTTTTCCACAAATTGCACATCTTTATTTTTTTGTTATGTAATTTTTACAGTTTGCATCTGATAAATCCACTCGTTAAAGAAGCAAGTGCATATTTTTCTTACTTGCAATTCTTGGATTTCCACTCACAAATCGCGAGTAAAACACGTTAAATTCGAGGCCTGTTGATGTCAGTTCCTTGGATGGTCATATCATGGAGGGACCACTGTATCTATGCATAGTCAATATTATATGAGAGCTTAATGTACAAATGTCTTCTGTCTGAACATGTAAATTGTCCGTTGAATAATACAAGTCAGAAAAGGGAGTGCCATATAAATGTTAGGTCAGTCACCAGTACATCTATTCCGATACTTGACATATTTGTCACCCCAACATGACACAATTCAGTTGGATCAGGCTGATAACTTAAGGCAGGTGATCAAACCAACTTTTTATAAATAAAGCTTCATTGAGGATTATTATTCATTGCTTCAGTAAACAGTTTGCTCTTTATGCTGAGTGTATTGTCCTGTGAACAGCCAAGGTCATTTTGAGGCAGTGCCTTCTTGTAGCTGTTTGCTACCTCAGTGAATAACATACAGGAGGCCCTTAACAAATCACCCAAACTAACAAGGCTAAAGTGCCATGTCGACACAGACGGGTCTGTAGGAGTCTGTCTCTCAGCTTCCTTAGAGACACATTGGAAGGGACCATGGAACCATGTACCTTGAACCTTCACCACTAAAACAATGTAACAGACACTGATGTTGGGCCACAAGCTAGTGGTAAATTTTATGAAAAGCCTAACAACATTATATAAATTGACTTGCATAGTCAAAATTTTGTGTGATCACTTTCTTACGTGTAATGAGGCATCTCAGTCTTTTTTTTTTTTTTTCATTTGTTGATGGTGAGCTAATCAAATCGTCTATTTTTCACCCTTAAACAATTTTTGTTATAGCCTTATCTGTGGAAACACTAGATGGATTTTCAAATTTAATATGTGGGTTTGCCTTGGTCCCTAGTTATAGAAAAACAAGATGGCTGACGGATAACCATTTTGGATTTTGACAGTAATAGTTTGTTATTGCTACTTCTGGAGAAGGAGTGGATTGATCTTCTTAAATTTCATAGGTTTGCATTGGTCCCTTGTGGTGCATTGTTCCATTTTTTTGATAACCCTAAAATCAAAATTGCTAATAGGAGGTCATCTTGGATTTTGACATTGAAAGATTGTTATCGCTCTTTCTTGTGAAGTACTGGATACCTCTGGAATTTCCTACAGAATTTACCTTGGTCCCTGGTTGGGCCCCTTTAAGTTGAGACAGAACAAAATAGCCGACAGATGACCATTTTGGATTTGGCTGTCAAACATTTCTTAAGAGAGATTTCCAAATTTCACAGATCGAAGACAGAGGAGAGAAGTGTAAAGAAAAGAAAAGATCCCACATTCAAAAGATAAATAAAGATCAAATGATGATTGGCACAAAGATCGCTGTGTGATCTCTTGTTTTTGCTTGTCAGGAAAAACAGTTGTACCATGTTTGTGACTGATTAACGGACATTAAATGCCTTAGTTGGTTTTTATGTAATTTTTGGACCGCCTGTCAAAAACAGGACAGGAAATGAGCCCATAAAGCTAGCATTCCTTTTTGATTTTGTTAGTTTCGTATCTTTAGGACTAGACTTGCATGTTTATAAGTGATATAAGCATCACTGTGTACTTATACATCTGTTGTGTCGGATGGTGAGTTGATGTAAAATGTTGTGTGGGCATGTCATGTATCGGTAAAATGCTGTGACAGGTGTTCTACTTGCTCTTTGGGTCAATGATGACAAGTCAGTAGTGGTGATGGATAAAATTGACAGGTACACATATGGCGAAGGAAACTTGCACGAGACATACAGATGTTACAGGTTGCTATAGAACACTTTCTGTCAAGTTTCTGTTACGTTGTGATGCAATTTAGTTGGCTTGATAATGCTCCCAGAACTGCTGGTTTTTACAAAGGTCAGTTTGTTACATATACTGATAATTTGTTATGCGATTGTGTGACCTTGTAAATTACAGGACATGTGTATGATTGTATACCTGTACCAGGTAGACTCAGGTGTATTGTTGTAGGAATCCTTCATGACAAGTCAGTCAGTTTAAGGAAAGTCATATGTCATTCCTACAAATACAATAGTAATTAGAGATATCATACTTAATCATCCTTTGTTAAGTTCAAGTTTTGGAATGTCATGTCTACAGTCAATTGTCATTGAGCATTTTAAATGACTGCATTCTAACAGTACATGTTATATACATAAAGATGTAATTTAGAAATATCGTGAGCAGATGTTATAAATATAGATGTGCTGCACATTTTCATGTGTTTCTGTATATAATTTAGTATCATGAATACATTTAGACAGTACATATGTTGACACTTGTATTCCAGTTTAAGTACTTTTAACAGCTCATGATCACCCATTAAACGGAAAATAATTTATTAAAATATAATGTTCAATTTTTTTACCGCGGGCTAAACAGCACTCATATTATATTCACTATTTTTGACCGCATGCTCCTATAGCTCAGTTTAGGAGTTGCCTAAGGGTATTTACATTATGTTAGTAGTTACCTGGCTGTTATAAGAATGCTGTGGTCGATCAAATGACATTGACCTAATTTTTAATATCATAATAGTGAGATCAGTTATACTTTTGTGATTAAAGATTGTTTAAGAAAAATTCTGGCAACCTTGAGAAGAAGCTTAAGAGTCAAGAGGGGCAACCTTTTTACATTACATTTATCATCTCCCCTTTCATCACTCGTTACAATTTATGTATATATATTTTAAGTAAGAAAGTAATCAAGTAATTGTCTGAGACGCAGAAACTTTAGTGAAACCAATTATTTGTCTTGATATTTCTTGTTTTGATGTTTGTTCATGTATGATAGAATAACACAAATACAGTATTGTCCATAAGGAGTTTTTGCCATCTTTGGCATCTTCAGGTGGACTGTTTATTTGTCACCACTGATGTTGTGCGACATTACCATGTCATTGTGACATCTTTAGCAAACAATAATATTGATGTTGTCAAACGCTACGAGGAAAAATTAATTATCTTTTTACAAACATAATACTGATGATCTAATTACAACAGGGCATTAAGAACAAGTGATCATCAAAATACTTGAACCTTGTTTAGCACAAGGATCAGCTATAACTGATTTCATCCCTGGTATCGCTATAGGATGTTTATTGTTTAACCTTAAAATAAGGTGTTGTCTGCAATATAAGCTCTACATATTAAAATGTTCTATTTTCACCATAAGCTCTACATATTTTAATGTGTTGTCTACGATATAAGCTCTGCAAGTTAAAATGTGCTATTTACAATATGAGCTCCACATATTAAAATGTTTGTCTACAATATGAGTTCCACATATTAAAATGTTTGTCTACAATATGAGCTCTACATATTCTAATGTGCTATCTACAATATGAGCTCTGCAAGTTAAAATGTGCTATTTACAATATAAGCTCTACATATTGAAATGTGCTGTCTACAATATAAGCTCTACATATTTTAATGTGCTGTCTACAATATAAGCTCTGCAAGTTAAAATGTGCTATTTACAATATAAGCTCTACATATTGAAATGTGCTGTCTACAATATAAGCTCTGCAAGTTTAAATGTGCTATCTACATTATAAGCTCTGCAAGTTAAAATTTGTTGTCCACAACATAAGCTCTACATATTTTAATGTTTTACAATATAAGCTCTACATATGAAAATGTGTTGTCTTCAATGTAAGCTCTGCAAGTTAAAATGTGCTATCTACAATATGAGCTCTGCAAGTTAAATTTTGTTGTCCACAACACAAGCTCTACATATTTTAATGTGTCGTTTATGATGTAAGTTGTGAGTAACTTATGAAGATTACATAAATATAATGAGGTACCTATTTAGTTCTTCAAAAAAGAAAAAGAATATACATGTATATGTACATTTCACAATTAAGTAGAGGTAGGTAAAGATTTTATACAGAGTTTTAATCACTAAAATCCTAACTGTATTTATATTTCCAGTTGTGTCCTTGGAGTCCAAATCTGTCAATGTAACAGCAGAACCTACTGAGACTATTAAACCACGAGTAACCACACAGGTAAGTCCCAGTAACCTGGATACAGTTAAGCATCATTAACACATGTAAGCCTTGTTAACCTTAAATTGAAATGGAAATTTTACCTGTAGTGTTACACAACTAGTAAGGCCCATTAACCCAGAAACACAAAAGGGACATCACAGAAGAACAGGAATTTTGTTATTATTTATACTGTTATACTTCCATTTATATTTCTATGCTATCACAATATTCACAGTCAATTTCCAATGTCCAAGTTGACCACCTTTTTGGTTCGGGAAAGCCCTCTCAAATTTTAGGGCAGATAATATAACATTACATAATAAAGATTATTTGAAAATGATGCAGTTCATTTTGTGAAAACAAGAATGCATGATGGCGGCAGAAATTCAGTGTACAGACAAGTATTGTTTGGGTATTACTGAGAAGAAAAGGATTGTATAATTATGATGCAGCATGACACATATGCCTACAGTCTGCAATATGTGTTATCAATTTCTTAAATTTTTTCCCAACAACTGAAGACATTGGAAGTTGTAATGGACTTTGAGGAAGCCATTTTCCCCAACAGATAAGCAAAATTTTAAAGAAAATCCCCCCCCCCTTTTTTTTCATCTTTTCACTATAAATCACTGAAATGTCATTGTGATTCATGTTCATTATTTTCATCTTTACATGGCACCATTAGCAGTTACATATATACATATTTATACATATTCAATAAAAAGAGAAATTAAACACAAAGAGGTTTTCCTCCATATATTTAAAACACCAGTAAAAGGTTGTAAAGTAAAAAGGAAAAAACAATGTTGATAATTCAGGTCTAATTTTAGGCTTTTATGATTGATATAGGTAGGTCCCATTCTGCTTAATAGTGTTTGGATAATTTACTTTTACAATCCATAGTCTATAACAAGCCAGAAAGTAATTGAAGCTGAACACTACTGCTTAATACCATGTTTTCATCTAGTATATAAGATAGAAGTCAAATTTTAGATTTAAATGGGTTATTAAGATTGGTAATAAATGGTATGCTGTCCTTGTCATTTCAGAAATCATTGCCATTAAGTGATGAAAACTGGCCAGCTCTCCATGAAACCACAGAGGTTAGGAAGACAACTGCTCCTCATGTTCTGTACAAACGATAGCGCTCGGTTGATATAAAGACTCGGGCTGTTTTATAACTATTGTAAAAATAATATGTAAGATAAATATGCAACCTTTAATGGACTGTTTTGAAAGGAATTGAATTACCAATGGAAATTGAGAAGAAAATTAAGTCACAATATGTCAATTTTACAGATGCATATAACTGATGATGTTTAATATTTTTGTAGTCTCCTGGCACAAAAAAACCTGTACCAATGAAATCACTGCCAGGCCTACCACAGGCACAACAGCCCCCTCCTACCCAGCAGGCACCACCCACACAAGTAGATTCAGGGGGAGATGACTCTGCTAAAGAAAATAAAGAAAATGCAGAGGGACAGAAAACAAAGAACAGGAAAGGAAAGAAAGGTGAGCAGTTGCTGCATGTTTGATATTCATGGCCAAGTTTTCACTAATATTGAAATCTTTGTTGTAAAAGTCCTTTATGAATCTGAAGTATCGGCAGTCTATTCAGAACACCTCTACCTTTACAGTATGTCTTTCAAAATTGGTTGTACAGCTTAGTAGCTTACAAGATATTGTACAGAATGTTACATTTTTGTTGCAGAGTCAAAACAGAAGTGGGTTCCTTTGGACATAGAGCCTCCAAAATCTGGAAGACGAAGTCGAAGTCAGGGGAGGCTACCCCCACGTCGGGAATCCGGCAAAGCCCAGGAGAGGACAGCCAAAGGAGGCGACAAGAGGGAAGAAGTCAGAGGAGAAAACAGTAAGCATGTCTTACCCTTAACACAATGAGTACCATGAAAAACTTGCATACCATGTGTAAAAACTTAACTCTGTTGGAGTTATCTCCCTTTACATGAGTTTGTTTACTTCATGATTTTTTTGATGTGACCTTTAACCTGTAATATAAGTGAAAATCTATCTCCCTTACCTTAAGATACATGTAAGTAGCACACTTCAGCACAAATATACGTGGAAGGATAACTATTTTATACATTTCATCCACAACTTAGAATTTCTACTACACATTTGGTTGCAGGTTCATCTAACAGTTTGTTGACCTGGGGATGTCCTGAATCGAGGGCATGCTCACCAGAGCACACACTGTTACAGGGACATCTAATATTTATTGTCGGGGGACGTGTATCAACCTACAAAGGTTAGGTACAATAATCATATATCAAGTCAGCATTAGACACACATCTACAAACCTTTGTTATGTGAGAAACATGACTTTTGTTTCCATCTAACTTAACAGGATTCAGGTGATTTTCTAGAGGAATTTCATAACTCAGGTTCAGGAGAAACATTTGGTATTGTACATGAGGTAAAAGAATATCAGAGTTTAGAGAGGATTTAATAAAAATAACCTATTAATGGAATTGTTCATGCTAGGGTACAAGTTTGGAGGAAGGTAACAAACAACCTCTGAATTGGAAGTGATGGTAAAGTTCTGTAAATATTATTTTTCAAAATGGAAGACATTTAGCAATGTTCATATATTGATCTGATTTCTCTTTTGATTGTTCGGAAAGATCAATAAGACTTGGTCTTGATTTCAGAGTGTTACAAATATTTATTATGGACACGCAAGTCAGACTCTTTATTGTGCTTGATTTGACACTATTGTGGTGTACAGAACTTTCATCTCAAAGCAGGATTTCCTTTTCTTTTTCAATGAAAAGCTGACAGCTGTGAATTTGATGGGAAAAAAGATGTCAGTGTTTATCAAGTTATTTTCAGTCTTCTAACTTTTTGTCATCTTATAAATGTACTTTCCATTTATGATGCAACCTTTGAAGTAAAAGTGGCTGATATTTATTAACGCTATTTTCTTTACAAGTCCTAATCCTTAGTTTTAAAAAATGTAGTGAGGAATGTTTTTATACCAGGCGTTGCTATGGTGATAACACTTAAAAAAGGAGATTGTGATTCTCTGAAATGTACTGAATCAATACCTTTTATTCCTTTAGATCTTCCAGCATGTTCTAAAAATAATCATACTCCACTGGTGAAGAAATCCACGCCCTTTTCTAGCTCTGTTGAATTAATCATTTGAACTATGATTCATACTTCACTTAAGACATTGAAACAATACAGGTGATTTGTTTGCTGAAATTTACATTTAAATTTTGAACTTATAAGGTTAGGTAGACAACACTGAGTAGAGAAATATATCTGCAAGGATGATGTCCATTGAATATGCTGGCAGCACCTGTTCATTGATCTGAATGGATTTCAACACATTACAACATTGACTTTTACTGAATTATATAGCATTATTGTTTACCTGCTACTGGTTAGATCAGTCTTAAGATAGATTTGTTCCCCACAGAAAAGTTGTAAATCTGAATTATTAAATTCCAAAGAGCATTTGGTTTACTGTTGACAACCCTTAACCTAGTTTCATGGTGGCAAGGTCAAAGTCACCATTACATTTTTATAGTCATCAACTAAGTCATTGACATCACTTTAGTGACAAACTTTACACAGAGGTCAACCATGATATTACCTTGGATCTCATTGTGTTTTAGGATTCTTATTCCAAGGTCAAGGTCACCATTACTCTTTATAGGCTATGGCAACTAATGCAGTGATATTATTAGAGTGTCATTATTATTGAAAGGATCAGTAAACATTGAGAATTCCTTAAATGACTTGTGTCTCAAGGTCAGTATTACCAGTTTCAGATGATTTGTCAAAATTTAATACTTTTCAATCTCTGTTTGGAAACAGTTCACTTCTCATTCACATTTTGTATTTATAACAAATGAACTTATTAGGCCTATTTTCCATTTCTTTTTCATCACCATGGTATTAATATATGTCACTGTACATAGTATCTTGTCCAGCTTACGTAATGTATGCTGTGACAATGCTGGAACACGTGTTTAGAAGCCCGTATGATAAGAAGCTATGCGGTAATGAGATTCTGCCTTTTAAGGTTTTTATACTCCCTAAGTCTGCTAAAGATAGGTAATTTTAAGCTCATTTCCATATGTGTTGTCTTTATGTGTATTTATATTGGATGTAGTGTTTCATACACATTTGATGTTCATTACAATATGTGGGCTAAGTATACATGTATCAGCCCTGTTTGCTATTTTAGCATGAAAGGCAGTACACCATTAGTCTGGTAAGATTTAGGTCGTGATGGAAGCCTTGGTGCCCCAGGCCACAACTCTGGTAGTTACCTTGGGGCCCAGGTGAGAGGCATTCAGGTGTGACCAGTGATGGAACCTACCATGTACATTTGTTTATGAATGACAGCTCCATGCCGCAATCATTCAGGAAACTGCTTAACTAGTAGCTTACAAGTGTTCAGGATCTGTGGTTATTTAGGAAAGGATTACACGTCATACATCCCATATGTTACTGGATGGAAAATGTTTTTATCTTTTTGTGATTAGCAACCGCAACAAAATCCTTGCAGTATTTCTATTGGCTGAGGTGCATGGTTACCAAGGACTTGGAATTTCTGTTGGTTTATGCACCAGTGAACCGGAACATGTTTCAAAATTGGAGATTTAGTTAAAAATCACAGACTAGTGAACTGTTCAACAGATGCCAGATATCTGTTTATAAAAATCCACCATATAGTAAACTGGTCTTGTTATGAAGGCAAGCAGATTGCTGTTGACTGAAAAGCACTAGTGAGCTGACATGATTGGTTACTAGCAGCACATAATATTGAAATTGACAGGATAGTGAACTGATGTTGTTAGTTGATATTCATGGACTTAAGTGCCAGCACCATCAAAATGACTGAACTCTAACAATATCCATATCGATTATTAACAAGCTCTTGTGGTGATTCAAATCCAAACTAGTAAGCAGTGTTTTAAACCATCTGACTTGTGAGCTGGCGTGGTTAGAAGTTTTTATTTGCTGACATTCTATGCTTAGTGAGCTTGTGTGGTGACAGAGAACTGGTGTTTACTGTTTAAATTCACGAACCAGTGAGCTGGCGTGGTTACCAGGACAAGAGCTGGACGACCTTGGTCAGGTCACTATCCAATGTCCAGTGGTGAATATGTGGATAGAAGTGACAGTGGTCCAGCCGATGATTCCTTCACACAAAGGTTGTAAATAAAATGATCTGGTAGGGAAAAAGATTATATAGCAAAAAACAATGCAATATTTTCTTATTTCATGGTAGCCAAATCTATTTACATTTAAGGTCACAATAAGAGTGAAGGTCAAATTTATTTATATTGAAAGTCATAGCTATTGTACAGGTCATACCTGATACATGTTAAGTCACAACTAGAGTAAAGGTCAATCGGCAATAGATATGAAATATATAGTGTATATATATATATATATATATATAGGTCACAGGCAATCTGAAGTCATACCTGTTATTAGGTTGCAGCTAGAGCCAAATCTACCTATAATGACCCAGCAAGTGTGAAGGTCAGATTTAGAGCTAGAGTGAAGGTTAAATCTACATATAAGGTCACACATAGTGTTAATGTCACAGCTGGTCAAAGACATTGTCAGCATCTCATGATCAAGCTTCCATCAGAGATTCCTCAATGTTGTGTGTTATAGATGAGATGTATATCTAAGGTGGCTTATCATCTCCTTTTACCTAATTATTAATATACAAAGGTCAGAGTGAAAAGGTTATACAGACATCAGACACATGCATTGGTTGTAAAAGTGATGGGGCATTTAAACTGATGATAGAGTTAATGCCTTACTTTAACTGTGCCTATACATTATCATGGTAAATCTTTGTGTAAGATGTTTATAAGGATAGAGACCTGGTCAACCGTTTGAAGGACCTAGTGATATATCGATGAAGTACCACTATGGTTAGTAGGTACTCTTCTGATATTCTTCAGATGAACAAATTAGGAATAACTTGCCATAAGGACTTTTGGTGTGTTAGGCTAATGCAGGCATCACACTTGAATGTCAACTGTACAGGGAAGTAGTGATACCTGTGGTGTTCATTTGCCTGCAGATAGCAGGTTTTATTAGTGAACAGTGTCCGTGACAACGACCCACTCTCGGCTGTCCTAACTTGACTTGACCTCAGGATAGGTCATAATGCATATACACCTTCACATTTATATACTAAAGTTAATAAGTGTTAAACAGACTTCCAGGTTGTGATTTGTGTACATAAAATTGACTATACACATCATGATCCTTTATTTTCTACAAAGGTAATGAGATTTCTGAACTAGACAATGATAGTCAAAGGCAGATATCTCGGGGAGATAAAGAAATATCTGGTGAATGGAATTAGAGATTCAGAGTATGGGAACAAGATATTTAGTGCAAAGGGGACATTTCTAGGAAAGAATAAGATATTTCTTACAGAAAGAAGATATTGTTTTGGAGATAGGATATATCTAGGACAGAGAAGATATTTCTAAAAGAAAATTTTTTTGGAGATATATTTCTAGGAGAGAATAAGATATTTCTAAAAGAAAGAAGGTATTGTTTTGGAGATAGGATATATCTAGGACAGAGAAGATATTTCTAAAAGAAAAAAATTTTTGGAGATCTGATATTTATAGAAGAGAGGATATTTCTTTGAGAGAATAAGAGATATGTAGGAGAGAGTAACACATATCTGCAAGTCTTAAACTATTTGAGAGTAAGAATAAGAGATTTCTTAGGGACATAATAAGAGAAATCAGGAAGAGAGAGAGGAGTTCTGAAAGAGACTTAAGGTATCCATTGGAGAGAGAATAAGAGATTTCTGAAAGAGACTTAAGATATCAAGGGAGGAGATAATAAGAAATATCTTGGAGTGAAAACAAGAGATTTCTGAAAGGGAGAATAAGAGTTATCTGGTGAACAGAATAAAATGATAGATTACTAAGAGAGGTACTGAGTGATTGATTTCAAATTATTGAGAAATCAGAGATTTCTCTGAGAGATAATGAGATATGATGACAGATGGGAATACTGGAACAATATATTTCTCAGTGGTCAATGTTTACAAATAATTTCTACAAGCTTCACAGTTCACTTTTAACTGTCAAGTGCATTAATATAACCATTTATTCAATATATTGGTATTCTGCATTCATTTGTAATAATTAAGTTTAAATATAATAGTGTCATATACAGGGTGTGTGTATATATATATAATATATACACACTTTAAGGAAACAAGCCCAATGTGCACTTGGGTTAGGAGTTGACATGTGCTTTATGTCATTATCTAATCGCTGTTAAAAAAAACACCTTACATTACAACATAACACACAGAAGGGGACAACACATACAGGTCTTTTTTGGATATTACACAGGAAATCTTCACATACAGACCTTTTCTGACTTCACACACAAAAGAAGGGTTCATACAAGCCCTTTCTGAAATTGACACATGAAATAGCCACATACAGGCCCTTCTGACATCACACAAAGGAAAGGGACACGCAGATGTTTTCTGACGTCACACATCGGAGAGGTGCACAAACCGACCCTTTTTGATATCATACATAGGAGACAGGCACAAACCCTTTCAGACATTTGTGTTGGCATAGAGAATGATTACACTTGTCTTAAGATGTAAATTAAGGGTATCTGTATTGGATGTGTTGCTCCTAATAGGATGGAACAATCTACATATTACATGCTACAAAACTGTTTCTTGTATTCCTGTGAAGTCTTAAAATTTATTGTATAGTAAACAGTACAAGAATATCTGCATGTTCTGTTCAATTTAGATATGATAAGAGCAGTTGTATACTGAAGTATGTACTGTCAGCTGTAGTGAGAGCCTTAGGGATAACAAAAATCAATACATGCATTTCACAGGCAGTGATAAATCACCACTGCTCACCTACACCATAGAGAATGTAAGGGCAAGCGTTTCTAATGGCTCTTAATTGGCTGACATCAGATGTTATTGATGCTTCACATATGAGTGTGGCTTTGTTTTTTTCATTAAATATTGTAACATTCTCAATGTCAGAAAATTTTACTGGTTTCTCTAGATGAACAAAGATTTCTGTATAAGTACTTTAAACTGGTTTCTCTAAATCATCAAGGTGTTCTGTACAGGTAGTCTAATTAGTGTCTATTATATGTTTTAGGTTTGTTAACTAGTTTCAGATTATCTTGCTTTTCAGTTAAAAGTAATTAAACTAGTATCTGTAGACCTGGTGAGTTTTCTGGAAAGGAACTGCTCACTTTAGATTCTTTGGTAGATAGAGTGTAACATCATTTTCCTAACTTTGCTACCTTTGTGTGTTTTTTTTTAGACTGTGTGTCAAATGAAACTTTTTTTTCACATCAGTGTAAGGTTGAAAGGTCTGTTTCAGTGTAATTGTAAGGTCACTGTCAGTGTAATATTGAGGCCTCTGTAAGTATATAATGAGGTAAAGTCACTAAGTGTAATTTGATATGGTCACTGTTAGTGTAATGCCACAAGATCAGTCACTGTTATGCTATAAGGTCACTGTTAGTGTAATGTTGTAAGGTCACTGTCAGTGTAATGTTGTAAGGTCACTGTCAGTATAGTGTTGTAATGTCTCTGTCAGTGTAATGTTGTAAGGTCACTGTTAGTGTAATGTTGTAAGGTCACTGTCAGTATAGTGTTGTAATGTCTCTGTCAGTGTAATGTTGTAAGGTCACTGTCAGTGTAGTGTTGTAAGGTTGTTGTCATTGCAATATTGGCGTAATTTTACATGGGTATGTATACCATCAGACATGAACCCAAATTTAAAGATGTCAGTGGCACTTTGAATGTAAACAGTCAACTTTTTGGTTTACAGGAGCTGATCATTCTAAAAACTGGCGGGATGACATGAGGCCCCTGAGTCCACGTGATAGTCGAGGGGGCTACGGGAACTTTAACCGGAGGGGAGGACGAGGAGGAAGGGGTAGAGGCAGAGGGCGTGGAGGAGGCAGGAGTAGGGGTGTAGAGCCTAATGTGGAAAACTTCACAGGTATGAAATCTGTATATATCACCAGTGGTAACATACCGGGTAGTGTACATATCACCAGTGGTAACACACCAGGTAGTGTACATATCACCAGTGGTAACACACCAGGTAGTGTACATATCACCAGTGGTAACACACCAGGTAGTGTACATATCACCAGTGGTAACACACCAGGAAGTGTACATATCACTAGTGGTAACACACCAGGAAGTGTAAATATCACCAGGGATTTTGTCTAGCTAATAGAAATATTTGTTGTGTGTTACAGGTCAGGACTTTAAATACTTCTACGATGAACAGTATTATGTAGATCAACCACAGCCCAGTGTTGTGAGCCCAGCTGCAGGTTTTGGCACAGTCTATTTCAACACTCCTTATGTCGATGACAGCACTCTCAAGGATTTCATAAAGAAACAGATGTAAGTGTAATGGTTTTAAGATTATCACAGCATAATCAAGTAATGATAGATAAACAGGAAATTCCAACTTCCTGGAACCATTATTACTGGAATACTCCCTTTATGTCAAAGTTTGGTTCTGTCTTTGTCCTTACATATTCCTTGTTATTTAACCTCAGTTGCTTCAACTATCACACATTCCTCAACCTCAAGACTTTGCTCGAAATTACGAAAATTATTGCTCTCATGAACAAAATGTGTTTTTTGTTGATTATGGCATGGATATACAGTAAGTCATCATGTCTTGCATCACTACTTAAGCAATGATGTTTTTGCTTTGTTCTTGACCACAGAAAGTTGTGTGTTTTGAAATGTTCTTGACTTAATGTAATCAGTTATCATGTCTTGTTTCAGAGAGTATTACTTCAGTGAAGAAAATTTACAGAAGGATTTCTTCTTGCGACGACGAATGTCTACAGAAGGATGGCTCCCTATCAGCCTCATAGCAGGTTTTCATCGAGTGCAGAATCTGACCCGAGATATTCAGGTCATAATTGATGTAAGTGTGTCAAATGATTTAAAAATATGTTTATCTTCAGCACAAACAGTGATTGAAAACTGCAAGTAGGTGATTGGATTAAAGTTGTCACTTAAACTTTTGAATACTTTTATCTATTGGATGTAAAATGGTCTGTCATCAAGACTCGGGTCATTTAAACTCTTTGATAATTTATCTTGGTAAAGGAAACACATTTTGAAAGGTTGCAAAAAACAATTTTTGAATATGTGTGACATTGTTATGTGTCTGATGTGATTGTGATAACCCTATGACATTGTTAATTCAGCTTTTCATGTCTCCATCATTTTAAGGGGGAAGAGGAGTGGGGTATATGAGGGTCACTTGAATCTGTCCTTTGTTCATATCACATTCCGTTCCAAATAAATGTTTACTTCATATTATTATAATGCCAAGCTCTGCTTTGGTTAGTGATAATTTCTACCTGTAAAAAATTGTTTGTCTACCTGTATGCATTTCTATAAATGAAAATAAGCCTAGCTATCTGTAAAAGAGATTTAATTCTATGTGGTATGATGTGTATTTTATATATTTCACGCTCTCTGTAAAGTGTTTAAATATTGCCAAATTTAATAGCCTGTTCATACATCTAGCTTCACTAAAGGAATTTTATTTGTCTGTGTTGTATCAGAAATATAAATTTTGTCCCAATTCTGATATTACGGGCAAGGGAGAGGAAATGTTAAATTTCATACATACATACTGGCTGTTGGAGAGTGATGTATGTATTTGTCTGTTTCAGTCTGTTGCTGACAGTACTGCTGTGGAGATTTCAGAGGATAGTTTAAAGATGCGATGTCGTGTAAACCCTGAAAAATGGCCTCTGGAAGGGCCACCACTTGATCTAAGTGTATCCTCGACTCTGCATGCAGATGTGCCAGAATTTGTCCCTGGCCAGGCCTACACTGTACCCTCAAATCTACCTAGTCTATATAATAGTAGGTTTAGATCCATTTTTAAGAAATGACATCCTAATGGTGAAGAGAATCAGGGTATTGAGATATTTAGAATGAAATCTTTATACCAGATGTTCACAGAGAAAAATATATCTATACTCACGGGATAAAGAAACACAGGGTGACATTATTAGCAGTATCTTGTGAATGCGTGAAAATCGGTCAAGCAACACTCTAGGTTACAGTGCATGTTGTTCTGTATCGAATGTTGCATTATTGTATTGTGTGACAATGTATTCAGGGGAAAGCATGAAACGGGAAAATCTCATGCTCAGCAGTGTTGTGACATTAAGTTACACTGCTTAACATACCATTAGGTAGCCTTCATAGAGACACATCGTTTTAGGATATTTTGATTAATTTCTGAAAGCATTAAACAATGGCACAGCTGATGGAAGTTAAGAGGGGTCAGGCCATTGTAATGATTACGCAAGGTCAAAGGCAAATTCAGGTTGCCAGACATTTTGGTGTCCATATTTGCACTATAAAACATCTTGTTTGACGTCTTAGGGAAACTTGGCAGGTTGCTGACAGACCTAGGTTTGGGCGTATGCGCCTGACGTCACAACGTCATGACAGGTTTATTTGTCTCGCGCATTTCTGCAATCAGCACCTTACTACCATTGAATCTGCCCTTCATACCATTGGTGCCCATAACCGTCCTAAAACTGTAGGGTAACGATTGCAGGAAATTTATCTGTGGGCATGTCACCTGTTTGTAGGTCTGCCCCTTACTGCTGCTTATTGCCAGCGTTGTATGGCTTGGTTGGTGGCAGATGTCCCCAGAATATTCCCATTGAAGCAGTGGAGGCAGGTCTTGTTTACTGACAAGTCAAGGTTCACTGTGTTTCGAGCAGACGTTGGACATGGTGTTTACCAATGTCGTGGAGAATGTTTTGTTGACTGCTGCATGGTAGAGACGGGTATGTTTTAGGGTGGAATAGTTATGGTGTGGGGAGGAATCTCATGTGGAGTTAAATCACCACTGGTTGTGGTAGAGGGTAATTTAACTGCAGCTAGGTATATAGATGAGATCTCCGACCCCATGTTGTCCCATTATTGCAGCAAAACAACCTCACATTCCAGCAGGATAATGCTCTGCCCCATGTAGTGAGGATCTGTCCCGACTTTCTTCCTAACAACAATATCCACCCCAGTGTACGCGAAAAGTGTTTGGTGCCCATAGGACATTCGGTCAGGCAAAATTGTATGCTACATAGGACCGAACCAGATTTCGTCTGACCGAAAAAAAAATGCAAGATTTTTTGACTGATGGACAGACAACTGACATGCAGACAGACAGATGAAGGACCCATTAATCCCTCAGCGTTTTTCAGCTAAGAGCATGTACCATGAAATAAGAAAACAGTGATAAACAATATCTTATTTATTCCACTTAATCTCTTGAAAACTCGTCAACTAATCTCCAATTTAGTTCTTCAGATATGAAGTCATCACATGCATCATCATCCTTCTCTCCATAGATAGAGTTAATAGCATCAGTAAGCTCTCCTTCTATTTTTATCGGGGTCGTGTTGTAGCCATGGTCGATTTATTTGCCATTTAACATTGAACTTCCGCTCCGGGCGCCTAGATTCATATTCTTTCGCCTTTTCTTGTTTGTCTGATGACTTACGTTTTAACGGCTTTCCGGGGGTCGCCTTCTCAACGTATTTTAACTTAGCGAACATGTTTCCAGTCGCCAAAGATGCAAAGTCATCAGGTCATAACAAAACACTCAAAGTCTCGCTAGCACTTTCCTTTATTGATACTTTCTTCAAACATTTACGAGATTCGGAGTGATTGTAAAACCGAAACCGATATCGGACATCCGGACCGGTTTCGCGCTATTTCTAGTCGGTCCGAAGTATATTCAGCCGGTCAGGTCCGACGGTCCAATGTATTTCGCGTAGACTGCACCCACAGACCGGCCACCATACAGCCCTGGCCTATCCCCTATTGAGCACTTGTGGGACCATCTGGATAGACAGGTTCGACAATGCCAACCTCCTACTGTTACTCTGGCCCAACTGAGAGCAGCCCTCTTGGAAGAACGGGCCAACATCCCAATGAGGAGGATAAACTCACTCATGAACTCCATGTCTAAGAAAATCAGGACTGTGGAGAGAGTGTTAGGGGGACATACCCAGTATGGACTAGCCAGCTCCCACAATCAGTCTTATTTTGATTGCAGATTACAGAGTTCTCTTTCAATTCCCTTCAATTACTCCTAAATTATTTACCGGTTACAAATCGTTGATTTTGCAGTTTGTTCTGTATGGATTAATCTTCATTCTTACTTAAAATATTGAACATTATACTGGAAGTCTTGCCTAGAATCATCTTCAAAGTTTACCCTGCGATTCTCTATCCCTTGAGTATAGTTAGGCTAGTCCAGATCAGTCATTCTAAGATCAAACTACCTTTCATGTCTAGACTTGAAAAGCTGGCATCAAAAGACTTGACTAGCTGACATCAGATTTGAATGGCTTACATTAGAAGTTTTGACTCGCTGATGTTTAAGACTTGACTAGCTGACATCAGAAGACTTGAATTGCTTACATTAGAAGGCTTGATTAGCTGACATTAGAAGATTGGACAAACTGACATTGGAAAACTTGACTAGCTCACATTGAAATTGGAAGAATTCACTAGGAGACATTAGAAGTGTGGATCAGATGACATTAGAAGACTTAGTTATCTGTAGAGACTTGAACAGCTGACAATAGACTTGAATGGCTTACATAAAAAAACTAGCTGATGTTATAGACTTGACTAGCTCTTATAAGAAGTGAGGACTAGATGACATTAGAGACTTGACCAGCTGGCAATAGAAGACTTTATCAGCTGACATTAGAGACTTGACCAGCTGGCAATAGAAGACTTGACCAGCTGACATTAGAAGACTTGACCAGCTGACATTAGAAGACTTCGACAAGCTGACCTGTAAAATGAAGGTTTTGGTATGAGTCAAACTGTTGATTTATGTTAATTTTACTTTGATATACACAGCTAGTGCCACTAAATCTGAGGAGAGTGATGACCATAAGATGTATGACAGTAACGTCACCGATTCGACAACTCGGGATGATGATTTCAGCTTCATGGCTCTTGGACTCAGCACAGGCCTGCTCTCCTCCAGCGCTCCTCAACTTCAAGGTGACTGGCGGGAGGTCAAACGGAAAACGAGACCACCTAAAAAGTCAGATGACAAGGTTAGTGATGTGTAATGTTTTAAAAGTCAAGAAGGGTCAAGAAAATGGGTACTATTTCAGTACTCTCATAAGTGATGTGGTTCTCCCACTCTAGACTAAATGGTGTCTACTAAATGGCTTTTGACAAGATAACAAACAATAATAATAACATGCTCTACATGCAAAAATCATAGTAATATTTTGTAGTCACTATAACATGTTTTCAGGTTACCAGTCATTAAACTTTTTTTGATCACTATGGCCTCTGTTCACTAAGACCACTGTTTAATGTGACCCCTATTAAGTGTGACCCCAGTTCTTTGTGACCCGATTGCTGTGGTCCCTGTTTACTGTGACCCCTGTTCGATGTGATCCCTGTTTACTTTGGTCCCTTTTTAATTTGACCCTTGTTTGCTTCCCCCTTCCCCCATATTAAAGATCTGATAGTGTATCACTCTTTGTCCTACTTGGATGATTATGGATACATGTTATAAGTTAATGTGATGTAAATAGCATTGCTCATTATTGTGAATTATATCTTGTAGAGGAGTGAAATGGACACATCTGTTGACAAAGACGAAAAAGAGGAACTGGACTTCATGTTTGATGAGGAAATGGAGGAACTAAATATTGGACCACGGCGAAACAACTTCACAGAATGGTCAGTATTCAACAAAAAAGCAATCCTGCTACCCACACACCTGTAAAATGGATCATTCTGGTCTACCCACACATCTGTATAATGGATCATTCTGGTTTACCTACACATCTGTGTAATGGATCATTCTGGTTTACCTACACACCTGTAAAATGGATCATTCTGGTCTACCCACACATCTGTAAAATGGATCATTCTGGTTTACCCTCACACCTGTAAAATGGATCATTCTGGTCTACCCACACATCTGTATAATGGATCATTCTGGTTTACCCACACATCTGTAAAATGGATCATTCTGGTTTACCCTCACATCTGTAAAATGGATCATTCTGGTCTACTTACACATCTGTATAGAATGGATCATTCTGGTCCACCCACACATTTGTAGAATGGATTATCCTCTCACCCAAGCATTTCTTTAGAATGGATCATTCTGGTCCACACATTTGATCTGTAAAATGGATTATCCTGGCACCAATGCATATCCTTAGAATGGATTATCCTGCAATCCACACTTTCTATAGATAGGCTTATTCCATCCCTCCAGTGAACAGTCATAATTGAGATTTGTAAAAAGCACTTCTCAATATCATTATCATTCATCTTGTAACATCACTTTGGAAATATGTTTGTATGCTTGTTGAAAGTGTAGAGTAAGATCTGGTTTGCTGAAGTGTTATATAGGATTATTTGGTAAAAAAGGAACCAGAAGTAGAAGTTTAAATTTCTTGTACATCTCTTATTTTGTAACGATGTTATTATGATATGACTGCATCACAAGGCATTTGGCTTATGTTCAGGTCTGATGACGAGTCTGATTATGAGATCTCCGACAGTGAAGTTAACAAGATCTTGATAGTGACCCAGACACCGCCATCCCTACGGCGCCACCCCCAGGGTGACCGTACAGGAGACTACACACCTCGCTCTAAAATCACTAGTGAAATGACAAAAGTGATCAACGATGGTCTCTTCTACTACGAAAAGGACCTTATTGATACGGAGGTATGTTACATCAGACACAAAGGCTATGTAGTGATTTTTACCTGAAATATAAGGTATATTGTAGTTTCCTAGTGAACCTGATGTCTTGTTCATTAAAGGAGATGATAGTATATCATTGTATTAATTTTAGGAACAAAAACATTAAAATGATTATTTCATCCATTCATAAATTTGTTTCTGTGTTGTAATAATCTTTGTATTCATAAGATGAAAAAGCAGATGTTGTATTATATCAATAGCTATTTCATATATTTTTAGGCTTATTATGTCCCAAATCTATAAGGGGAGGTAATCTATAGAGACAAGGTCTATAATTCATGCTGAACTTGATTATTTGTGAATAATTCTCTATATTATTCTTGATTCTGACCTATGCCTGTAGTAATTGATATGAGAAGACAGCATGCAAGTTAAAATAAATGATTTACATTATCTAAGATTTAAAGAAAGATTTCACGTTCTGTGTAAGTTATTTGAAAAAAAGGATAGCTTCAGTCATTGTTATATTATTACAGGATGACTTCAAGAGTTTCAAGACGGTGAACATGATAAGTAAAGAAGAGTTTGACAGTATGACACCTTCACATGTGACAACATCCAAACAGACTCCTCCACCTCCACCTCCCCCAGTCTCTATTCAGTCAGGTAGGCTGCAGTTATTTCCCCTTACAGCATTCTGTCATCATGGAAGAGATGCATTAGTTGCTGATATCTGGGCCGTTTGTGTTTATCAATTGGACTATCTGGACCAAGATTTTGTTCATGAAATAAGGATGATCTTGTTTTCTGTCAGGCCCTGACTTACTCTTTTGAGGCTTGTATTAATATTTGCTATTCTTTCCCAAGTTATACCTGAAATGTTTCAATGAAGGTACCAGTGAAACAATTTCCGTCCATTTATACCTCAGCCACTAACTAAACAAAGGGTAGATATTGCAGGCTTTCTCTGTTAGAAATAAAATATGGGATAAAAAGTATTTGCCTGCAGGTTCCTAGAGCACACCTTCATATATAAATGCAAGAATTGATTTTCCTGCAGTTGGGCTTTGTGCCAAAACCTTCGTGTTGGCAGCATCGTAAAGTTTCGAGTACCAGTGTTACAAAGTACAGTGAAATTGCCCTGACAAATGGATTTAGTCATATTCTAAGCAGTTTAATGAAGAAATAACAAAAATTTAGATTTGATGTCAAAGTTGCTTGCTGAGACATAATTGTATGAAATTCTTGTTGGCAAATATATAATTTTTATTTGGATGAAAATCAATGTTTTACAGAACATAAAAAAGTGCCACAACCACCAGTCTCTCAACCTAGTCATCCTGACATTGCCCGCTCACTGCCTGCATATGTCCCCAACACACCAGGCGCCGGTAGTCGTACACCTCGTAGTCGGAAAGAGGACACAGCACCACGTTTCTACCCAGTGATGAAGGACTCCACAAGACCACCAGATCCTCAGGTATGATGACAGGTCACTTACATAAATGGACATATGGGCTGGTTAAGTAATTATATTATGTTGACAAAGTCAAGAAATAAGAACATGATATGTATCTATACCACATAGAACTTTGTAAAAACAACAATTTATGGTTTGGAGGTATAATGGAGATGGGGCCAGGTTTCTCAAATTCTTAGTTGACTGGTCTCTCTCTCTTAAAGGGCTTTGTCTGGACAATAATTCTGAATGTAAATCTACATTTATAATGAATTTTGTAAACATTTTCCTGTCTTTGATTAACAGACGCCACGTAAATGGAAGACGAAACACTCTAGTAATCCCCCGGTGGAAAGCCATGTTGGCTGGGTCATGGATGCCACCGAGCACAGACCACCACGATCACACAACAATTCAATGTCTCAGAGGTATGTTCCAAACAAAACAGAACCTTGCAGTCTAAATCTAAATCTCCAAACACAGAACCTCATAGTTCAAAGCTCACAACACCGAACTTCACCTCATAGTTCAAAGCTCACAACACAGAACTTCACAGTCTAATTTTCATAACGCAGACCCTCACAGTTTAATTTTCATAACACAGACCCTCACAGTCTAATTTTCAAAACAAAGAACCTCAAAGTCTAAATCTGACAACACAGACCCTCACAGTTTAATTTTCATAACACAGACCCTCACAGTCTAATTTTCAAAACAAAGAACCTCACAGTCTAAATCTGACAACACAGAACCTTACTATCTAAATATCCTTGGTGGAATTGTTAGCATTACACAATTTAGTGTGTGAGAGCTTAGTTTACACATTGTTCTTACAGTTTAGAGTTACAGTAATAGTAACAAGAAACATGACTTTATGATAGCTTCATCTGCTTTGTTCCTTGTTTACACATTGTTCTTACAGTTTAGAGTTACAGTATTAGTAACAAGAAACATGACTTTATGATAGTTTCATCCGATTCATTGTTGACATTGTTGTTGTTTTCTTTTAACAGTCCAACAGACAGTGCACTGTCAACAAGTTATGGCAGCTACAGTTCAACTACTCATGCATTCCCCAATTTCCAGCATCCATCACATGAACTGCTGAAAGAGAACAACTTTGTCTGGCATGTCTACCATAAATACCACGCAAAGTGTCTGAAGGGTAGGTGTTGTGTGACCAAAGGGTAGGTGTTGTTACTCAATGATAGGTGTCATGTGACTGAACGTTATGTGTCAAGTGACTTAAGGGTAGGTGTCATGTGACTGAACAGTATGTGTCAAGTGACTTGAGGGTATGTGTCAAGTGACTTAAGGGTAGGTGTCATGTGACTGAAAAATTATCTTAGAAGTTAGAACTTTATTTGAATTTTTGTTTGTTTGTAAGTTTTGCTTGTAGAATTCCAGTATCACAATGACAGACAACTGATTTATATTATAACAAGTTTTGCTGTGTTCTTTAGGCTACAATGCTCAATTTTTAAGTATTGAAATTTTCATAGAATATGATAATTTCTATATTTCAGAACGCAAGAAAGTTGGTATTGGCCTTTCACAAGAGATGAACACTTTGTTTCGATTCTGGTCTTTCTTCTTGCGACAGCATTTTAACAAGAAAATGTACCAGGAATTTAAAGCTCTGGCAGTAGAGGATGCCAAGTCTGACTACAGGTAAAATCCATGGTTGTCGGCCAAATTTGACTATGGGTAAAATTCTGGTGCAACATAATACTGCTACCATGGTGATTTAGTTGTAAGCAAAGTCTAACTACAGGTAAAATCTCAGGTGCAGTGTAATACTGTTACCATGGTGATCTAGTCATCGGTCAAGTCTGATTACAGGTTAAATCCCTGGTGCACTATAACACTGTTGCCACATTGATCTGGTCTGAATCTCGGTAAAAATTTTCTCATACTAGTGTAATACTGTTACTAACAAATAAACAGGATAAGATGAAATAGTACTGTAATTAAAAATGGTTAAAGAGTTTGCATTTGAAGGGGTTTCCTCCAACAATGAGACCCCTCACGCACTTACATCTGGGCCAACAAGAGTGATTAGTATAAGTTGAAATAACTTGTTTCACAATTGTTGTAAAATAAATCAAGTTTATTATTATTATAAAAAATTGATAAGATGTGATTATATAAGTAAGGTGAAGCAATGAGACTGTTTCCTAATTTTTTTTTTGTCACACAGGTCATTTGGAAATTCGTTTATGATACCAGTAAAACAACAATGGATTTTATGATTTATACAATATGTGTTGCAGGTATGGGCTGGAGTGTTTGTTCCGATTCTTCAGCTATGGGTTAGAGAAGCGGTTCAAACCTGACCTTTTCCAGGATTTCCAAGAGGAAACAATAAGGGATTATGAAAGCGGTGAGCATAGCAAGACATTGGACCATCATCATTTGATGATAGCAAGACCATCATTTATAATCAAATTTAAGGATATATTCCTTTGATGTTTTGACCGGAAGTAAGACATAATTCAATATAAAATGAATTCCATCATGATATCTTGGACTTCGCTTTGATATCTAGAGTTGTACTTGCAAACTTAAAAACGTTGATTTTTCAGATGTTTTTGACAACTAATAGCCTAAAAATTTTGAAGGTTTTTGAGATACTAAGGTACTTCTCCTGAGTATAACTCTTCAGTAGATTTCAACGTAATTTTGCATGAATTATCACCACAAAATTTGTAAATGAAGACAAAAAATGGTTTTAAAAAATGGTTGCCTTGACAATAATGGCGAACATCTGTTATTCAAGATAAAAATAAGAACAATATATGAAAATAAATTATTTCCTGTTATACATATTCTGACGTCTGTACTGGAAATGTAGTGCAGCAACATATTGATTTTTTTGCTTTTAATCTTATTTATAAAATCAAACCTTTCAAAAAAAAACATCAGAAAAAAAATTTACTGGATTTTTTTTTTGAGTTCTCAGAGGAGTACATCCTTAATACATTGGACTCGAAACTGAATAGCACATAATTTCTGTTCAGGAATTCTATATGGCTGGTTCAGATCCAGATCTGACAAGGTTTAGACAGTCTAATGTACAATGTGGTTTTGAGAAGACGATTTTATCAGTATTTAAACAAGCTACATGGAATATGTATTCCATTGTGTTCATACCACTGTAAAAGCAATGACAACACAGCTCAATCTGGTATTTAAACTTTGATCCATTGTAGGTCAGCTGTATGGACTTGAGAAATTCTGGGCCTACCTGAAATATACCCGCAAACATGTAGATGTGGATCCCAAATTGCGTGGCTGGTTGTCCAAGTACAAACGCCTCGAGGATTTCAAAGTAGATGTAAGTTGTCATGTAGGCAAAGTATATCCGATTACAAGGTCTGATTTACCACAGTGCTCAATATATTATCAGATGTAGCTAGTCTCAGATGGGTTGTATGCCATTTCAAGATCTGATTTACCCTTACAAAAAGGCCAAACTAGCCTTAAAGTTGCTCTGAAATACCATTCACTTACAGGGCTCTCGATCTGCCAGATTTGGGGCCGAATTCCCCATGCAAAATAGTATCTTTTTTTCCCAATTTAGACTCCAAGTTTTCCCAATTCTAAGGAAAATGCCACTATTTTTCCCAATTCTAAGGGCCCCAGGCCCCAGTCCTTAAATGGGGTGTGAGAGCCCTGACTTACTTTAAATGGGTTGTTTGTCATTACAAGGATTAACTCCTACATCAAGGAAGACCAACAATTAAGTCACTATGAAATATGAATGGAAGACTTATCAGAAACCTCAATTACAATTACTTTAACCTAAGGTCAAGGTCATAGGGAAATCCCACATGCATTTATAATGGTAAGTACTGAGATGGTTAACTCTTGGTCACATGTCTAGGTCCTTTGGCTACTGTTCCTGATCTATTTACTTAGGATATTTGTTATCATTAGCGTTTCTAATTTACAGAATGTTGAGGAGCAGAAAGGAGCTCGAGGACGCCAGAGACACGTTTCAGGTCCTCGGGAAAGGCATTTATCAGGCTCCAAAGGGTCCAAAGGCCAATCTCACAGTGGCAAGCATGGCCTCACACGACAAACTTCTCGCGAATCCAGCCATTCACATAGTGCGAAAACAGACTCAAATAGCCAATCACAGACATCAAAGCATAGTTCATCAGATAACAGCCAATCACAACAAGTGACACAAAAAGTTGATAGCATTGTGAAAGAGGCTGTGTCAACTGGGAAAGCATGAAACCTACAAAATTGGACAATATGACTTTCAGACACGTTTTTAGTGAATAACATTACCAGAGAAAGCCTGGTATTGAAACTTTGAAATATTTGGAATCCATTATCTTCAAAGAAAATTATTTAAATCTGGATATTTTCTGGGTAAAGAAAAACTCTTTAGGTTATATTCATAACCATAAACAACAAAAAGATAATTGCCTTGATGGATTATCTGATGGACTTAATCCAATTGTGTCCCAAGGGCATACTTTGGATTTAAAAGGCAGTGATTGCACTACTGTCGGCTCACAAAACAGTATCAGTGTGTTTAACGTGTCCTTACATCAGCATATTTAGTTGATTGCAGCAAAGCAGACATAGCTGGATTAAATGGGAAAAACTGATGCTGTTATTAATGCTATTAGTGTCGAGTCATGCTCAACATTTTTGGAGATTGCATGCATCATCCGGCTGACCCCCCATTGAACCTCACCCAGCTTTTTCCTCTACAAGGATACACATCACCTTAGATAACTGGTGACTGATGCAGATCTTCCGGTGTTTTAGGCCGTTTATTTGGTGTTTGATGGCACAGACATACAATAAATGTTTATGATCACGTGGTGACATGGTTTCCCAACAAACAATCTGTGATTATCTCATTAATTCATTGGGTATTTGGCGTAAAGATGTATCCATTAAGTTTTGTATAAAGTCTTATATAAATATATATACACATACATCATACCTAGTAGTCATAGTTAGCATGTGTAAAAAATCATACTGGTTTTATCGGCCAAGGAATATCATTAGTCCAGATCTTTTAGCAACTCAGAGTATACAAATTAGAGGAAAACTGGGAAAAAAAATATTGGCTAGATTGGGTCTTTTAACCAAACACATGAACTTATATAGGTTTAAATTAATACTTAAATTTCCTAATTAATTCAGATGTAATGGAATATCTGTATTTCATTGATGAGAAAAAATATTAATTGGTTTACATAGGTGTTCCTTCAAGAGTCGTTTTATTGATATAACTGTGGAATCTTAAAGACCAATACCGATTTTATTGTTTTAACAGTTCATGAAATTTCTGTTTTTCCTACCAATTATTGAAGTTTTCTTTGTTAATGAAGGAAATTGTTGATATTTTACATAATCCGAAACAACATTCTAAATGCGCAGTTTCTAGGGCATTCAAGTGCTAATCATACACTTGTTTCAGTAAATAGAGTTTTTATGTTTTTACAATCAAGTGCATTCGGTTCCAGCTAACAGTTTTCCCTGAATTCCTTGTATACATTTATTTATTTATTGTTACCATTGATTACTGATTTTTTTTCTTACAAATTTTCACATGTCTTTGTGCCCAAATTTTGAAATGAATTTCATTTGTGGAGACACTGACTTAAAAGACTGTGCCAAGGAATTGTAGACGACCACGTCTCAAAATAGTGCTGCTGAATTATGGCTAACAAGTCTCTACAATGACATTATAGTCATGTTACATATCTGATTGGTAAATTTATCTCAGTTGTACAATAACTATTATCATACCCAGCATTATGAGGATAGCAGTCCTGAGTACAGAACAATGCTCTAGGGTCTACAGATATCATATCTATGTTCAAGTTTGAAATTGCATTTATCTGTTGGTCTTCTAGCCGAGGCTTGTAAGCCAGCTTGTGTAAAAACTAGTCATATGATATGTACCAATTTATGTTGGTGAACAGTCTGCACAGCTGGTTGAAAGCCGTCATAACTTCACACTAGGATAATGAAGAAAAAAAATGCAAGTAAGAAGACAGTCCAAAAACTCAATTCACATGATTTGGAATAGATTAACCAGTGCTTGTTTTTTATCACGTTACTATTGATATACCATAACTTGTGTTCATATCAAATTATGATAAGGGTAGTCATCACAAGTTACCTTGAAGTCATGTGATTGACCTGTAGAAACCACATGTCATATGATAGTCATGTGACCATCTAACCTGTTAGTTATCAAGTCACTTGACAGTCTAACCTATTGTATCATGAGTCAGCTGATAGTCATGTGATTGACCTGTAGTATCATTATTCACCTTGCAGTCATGTGATCTTTACAAATTACAAGTCATTTGGTAGCCATGTTATCAAGACAAATGTAGAAATCACTAACTTGTGAACAGATGAGATATTAGATACTACAGGTTGAAGTCACTCGAAGTCATTGCTTTTCCTTGATAAAAGGACAGACTTTCATTTCTTTGACCAAAAGTTAACAAAGACCTGTTAAAACCAATCATATCTATAGTACTGTCTGTTATTTTGGACATTTTTACACATGTTAAATACTTTTATGCACCTGTTATTCACATGATACTGTTAGTTGCACCCTTTTTACTTACCAGTTTCCATGTATGTCTGACCTTTGACCCTTACCTAGCAATCATGTCAGCCTAACATTTGAACCTTCTTGATTGACGTTTGAACCTACCTTATAAATACCATCCAACTATATACCAAACTTCTGCTTTTGTTTGCTCTATTCTGAAAGTATCCCTTCCATAACTGAAACCGTTCAAAATTATCAGTTGTTTTGTCATACGTTTGATCTCACCACTATTTTTGTATATGAGTTGAAATTTTATATATCATAGAATATTTTGTCTTTATAAAATTTGATGGTTTTCACATTTAAATTCTTCTCCTTCACAACACTAATTTACTCTTTATTTTTAACAGAAACATGTGTTATATGAAGAAGACATTTTAATGTGCTTGATTCTGATATAAAATTGATTTCAAAAGTATTGAAAAAAAAAAATAATAAAAGGATTTAAAACGTAAAAAAAACAAAGACTGTTTAAAAAACGTATTTGTACATTTATAATGTTTATAATGTTATTTACTGAGTGTGCTATCTACACCAACATAAGACTGTGGATCTTTATTAGCTACAAATAATGTATATGTACTGTTGTGGAACCTTGTGATTGTGTTATCACTAATTATTCAGGAAAAAACATGATCAGTGAAAACATTATGTATATAGTTTGATGATTTGTGTAATTTATAATTCATCATGCTCTATATCTCATACTGTCTGTGTTGCCAACAGCCAGTCAAACCACAAGGAGTCATATGATACACTGTCCCAATCCGAGAACAGAAACTATGATCGAAGGGTCACTATTCTTGGAGTCATGTGATATAGGGTCCCAATCAGTGATCAGGGAATAGGACTGAAGGGTCAATATTCTGGGAGTCATGTGATAACACAGTGTCCCAATTTGTGATAGGTACTAGGACAATGGTCACAAGGCTTGGAGTGGTGTGATATAGGGTCCTAATCAGTGGTGGATGTGACATGATATACAGTGAAGTAATGAAATCTGTGATGAGGGACTAGGAAAATGGGGTCAAGAGACTAGAGTCATGTGATATAGGGTCCAAGTGGGTGATCAAAGACAGAGACCCATCAGTAAAGCTGAGAGTGACATAATATAGGCATTCAGTCAATGATAAGGGACAGAGGACCACCAGTTCCGTTGAGAATCACATGATACAGGGATCCCATCAATGATAAGGGACATAGTGCCAGCATTAAATCTTAGAGTGACATAACATAGGGATCCAATCAGTAATCAGAAAGTAGAACCTCTAGTTATTTAGTTTAACAGTAGTTTTGGATCACTGAAAGAACTCGGTACAGGGTAAAGATGCAGTTTGAAATTCTGCTCCTGTTCTCATTTCCTACTAGGACTCCTAATGTGGTTATTCCTTAACCAGTGACATGATGTAGGTAAGCCAGACAGGAATAAGATATAGGCAAATTCTTATATATAAATGCTTCTCATGTGGTATGACCTTAAGGGTCTAGAATCCAACTAGGCCCTTTACATTCACTTTTTGGGGGGAGGCCATCACTCAATTCTCATGGTGCTTCGACCAGTATTGGTCATCGTTAACGGACATAGATTTATCTTTCTCAAAATCACTTCTTTTAATCTTTCGTCATGTTAACATGGATTTATTGGGTTGTATGAAAATAGAAAAAAAATGCTTTGTTATTACTTTAATTTCTAGATAGTAGATACTATAATTAAACAATTGTACATAAACAATTACAAGCTTTTGTTTTGACTTTCAATCAGATATTTATGGATTTAAAACATCTTATCAAGGAGAGCCAAACAGGAGGACGATACATCTTCTCTTATAAACTGTCAATTAGGATGTTCAAACAGGAGGACGGAACATCTTCTGTGATAAACTGTCATTTAGGATGACCTAAAAGAAGGACAGTGCATCTTTTGTCATCAACTGTAAGTCTGGACACACAAGGTCAGGGGAAGGATACAACACATTTGGATTGCTACAGTCAAGGATTGCTCTTATCCTGTCGGAGTTTGAGTTTCTCCAGCCCCAGACGGTACTAATTTTTGAGGTTTGATTGCAAACCCATTTATCTACCCCGAATCACATATTGTATTTGGAGATCCTACACCTTTGGTTTCCAAATAATTTATCAACTATTAAACTCTGTATTGGTGTAGGCCACTGACGATAAAAACGTGGACAGGAGAAAATTTTTTTTATATTTATTTTATTTTTTGCATTTTTTCATTGTATGTACACAAAGAAGTTCACACACACACGCCCTTACATACATACATACATATGTCCAACATGTATCATCATACACATTATCATCACACACATCATCATTAAACATGTATCATCATACACATCATCATCATACACATCATCATTAAACATATATTCTCATACACATCATCATCATACACATGTATCATCATACACATCATCATTAAACATGTATTATCATACACATCATCACCATACACATCACAATTAACGTGTATCATCATACATATCATCATCATACAACACATCACCATTAACATGTATCATCATACACATCATCCTCATACACATCATCATTAAACATGTATTATCATACACATCATCATTAAACATGTATTATCATACACATCATCATTAAACATGCATGTATTATTATACACATCATCACCGTACACATCATCATTAAACATGCATGTATTATTATACACATCATCACCATACACATCACAATTAACATGTATCATCATACATATCATCCTCATACACATCATCATTAAACATGCATATGTAATCATATACATCATCATTAAACATGTATGTATTATTATACACATCATCCTCATACACATCATCATTAAACATGTATTATCATACGCATCATCCTAATACACATATATATCATCATTAGCATGCATCATCATACACATCATCACTAACATGCATCATCATCATTATCATCATCATCATCTACGGATTTGTCAAATTGTGAGTGTTCATCATATATCTAATGTACAGCATAAATAATCAACTTTTTTTATATTTATTTTATTTTTTGCATTTTTTCATTGTATGTACACAAAGAAGTTCACACACACACACCCTTACATACATACATACATACATATAAGAAAAAAGGAGAGAAGAGACAGATTATGATAGAAAATGGTTAGATAGAGGAGAGAAAGAAGGCAGATGGCTAGAGAGAGGAAGAGAGAAAGAAAGCAGATAGGGAAGGAAACAGGAAGGAATTCAAGACTTAAATAAAACTATATAAAGCAGATGGTGATTTTAAATAATTTACCAAACTGAAAATTTGTTGGTACAGATGATGGCCATTGTCAGGGACTGGTAACCATATCAGGTTTATTGATTCATATTCAAAATTAAGTATTGAGTATCTTAATTATGTTTGAGTAAAAAAATCATATATCGATATAGTATCAGAGTGGTAGTAATATTAGTCGTTCATGATTTATATAAATTTCTCACATTTTTTCCACCCTAGTGCAAATTTGTCTTTAACCCTTTCCCCTTTAGTATACGTGATATATTTTTGAACCTTATAATAATCATGGATGGCACAGGTTAGAGCATTAATGCTGAGGGACTTATGTAAACATCTAGTTCTGTAAATATATTGTTTTATGAGTAAAATAATTTGGTTATCAACACTATATATTAGGTTGGTCCCATTATCTATCTTGCCAAAAAGTATTGTTTGTTTGTTAACAGTAAAAGGAATATATAAAGCATCTAGTAATCTATCTAGACTTTGCAAAAGATTCTGGACTTCATCACATTCCCAAAACAGGTGTACAATTGTTTCTGTCTCAGCATTACAGAGAGTACATAAAGGACTATCTAATATCCTTACTTTAAAAAGAAATGAGTTTGTAGTTAAGATGTTGTGGGAAATTCTAAACTGTAGCCATTGAAATTTGGAACTTTTAGTGACTTGAAAAGGTAATGTATATATAGCTAGCCAGTCATCATTTGTGAAATCAAAATGTTCCCCCCACTTTTCCCTTCCCTTGGACACAAGTGATTTAATATTGTTAAGTATTCCATAAAATCTCTTTGAACCTTTATTGATATCTAAAAAAATAGATATGTGGACTGGTAGAGTAGGACGTATAAATTTATACTCAACAATATTATAATTCTGCAAGCTTTTCCTTATTGCTGAAATTATTGCATAATATTTCAAAAAATCAGTGTTTATGTTAAATTTCTGAATAAATTCCTCATATGAAAACAAAGTGTTATTACTAAAATCCTTAACAAAATCACCAATTAGATAAACACCTTTTTCATACCAGTGTGGGTAGAAGATTGTTTTACCTCCAATGGTAATATTACAATTATACCATACAGGTGTTAACAAGAGTGATTTCCCTTTGATTGTTTTCATATTTTCTGAATTTTCTAATCTCCCCCAAGCTTTTAATACATCTTTCCAAAACAAATTATCACATATATCTGTACTTACCTGAATAAAAGTGCCTCCAATATCTAAAAGCCTATTAATGTTTACGGATTTTATCAGAATACATTTCCATTTTCCAGAAGACTGATATAACCGTTTGATCCAACTCAATTTCAATGAATCGATAAAATTAGCAACATGCAGCATTTTTAACCCACCAACTGTATAATCCTGAACTATAGTTTCTCTTTTAACTTTATCAACTTTACTGTGCCATAGAAATTCAAATAATATAGAGTTAATTGTCTGGATTGTTTTACCATCTGGATTGGGCAGGGAAATAAATAAATGATTAAACTGTGAAATCATCAAAGATTTAATTAAGTGGATTTTTCCTATGGGAGTTAAATTGCGTCTACTCCAAGTATTTATAAGGCTTTTTAGTTTTACTATTTTCTTATCAAAGTTCATTCTGACCATTTCATGGAGATTAACACTGAAATCAATACCCAATAAACAAAATGTTTCTTTTCCCCATTGTAAGTCTAATTCTGGTAAAAATTTATCTTGACTGTGTTTCTTGCTACCGATCCAAATGACTTCTGTTTTATCGGTATTCATTTTTAAGCCTGAGATATCTGCAAATGTTTGTAATTCACTTATTGATTCTCTTAGGGAGTGTTCCGTACCATCTAAAGTCAAATAAGTATCATCTGCATACTGAGAAACTAGAATGTCTGTATCATCAACTTGGATGCCATGTATATTTTTATTGTTTCTGAATCTAATTGCAAGAATTTCTGCACAGAGAATAAAGATGTATGGTGCTACCGGATCGCCCTGACGACAGCCTCTTTTAATAGAAAAGAATGATGACAGATTACCCCCTTGATTTACTGAAGCCCCTACATTTCTATGAAAAAGTTTTATCCAGTTACGTATACTATTTCCAAAGCCAAAATAAATCAATACCTTTTCTATGAATTTCCAGGACACCGAGTCAAATGCCTTTTCAAAATCTACCATAAGAATCATACCAGGAATGTCATTATCTTCTGTGAATTTCATAACATCATATAGTAGCCTAGTGTTTTCACCAATGTATCGACCCGCTAAAAACCCCGTCTGATCCTTATTTATGAGTTTATCAAGTACGGATTTTATCCTTTTTGCAATTACCCCTGAAGCTATTTTATATACAATGTTCAATAGAGTTATTGGTCTCCAGTTTTTAATAAAATGGCGTGGCTTACCAAGAGAAAATAATAGCTCTGGAATGAAACTAGTTTTTGTGCACACCTTGGTATGAAAACAATATCTAATGAAAAAATTAAAAAAAAAATCCATGTAATTTCTGTCCCTGGTGAACGTCGAACATGGCTAGTGAGTTACAAACGTGAACTTAAGGGGAGATAACCTTAATCACGGGGTTACAAAATATCTAGGTCATCGAAAGCAAACGCATCATATTCATTGAAAATAGCTATCAGACACAGATCTATCGTCGTGTTAGAGTACATTGACTCTGAAAAGAGATGATCAATATCCCTGCTAACGCATTCGACATATGTTCCTGAAATATATCTACAGGTAAGACTAGTCGGTGTACCCTATCTACCTCAAGGGCAGACTTTTGAGGAATGATACATGTCGGGCTTGGGGTATTGTTGGTGGCCGAGAAATTAGGAAATTGATTTTTTGTGAGTTTTTTAAGGCTTGGGGTATTATTACCATTTAGCTTGGTGGATGCCTATATTCCCTTTGCATTTTGATTTTTTTACAAGGACTAGGCGCTTTGTTAACGTAAAACTGTACAACTGGTACCGTGTTTTCCATATTTACAGTCATGTGCTTATGCATGCGATATCACGACCATTCATTGATTAACCTGCAATTTTACGTTCGCATTATCAGCATTTTTTCACAAGCAATGTGGTAAGCGGTATATCATGAGGGGCGTGTAGCTAGCCCAGCAGAAATGTTTAAGCCCAGGCGAGGGGTCTGGGGCCTGCCTAGGGGTCCAGAGCAGGGCCCTGGTGGGGGGATCAGGGGGCGAAGCAACACCCGCCCCCCCCGCGACTAAATAAAAGCTTACTTTCTGTTCTTTTGATTCGCGAAAATGTCAATGACAATTTCCGTATCTTGATTATATGTACCTTCGGTCTTTGATATGTCACTTTTAGTGTGGTCACTCAATTCGACTTTATTTTGTTTGAAAAACTAGTCGATCTATTTTGTTTGAAAAACTAGTCGATCGACGTCTGTAATCCAGAAGCCTTCTTCATTTTGAAAATTTGCACTTTAACAACATTATAATCGGAAACGTTGAAATGATAGTAAAAAGTAGAATAGCATGACGTATATAACGTTCCGGAAAGCAATGCACTAGGCCTAGTTATTCAACAGTTTTCTGTTTATATTCTTTTTATTCATCAAAAAATATTAGATATTTATTTTCAACCTTAGTTTTGTAATTTTGTCCGACATACTCTATGCACGGATGTTTTATGTGTAAGCCCGGGCTTTTTCTTTCTATAGTAGCTACGCCCCTGATCATAGGACACGATTTCACGATGTTTCATCACCGGCACCGGGGTAGTAAAGAATACTCGTTGACATTTTAATTTGAGAAGAAGTCACATACATTGTAACAAATAAATTCACTTAAGAAATGTATTAAAACCTTACGTAAGCATGTATACAAGGCATCTAGAAGTAAAATTTCATGATGCGGATATTTCCGAGTAGACTACCACAGTGTTCGGATATCATGAGGCAGGTATCCTGAGGCTCCGACGTATTTTAGGTTGGCCCACAGCGGTTTTTCTTCAGATATGATTTATTTATCAGATATGATTAATTTCTCACAACTTAACGACATTGAAAATACCTTTTCTCATTTACCCATAAATAGCAGCAAATAAAGAATAAAATTGAGCAAGGATGCTGACCACTTTGAAGGCAACGACTACAGAAAACACTTCATTTTTATGCGAGAACAAGTTCAAACAGAAACAGCTCCATTTGTTATTAGACCTATGCCAAAAATTATTTAGTATAATATTTTTTTAGTACAAACCTTTTTTTACATTTAAAAACATCTTTAATAAGTTTATAAACAAATGCCAAAATTTCACATAGCTAACCCTATGACTAACGCGTGATTTTGACGTGTTACCTCCCCTACTTCTATTTTCTGAGAAAATATCAAAGTACCGGAGCAGTGAAAAATGCACAGGTGATTTATCCCATACTAAAGTTTTTAGAAAAATAGATTTTTCTTTATTTTTTCTCTCTGTATCCATTATTAGATGTAGAGGCCGGGTCACATCTATTTCCTCATTAATACTACGAATAACAGGTCCTTTCCAATAAGGTTTTACCCATTGCAAATATCTGTGGACGGAAATATATGCTGGCGTGTGCAGTTTCCACGATTATATATTTCATCTGGTTTATGGCCTCATTTTTATAGGCCTGGTGTGATAATACACAAGTAATAATACCTTGTCACTGATATGTAAAGATAACCTCAGTGACTTGGGTAAAGACTGTACAGCGATAAAAGTATGTATATATTTTTTCCAGAAACCATCATGATTCCGATGATAACATTGTGGTTGGCCTTCGTTGTTGTGGCGTCTACGGGCCAGTATGTCCCAAAAGTCAACACTCCCTTGGGTCCCGTCAGAGGCGTGGTTGTTCCGGTGCTCGGACAGGACGTCCTACAATTCCGTAACATCCCGTATGCCAAACCTCCCGTAGGTAAACTCCGATTTGAAAAGCCTGTTCCCGTAGAACCGTGGACAGACACTCTAGACGGCACTAAATTTGGACCGTCCTGTATCCAGGATACCAACTTTTTGCCAGAGATGTGGGATAAGCTAGAAAATAAGGAAACATCAGAAGATTGTTTACATTTAAATGTATATGTTCCAGAATCTACTTCGCTCAAAGTTAAGAAACCGGTGATGGTCTGGATTCACGGCGGGGCTTTTGTTGGTGGTTCTGCTGCTCTGTACGATTCTTCGTACTTTGTTCTGAAAGATGTAGTAGTAGTGACCATTCAGTACCGTGTTGGGCTGTTTGGATTCTTAAGTTCAGGAGATTCCAAACTTCCAGGCAACTACGGACTCTGGGACATGATCGAAGCGTTAAGATGGGTGAACAAAAGCATAGCATCCTTTGGAGGTGATCCGAACATGGTTACCATTTTTGGGGAGTCGGCAGGAGGCTTTGCTGTTTCTTTCTTGTCTCTTATTCCATTGACTGAAGGGTTATTCCAGAGGGCTATCGCTCAGAGCGGAAGCACAGCAGGTCCTTTATTTTTAAGCGAGAACCCAATGAAAATTACGGAGAAAGTTGGTAGTCATGTTGGATGTATCACCAACTCATCCATTGACAACGAGGCTCTGGTAAGTTGTCTGAAGACAAAATCTGCTGAAGATTTGCTCATAGCGCAATTAGACCCCGCGACTTTGCACTCCGGTGGTTTCTCTATGTCCGTTCATCTCTGGCCAGTCGTAGATGATGATCTAATTGTAAGGAGACCTATGGAAAGCTTAAAAGATCCCAGTTCCAAGGAATTCCAACGCTTTCAATCTGTGGATTTGATAGCAGGAACTACAGACAATGAAGCTTCGCTGCTTCCGTTTATACTTTTCCACTTGCAGGAGCCCATGAACTTCCAACTGTCTGAAGGTATACCTACCTCTGTGTTGTGTGACCTATTCGCACCAGCGATAGCCAGAGACAAGTATGAAGACAATACTGTCGTGTCCGACATGATATGTGAAAGATATAAGGAGGACAATTTAGTGGACCAGTCTAGAAGTCTCGCGGCTTTGTACGGTGACTTACAATTTGTCGCTCCAACAGTGTCTCTTCTTGACTTTCATTCAGAAGGGAAAACGGATTCCAACACCTACCATTACTTGTTCACACAAGAAATCCACTTTTCCTTTCTTACGCCAAGTTTCCATTGGTCTAAGGGTGCAGGTCATGCCGTAGACTGTCTGTTCATGTTCGGTCCATCAGGGATTAGTGATGACGAATCCTTACAAAGTACGGCAGCGATATCACTAAGAGACACGGTCGTATCCTACTGGACTAACTTCGCCAAAACAGGGTAAGTTTTATTACGGTCAAGAAAGAAGGTTTGGTAAAAACCTTGAAACTCCATCGATGTGCAGGGAAAATTACAATCCCCCCAAAGAGGTAATCAGTCTCAAGAGAAATTAAATTTAAGTTTTAATGTTTTAAATTTCCCATACTAATATATAAAAATCAAATGATATCACGACTGCACGCGAGAAAGAAACATCATCACATGCAATATTTATGTAATGTGAAGAGCACATTTAGGCTGTAATCTGATTTTAAGAACAAATTTCATTTGTAGTCATTTAACGATTATTGCGGTTAGGTTATTGATAGGATTTATCATTGCGAATTCCCGATAAATTCCAAAGCGCTAAAATTTGACAGCACAAAATTAGGTACACTTACGTTTACAGTTACACTATCAGGTGTGACACACTACAATGAATTACACAGAGAACACAAGTTAAAACACTTTAGTTACAGTAGAGACAAATACTATGATACTAAGATGTTATTGACGTAATGCTTTTACCCGTAGATGGTTTACACATCTCTTTGATATATCATCACGTGTTTATTTGCATTCATTGAAGTTATTGAAGTTATCGAAGTTCTTGAATGCAGCGAATTGTTCAAGATTATGCCTATTAACTCATTGTTATTATTTACAGAAACCCAAATGGTCCCGGTTTGATTCCATGGAAGACATTCAGTAATAGAGGGCGCTACTACATGGATTTGAAGGTCGATCCAGAACTAGGTCAAGATCTATACCAAGAGCGCATCAAGTTTCTACGGGAAGACATTCCAAATAGAATCCGACAAAGTCACAAGACTGAATTGTAGTACACAAAGGTGTTTCAGTGAGGTGTGATTCTAGTGATAGACATGATTTTGTAATCTATTAGACTGTATGCATTGCAGATCTTGGAGACTAGTGTGTAATCAGTAATCAGGAACAAGGACCATAGGGTCACAAGGCAGGGAGTCATGTGATATAGGGTTCCAATCAAATATCAGGGACTAGGACCGTAGGGTCACAAGGCTGGGAGGTATGTGATATAGGGTCCAAGCAAATATCAGGGACTAGGACCGTAGAGTTACAAGGCAGGGGTTCTTGTGATAAAGGATCCGAATCAGTGATCAGGAATTAGGACCATAGGGTCACAAGACTGAGATTTACGTGATATAGGGTCCCAATCAATTATCAGGGACAAGGACCGTAGGGTCACAAGGCAGGAAGTCATGTGATATAGGGTCCCAATCAAATATCAGGGACTAGGACCGTAGAGTCACAAGGCTGGGATTCTTGTGATAAAGGATCCGAATCAGTGATCAGGAATATTTGGGAGTTGAGTAATAAAAAGTCCCAGCCAGCGACCAGGCTACAAAGCTTATATTCATGTGACATAGGCTACAAAGCTTATATTGTCGCAGTTAGGGGAAAGGGCCACAGGGTTTAAATACTAAGAGTTATGTGATAAAGGTTTACAGGAAATGATTAGGATTGAACCACAAGTTATGATACTGGGTTCAAGTAAAATATATGGACCAGATAAAAAATCGGGAAGTAGTACCACAAGTCAATTGAACAGTGAATTTGGATCACTGAATGATGCTGGGTGCTGGAAAAGAAACACTTTTGCATTCTGATCATCCCTCAGACATCTAATGTGATCATTTAGATACCAGAGACATGATGTACGTATGCCAGACCGGGATAAGATATAGGTGTTGTCTTTCAGGCAAAGTCTGATATAAATGCTTCTCATGTGGTATTACCTTAAGGGTAAAAAATCCAACGAGCCCTTCCATTCACTTTTCGGTGCTTCGACCAATATTGGTCATCGTTAATGGATAGATTTTACATCAGAATCATTTCTTTTTATCATTCGTCATGTAAACATGGATTTGATGATTGGTATGAAAATAGAAAAATTAACTTTGTTTTAGATAGTAGATACTATAATTAAAGTAACATGAACAACTACAAGCTTTCGTATTTCTTTTAATAAGATATTTATGATATGAATTTAAAACATCTAAGCAAGGACATCCAAACCAGAGGACGTTACATCTTCTGCTATAAACTGTCAATCAGGACATCCAAATAGGAGGACGGTTTATCTTTTACTATTAACCATCAGTCAGGGCATCCAAACAGGACGACAGTACATCTTCTGTTATGAACTGTTAGTCAAGACATCGAAACAGGAGAACATTGGATATTCTGTTATAAACCATTAGTCAGGACATTAAGAAAGTATGACTGTACATCTTCTGTTATAAACTGTCACTCAGGACATCCAAACCGCAGGACGGTAGATTTTTTTATTATAAACTCTCAGGACATCTGAACAGAAGGACGGTACATCCTCTGTTATAAACTGCCATTTAGGGCCAACTAAACATAACGTACATGTATACGCGACATAATGAAAGTTCACGAACGCTTACGCGAACACGGAAATGATACAGCGGTATGAACAAGATTAAAAGACACAAGTATGATAAATACAAACAATCAAATTTAGAATACAGTGTATTTACAACAGGATGCCTCAACAACACGCACAGGCACACTGAGAGTTCGTCGTGAAAGGTATACATCAGGCATACACAAATACGGCGTCGATTGCCAGCTTCGGAAGCACGTGGTGAGTGAAACATTCCCGATGTATCGAGCTAGTAACATTATACTGTCATGACAGTACTACGTGTTGGAGATTTTTCACAATTGTATCGAGGACAATATTTCTACAATATTTCTGGTATTTTTTTCATCCATTATTGCAGTCGGTATTACAGACGTTATACATAAATATGTGATAATACTATTGCGTCATTATCACAGTATACACATACGTCACAATAGTATGCTTAACAAAGAGTACTACCAGAATTGGTCGTTTAATATTTGTATCAATAAAGTATGTTAATATACACAGTTGAAACTCTGTACAAGGAAAAAGAATGAAAATCATAGAGAAAACACCGTACTTTGTAGTGCCGATCTACAGTATAACATTGAGTCGTACCAGAAACAAACCAGAATAGAGTGAAACTATTGCGAATGACAATCATATAAAATTCTGATTTGCACCATCACAGCTAATTGTATACTGAATATGATTGCATATAGTCCTAGACATAGCAATCCAAATTTCCAATAAATACATACCCGAATATCCTAGTCCCTGAACCTAACGTATCAACCTATCTTTATAGGCCTCTTGTGATATAACATGTAATAACACCCTGTCACTGATATCTAAAGATAACCTCATTGACTTGGGTAAAGACTGTTTAGCGATAAAAGTATGTATATATTTTTTCCAGAAACCACCATGATCCCGATGTTAACATTGTGGTTGGCCTTCGTTGTTGTGGCGTCTATGGGCCAATCTGTCCCAATAGTCAACACTCCCTTAGGTCCCGTCAGAGGCGTGGTTGTACCGGTCCTCGGACAGGACGTCCTACAATTCCGTAACATCCCGTATGCCAAACCTCCCGTAGGTAAACTCCGATTTGAGAAGCCTGTTCCCGTAGAACCGTGGACAGACACTCTAGACGGCACTAAATTTGGACCGTCCTGTATCCAGGATACCAACGTTTTGCCAGAGATGTGGGATAAGCTAGAAAATAAGGAAACATCAGAAGATTGTTTACGTTTAAATGTATATGTTCCAGAATCTGCTTCGCCCAAAGTTAAGAAACCGGTGATGGTCTGGATTCACTTCGGGGCTTTTGTTGGTGGCTCTGCTGCTCTGTTCGATTCTTCGTACTTTGTTCTGAAAGATGTAGTAGTAGTGACCATTCAGTACCGTGTTGGGCTGTTTGGATTCTTAAGTTCAGGAGATTCCAAACTTCCAGGCAACTACGGACTCTGGGACATGATCGAAGCGTTAAGATGGGTGAACAAAAGCATAGCATCCTTTGGAGGTGATCCGAACATGGTTACCATTTTTGGGGAGTCGGCAGGAGGCTTTGCTGTTTCTTTCTTGTCTCTTATTCCATTGACTGAAGGGTTATTCCAGAGGGCTATCGCTCAGAGCGGAAGCACAGCAGGTCCTTTATTTTTAAGCGAGAACCCAATGAAAATTACGGAGAAAGTTGGTAGTCATGTTGGATGTATCACCAACTCATCCATTGACAACGAGGCTCTGGTAAGTTGTCTGAAGACAAAATCTGCTGAAGATTTGCTTATAGCGCAATTAGACCCCGCGACTTTGCACTCCAGTGGTTTCTCTATGTCCGTTCATCTCTGGCCAGTCGTTGATGATGATCTAATTGTAAGGAGACCTATGGAAAGCTTAAAAGATCCCAGTTCCAAGGAATTCCAACGCTTTCAGTCTGTGGATTTGATAGCAGGAACTACAGACAATGAAGCTTCGCTGCTTCCGTTTATACTTTTCCACTTGCAGGAGCCCATGAACTTCCAACTGTCTGAAGGTATACCTACCTCTGTGTTGTGTGACCTATTCGCACCAGCGATAGCCAGAGACAAGTATGAAGACAATACTGTCGTGTCCGACATGATATGTGAAAGATATAAGGAGGACAATTTAGTGGACCAGTCTAGAAGTCTCGCGGCTTTGTACGGTGACTTACAATTTGTCGCTCCAACAGTGTCTCTTCTTGACTTTCATTCAGAAGGGAAAACGGATTCCAACACCTACCATTACTTGTTCACACAAGAAATCCACTTTTCCTTTCTTACGCCAAGTTTCCCCTGGTCTAAGGGTGCAGGTCATGCCGTAGACTGTCTGTTCATGTTCGGTCCATCAGGGATTAGTGATGACGAATCCTTACAAAGTACGGCAGCGATATCACTAAGAGACACGGTCGTATCCTACTGGACTAACTTCGCCAAAACAGGGTAAGTTTTATTACGGTCAAGAAAGAAGGTTTGGTAAAAACCTTAAAACTCCATCGATGTGGAGGGAAAATTACAATCCCCCCAAAGAGGTAATCAGTCTCAAGAGAAATTAAATTTAAGTTTTAATGTTTTAAATTTCCCATACAAATATATAAAAATCAAATAATATCACGATTGCACGCGAGAAAGAAACATCATCACATGCAATATTTATGTAATGTGAAGAGCACATTTAGGCTGTAATCTGATTTTAAGAACAAATTTCATTTGTAGTCATTTAACGATTATTGCGGTTAGGTTATTGATAGGATTTATCATTGCGAATTGCCGATAAATTCTAAAGCGCTAAAATTTGACAGCACAAAATTAGGTACACTTACGTTTACAGTTACACTATCAGGTGTGACACACTACAATGAATTACACAGAGAACACAAGTTAAAACACTTTAGTTACAGTAGAGACAAATACTATGATACTAAGATGTTATTGACGTAATGCTTTTACCCGTAGATGGTTTACACATCTCTTTGATATATCATCATGTGTTTATTTGCATTCATTGAAGTTATCGAAGTTCTTGAATGCAGCGGATTTTTCAAGATTATGCCTATTAACTCATTGTTATTATTTACAGAAACCCAAATGGTCCCGGTTTGATTCCATGGAAGACATTCAGTAATAGAGGGCGCTACTACATGGATTTGAAGGTCGATCCAGAACTAGGTCAAGATCTATACCAAGAGCGCATCAAGTTTCTACGGGAAGACATTCCAAATAGAATCCGACAAAGTCACAAAACTGAATTGTAGTACACAAAGGTGTTTGAGTGAGGTGTGATTCTAGTGTTAGACATGATTTTGTAATCTATTAGACTGTATGCATTGCAGATCTTGGAGACTATTTTGTAATCAGTAATCAGGAACTAGGACCATAGGGTCACAAGACTGAGATTTATGTGATATAGGGTCCCAATCAATTATCAGGGACAAGGACCGTAGGGTCACAAGGCAGGAAGTCATGTGATATGGAGTTCCAATCAAATATCAGGGACTAGGACCGTAGAGTTACAAGGCTGGGGTTCTTGTGATAAAGGATCCGAATCAGTGATCAGGAATATTTGGGAGTTGATTAATAAAATGTCCCAGCCAGCGACCAGGCTACAAAGCTTATATTCATGTGACATAGTGTCGCAGTTAGGGGAAAGGACCACAGGGTTTAAACACTAAGAGTTATGTGATAAAGGTTTACAGGAGGTGATTAGGATTGAACCACAAGTTATGATACTGGGTTCAAGTAAAATATGTGGAACAGATAAAAAATCGGGAAGTAGTACCACAAGTCAATTGAACAGTGAATTTGGATCACTGAATGATGCTGGGTGCTGGAAAAGAAACACTTTTGCATTCTGATCATCCCTTAGACATCTAATGTGATCATTTAGGTACCAGAGACATGATGTGCGTAAGCCAGACCGGGATAAGATATAGGTGTTGTCTTTCAGGCAAAGTCTGATATAAATGCTTCTCATGTGGTATTACCTTAAGGGAAAAAATCCAACGAGCCCTTCCATTCACTTTTCGGTGCTTCGACCAATATTGGTCATCGTTAGTGGATAGATTTTACATCAGAATCATTTCTTTTTATCATTCGTCATGTAAACATGAATTTGATGATTGGTATGAAAATAGAAAAATTAAAAAAAAAACAAACTTTGTTTTAGATAGTAGATACTATAATTAAAGCAACATGAACAACTACAAGCTTTCGTATTTCTTTTAATAAGATATTTATGATATGAATTTAAAACATCTAAGCAAGGACATCCAAACCAGAGGACGTTACATCTTCTGCTATAAACTGTCAATCAGGACATCCAAATAGGAGGACGGTTTATCTTTTACTATTAACCATCAGTCAGGGCATCCAAACAGGACGACAGTACATGTTCTGTTATGAACTGTTAGTCAAGACATCGAAACAGGAGAACATTGGATATTCTGTTATAAACCATTAGTCAGGACATTAAGAAAGTATGACTGTACATCTTCTGTTATAAACTGTCACTCAGGACATCCAAACCGCAGGACGGTAGATTTTTTTATTATAAACTCTCAGGACATCCGAACAGAAGGACGGTACATCCTCTGTTGTAAACTGCCATTTAGAACAACACTAAATCATTTAGGGCCAACTAAACATAACGTACATGTATACGCGACATAATGAAAGTTCACGAACGCTTACGCGAACACGGAAATGATACAGCGGTATGAACAAGATTAAAAGACACAAGTATGATAAATACAAACAATCAAATTTAGAATACAGTGTATTTACAACAGGATGCCTCAACAACACGCACAGGCACACTGAGAGTTCGTCGTGAAAGGTATACATCAGGCATACACAAATACGGCGTCGATTGCCAGCTTCGGAAGCACGTGGTGAGTGAAACATTCCCGATGTATCGAGCTAGTAACATTATACTGTCATGACAGTACTACGTGTTGGAGATTTTTCACAATTGTATCGAGGACAATATTTCTACAATATTTCTGGTATTTTTTTCATCCATTATTGCAGTCGGTATTACAGACGTTATACATAAATATGTGATAATACTATTGCGTCATTATCACAGTATACACATACGTCACAATAGTATGCTTAACAAAGAGTACTACCAGAATTGGTCGTTTAATATTTGTATCAATAAAGTATGTTAATATACACAGTTGAAACTCTGTACAAGGAAAAAGAATGAAAATCATAGAGAAAACACCGTACTTTGTAGTGCCGATCTACAGTATAACATTGAGTCGTACCAGAAACAAACCAGAATAGAGTGAAACTATTGCGAATGACAATCATATAAAATTCTGATTTGCACCATCACAGCTAATTGTATACTGAATATAATTGCATATAGTCCTAGACATAGCAATCCAAATTTCCAATAAATACATACCCGAATATCCTAGTCCCTGAACCTAACGTATCAACCTATCTTTATAGGCCTCTTGTGATATAACATGTAATAACACCCTGTCACTGATATCTAAAGATAACCTCATTGACTTGGGTAAAGACTGTTTAGCGATAAAAGTATGTATATATTTTTTCCAGAAACCACCATGATCCCGATGTTAACATTGTTGTTGGCCTTCATTGTTGTGGCGTCTATGGGCCAGTCTGTCCCAATAGTCAACACTCCCTTAGGTCCCGTCAGAGGCGTGGTTGTACCGGTCCTCGGACAGGACGTCCTACAATTCCGTAACATCCCGTATGCCAAACCTCCCGTAGGTAAACTCCGATTTGAGAAGCCTGTTCCCGTAGAACCGTGGACAGACACTCTAGACGGCACTAAATTTGGACCGTCCTGTATCCAGGATACCAACGTTTTGCCAGAGATGTGGGATAAGCTAGAAAATAAGGAAACATCAGAAGATTGTTTACATTTAAATGTATATGTTCCAGAATCTGCTTCGCCCAAAGTTAAGAAACCGGTAATGGTCTGGATTCACTTCGGGGCTTTTGTTGGTGGTTCTGCTGCTCTGTACGATTCTTCGTACTTTGTTCTGAAAGATGTAGTAGTAGTGACCATTCAGTACCGTGTTGGGCTGTTTGGATTCTTAAGTTCAGGAGATTCCAAACTTCCAGGCAACTACGGACTCTGGGACATGATCGAAGCGTTAAGATGGGTGAACAAAAGCATAGCATCCTTTGGAGGTGATCCGAACATGGTTACCATTTTTGGGGAGTCGGCAGGAGGCTTTGCTGTTTCTTTCTTGTCTCTTATTCCATTGACTGAAGGGTTATTCCAGAGGGCTATCGCTCAGAGCGGAAGCACAGCAGGTCCTTTATTTTTAAGCGAGAACCCAATGAAAATTACGGAGAAAGTTGGTAGTCATGTTGGATGTATCACCAACTCATCCATTGACAACGAGGCTCTTGTAAGTTGTCTGAAGACAAAATCTGCTGAAGATTTGCTCATAGCGCAATTAGACCCCGCGACTTTGCACTCCGGTGGTTTCTCTATGTCCGTTCATCTCTGGCCAGTCGTAGATGATGATCTAATTGTAAGGAGACCTATGGAAAGCTTAAAAGATCCCAGTTCCAAGGAATTCCAACGCTTTCAATCTGTGGATTTGATAGCAGGAACTACAGACAATGAAGCTTCGCTGCTTCCGTTTATACTTTTCCACTTGCAGGAGCCCATGAACTTCCAACTGTCTGAAGGTATACCTACCTCTGTGTTGTGTGACCTATTCGCACCAGCGATAGCCAGACAAGTATGAAGACAATACTGTCGTGTCCGACATGATATGTGAAAGATATAAGGAGGACAATTTAGTGGACCAGTCTAGAAGTCTCGCGGCTTTGTACGGTGACTTACAATTTGTCGCTCCAACAGTGTCTCTTCTTGACTTTCATTCAGAAGGGAAAACGGATTCCAACACCTACCATTACTTGTTCACACAAGAAATCCACTTTTCCTTTCTTACGCCAAGTTTCCCCTGGTCTAAGGGTGCAGATCATGCCGTGGATTGTCTGTTCATGTTCGGTCCATCAGGGATTAGTGATGACGAATCCTTACAAAGTACGGCAGCGATATCACTAAGAGACACGGTCGTATCCTATTGGACTAACTTCGCCAAAACAGGGTAAGTTTTATTACGGTCAAGAAAGAAGGTTTGGTAAAAACCTTAAAACTCCATCCATGTGGAGGGAAAATTACAATCCTCCCAAAGAGATAATCAGTTTCAAGGGAAATTAAATTAAAGTTTTAATGTTTCAAATTTCCCATTCAAATATATAAAAATCAAATAATATCACGATTGCACGCGAGAAAGAAACATCATCACATGCAATATTTATGTAATGTGAAGAACACATTTAGGCTGTAATCTGATTTTAAGAACAAATTTCATTTGTAGTCATTTAACGATTATTGCGGTTAGGTTATTGATAGGATTTATCATTGCGAATTGCCGATAAATTCTAAAGCGCTAAAATTTGACAGCACAAAATTAGGTACACTTACGTTTACAGTTACACTATCAGGTGTGACACACTACAATGAATTACACAGAGAACACAAGTTAAAACACTTTAGTTACAGTAGAGACAAATACTATGATACTAAGATGTTATTGACGTAATGCTTTTACCCGTAGATGGTTTACACATCTCTTTGATATATCATCATGTGTTTATTTGCATTCATTGAAGTTATCGAAGTTCTTGAATGCAGCGGATTTTTCAAGATTATGCCTATTAACTCATTGTTATTATTTACAGAAACCCAAATGGTCCCAGTTTGATTCCGTGGAAGACATTCAGTAATAGAGGGCGCTACTACATGGATTTGAAGGTCGATCCAGAACTAGGTCAAGATCTTTACCAAGAACGCATCAAGTTTCTACGGGAAGACATTCCAAATAGAATCCGACAAAGTCACAAGAC